ACATTTTAACAAAATTTATAATTAACCGTTCTTTGGCCGACAAATTTTTAAGTAAAAAATTCGACCGTGTTTTTCGACCGCAAAATTTTTAACAAAAAAATCCGACCGAAAAAATTTTAACATAAAAGAATTCGACCGAAAAAATTTTAACAAAAAAAAAAATCGACTAAAAAATTTTTAAAAAATTTCGACCGAAATATTTTTACAAAAAAAAAATTCGACCGAAAAATTTTTTACAAAAAAATTCGACCGAAAAAGTTTTACAAAAAATTCGACCGAAAACATTTTAACAAAAAAATTCGACCAAAAATTTTTAAGTAAAAAAGTTCGACTCTGTTTTTCGAAGGAAAAATTTTTAACAAAACAATTCGACCAAAAAAATTAAACCAAAAAATTCTACCAAAAAATTTCGACTGAAAAATTTTTAACAAAAAAAATTCTACCAAAAAAATTTAACAAGAAAAGTTCGACCCTGTCCTTCGACCAAAAATGAAATTTATTGGACAAAATTAGCGATACTTGAAGGGTATTTTAAGACACTTCCAAAGGGTTAAGAGAGTTAAAAAGGTATGCATAGAATAGAGGGTCTCTCAAACTCTAAGATATCTTTCAGAAACAGCAAGAAAATCAAATCATTTACGAGATACAGGGCGTTTTCCACATCAAGTTTTCAAATTTTCATGAAATTGCTCATTTTTGAAGGGCATTTTAGGGTACTTACAGAAACGTTGAGAGGTTGGAAGATACGCACCTTGTAGGGGAACTCCTTAACTCTATTCTGACGTAAAGAAACTCTAAAAAAGTCAATTAGTTTACTAGATACAGGGTGTTTTCCAAGTCATGTTTTCAAATTTTCCTGATATTGCTTATTTTTGAAGGGCATTTTAGGGCACTTACAGAATCGCTGAGAGGTTGAAAGACAGGCATCTTGTAGGAGAACTCCCTAACTCTATTGTGGCGTAAAGAAACTCTAAGAAAGTCAATTAGTTTACTAGATACAGGGTGTTTTGCACATCATGTTTTCAAATTTTCATAAAATTGCTTATTTTTGAAGGGCATTTTAGGGCACTTACAGAAACGATGAGAGGTTGGAAGATAGGCAACTTGTAGGGAAACTCCTTAGTTCTATTCTGGCGGAAAGAAACTCTAAGAAAGTCAATTAGTTTACTAGATACAGGGTGTTTTCCAAATCATGTTTTCAAATTTTCTTGATATTGCTTATTTTTGAAGGGCATTTTAGGGCACTTACCGAAACGCTGGCAGGTTGGAAGATAGGCATCTTGTAGGAGAACTCTGTAACTCTATTCTTGCGTAAAGAAACTCTAAAAAAAGTCAATTAGTTTACTAGATACAGGGTGTTTTCCACACCTAAAATTTTTTTCGATGATTTTCGACAGCAAATATCTTTCAATATTTATAGCAATTACATATAAAATAAAAACAAGGTATGGACAATCATGTCTTCCGCTTCTAGTTTATCAAAAAAACAATTTCGTGACTGCCTTCCATATTTAGGTTTATAATCGGCTGCGACGCGCCCAATTCCGCGACGTGCGCGCAATGAAAAGGGTTATTATCATGTCAAAACCTCGTGTGGTGGTTTGCGGCGACTTCGGCATTAAAGCTATTTATGCGAAGCGCCTGCGACGTCGCCTCTTCGGGACGCAATTGCGCATACACCTCACCACCACATCGACAAACGCGCACCAATTGCCTTTCGCTTCTCACATGCAAAACGTGTCGTAAATATCGCCGCTGCCTATATTGCCATGCACATCTACATGCCTACCAACATATTTTACTTACATTCAAGTTTGTAGGATGTTTATACTCGTATTTGTATGTGTTTGAATAGGGTGTATTTAAATGTAAAGGCTTTACGGTCTTGAACGACTTTGTTGTCATAGTTCGTCAAGACGGCTGTGCCTTCTGTAGTCTACAAAGTTATCAAAACGCAGAAAATATTAAAAAATAAGAGAAACTGGTTGAAAATTGACAAAGTTTTCATTTTAAATAATATTTAAGTATAGAATAAATAATTAAAAAGTTTAAAACTGAGTGCGCTTTTGAATATGTTGAAAAGTATTACCAGGTAAGTTAAATAAATAAATAAATATATCTACAATATAAATTGAATTAAAATTAATTTCCTACGAGATAAATTTACCAATTATTAACATTTCTTTTAATTTATATCTGACTTATATAATCATTTTAATTTATAATTAAAACATCTACCCATAACATTTTATTATAATTAGCTAATCAATAGTTGTTAGTAATAATGATTTAATTACCTGACTAAAATTTGTCCCTTTTGTGATTCGTGACAAAAGATCGTAACAAGACAGCGCAGCAATTAAAACTACGCAGAAAGTTTAAAACCTAATTAATTCTAGTTTAATTCCTTCCTGTTATTAACTATTAATTTAGAAAATAAAAAATTGCAATAATTTATAATCCAAGAATCAAACCGATATTATAAACGAAAGCGCCGAAAATAGCAAATTGAATTGCCGCCCACATCAAAGCGGGTGCAATCGCGATTGCACGAAAAGACGCGCGACGTAGTTCGCGTTTAGTTGGTAGGTGTTGCAAGTAGTTCAGTGGTTCAGACACGAAATTCGATTACGACACGAAGGCCACTTTTCACTTTCCGCGATGCATCCAATTGGACAATTTCGCATGGCATAGCGTGTAACGATTTATGGAAAGCGTATCGGTTCCGAAGCAATTACTGAAAATCAGGGTAATAAGCTGACGACTACGATTGGATATTGAGTAGAAACTGAATAAAAGGAGAGTGTAATAGAACAATATAAAATCGATGTTTGTATAATAAATCAGGGAAGCTAAGAAAATGCAATTTGAAAATATTTATCATTACAATGGCCTCCATTTTTTTGGGAAGATAATAGATAAATATCATTCGAAATTTTGGGATTATTTGAAAATTTAAAAAATAAATAAATCTGATGGAGTATGTGTAGATACCCAATAAAGAGCACATTTTTTTTTAATTTCTGGCGGTTTCTCGCGGTTTAAATAAAAGTAAGGACACAAAATATAAAAAAAGAACACGTAAACATTCTGCACAATTATCAAAAAAAGATTATTATATGTTAAGTATCTAGTGACTAAAGTACTTTAGTCACGGCCTTGGTCATCCGTGTATAAAATACCACTTTTTGTGTCTCAAAATCGTGAAAAAAACTAGCGCTTTAAGGAGGAAAAACAAAAAACAATTTAAAACTTCATAATATTAAACAAAACCGATTCACACAGATGCTCTGCGTATTTCTAAAAAACGAAAAGTGCAGTTATCACATCCCTCACCTATATGAATATTAATTCCGTTTGATCGAAACAAAGACATAAATAAACTTCGATTATTTCAAGCATGCCAGGTAATTAAGCAATAAATAACTTCAAAATACCCCCAAGCATTTGGAATTTCGCATTTATAGGTCGTTTAAAATGCCATTTAATGCCCGAGTTGCGAAAAGTTATGCCAACCGCAAACAGCTGAGAAGTTCGATTAACGATTATGTTCACGAATTAAGTAGGCAATATATAATACTTGCGCTTGCAAAAATTAATGAATAATAAAATTTTATACGATTTCTATTTGGTTTGTACAGCGAAATATGTCTTGCTTCAACGATTGCAAAATTAGAATTTGCTCAGGGATATTTTTTATGTATTTATAGAAATATAGAATTGTGGAAAATAATAAATTCTTTCCGATCACGCGATTGTCGTCTCAGCACGCCGTACACAGGTATAATATTTTTTTCCAGCCTGTCATAGCGAGACGAACATAAATCCACAAAATTACACTTAGATTTACTTTCTTTACCTTTACGTGTAGGCACTAAAAATATCTCGAATATTTACGCGCGACAAGCACGTTTTTACTAATTTTCTTTTGCGTTTTCGTGTTTTACTTTTTCACAGCTGAATATTCTTTGACCCAGTAAAGAAAAATTTAACAAACATAAATACAAAAATAAAAATCCGGAAGTAAACGCAAAGTAAAGTTATGTCCGGAAGTAAATATAACACAGAGTGTTACCAAATGTTACAAAATAAATAAACTGATATTACTTTTGTAATTTGTTTCACCCTAATTTGTTTAAGTGGTGTCGACGATGGAATGTCAAAGAAAAGTTCGCAGATCGCGATTACCGCGGCCGCCGCCAGCGTCGCCGCCGTGGGGGAATGTGAGCAGCGACTGTGGCGGCTGATCGCTGAAGCCAGCCGCTCCCCGTCGCCCGCGCGCCGAGACCAAATCACGATTAACAGCCCTTCTATCAGTCAGAGAAAACGGTTCACAACGGTCGCGCGTCTCGCCGCGATGATGCGCGATATTCTTGCATCACCACAGTTTGTCCATCCACCGGACGAAGACGCATGGGCCAGTACTCATTTAATCACTTTTCCAAGTGATCCAGCATGGCAGGATATTTGTTATAAAAAGATGTTGGAAAGACAACGAATTCGTAAGATGAATCTTTTGGAAGAACAAGAAAGATTACAACTTGTAAAAGAACAAGAACAGAGTGGAGATGGAAAAGATAAAAATTTAAAGTAAGTTTTTAAAAGTTTAGAAAACTATTAAATGATATGTTCAATTGGAATTGGAAGAATATAGTGATTAGATCTAGTTGTTTAGTCGTACGAAAGGTCAGGATATTTTAATCGAGGTCGTGCGTAATGCCAAAATGTCACGGAAGAATTTAATACAATACAAAACTATTTAGATACTTCTGAAAAAGTATCGAAACTGAGAATTTCAAATTCAATACCGGTCTACCGGTATTTTTAAAATCTAAGTATCGGTATACCGGTAATTTTAAAATTACATAATAAGAAAAATATCGATATTTAAAAATATAAAAATACCGGTATACCAATATTGATACCGGTATTTTACAAATTACCAATCAAACAAAATCTTAAAAAATATTTATTTTATGTCAATTTAATATTTATGTCATTCGTCGTCATGAACTTGACAAATTAGCAAAGTCAAATATTTCTACACGTATTTTTGGGGCTTTCGTCGGCGCGCGGCACAGCCATTATCCCCCTCAGAATCACGCTCCCAATATAATTTCAATAACTGTTAGAATGGGATATGTTATTTAAGAGTGTTTCGCCCACGTTTGTAGCAAACAAGACGGCGAAAAGATGGATGAGGATCCGCTAGGTGGAGCGCCGCGTCCCGCCCTTCACGAATGGAACATTGTGCCGTCGAAACCAAAACGCGCGCCCTTTCATGCCCCGCAAGCAGCGCGACTATCAAAACAAAAACGCTTAGGCCCCGCGCCAGTAACGTGGACCATCGAGGATATTGCCAATGCTGGCCGACTGCTTCAAGAACCGCCTTTACCAGTTAATTTTCGAGATGAACAAGAAATGCGAAGAGTCTACACGTTGATTTACGATGTTTTCCGATGTAAGTAAAATATTTACAACAAAAAAACAACAAATTTAATCAAATTATTTTTAGATAAAAATATTCTAAATCAATCATTGGCGGATGTGACATTTTTTATAGAACATCCAAACGTAAGTAGCTTTAATTTAAGGTTATATTGTTTAGTAATGTTAATAATTTGTAGATGGCGCCTCTAATATCACGAGTTTGGCTCCTGCTATATGATTTATACCATCGTAGTTTTAAAAAACGTACAACAGCAAATATTGCACTGGCTGCAGCGTTGTTCCCACGCGCTGGTCTCGCAACCGTCGAAGAAACTTTATGGGAAGACCGTGTAAAACTGGCTGCCGCAATTGCACGCATACGAATTAAAAACAAAGCTTTACAGCTATCAGAGTTGCTTCCAAATCATCTACGAGACGAAAAAAGTGGACGTCGTGTAGATACACCAGTAACTTGTTGGGTGAATACGAAAAAAGTCAAGTAGGCAACCAACTATTCACTAAAATCTCATTTTAATTACTATAAATTGTGGTTATGTTTTAGATCGGCTGAAGAATTAACTGCATCAATCACAAAAACACTCAATCTGCAACTGGTGGATGAATCAACACCGCTTACGGATGAATGCTTTAAATGGGACCCGCACTGCCCACAATTTGTAATATTTCATCCATCATTAAGAAACAAATTGGTACAAAGTGTGCTGGTACGAAAGAATAAACTAATAATCCAAGATAAATCATTCTGCCTTGGACCTGCAACTTTCGTCAAAATAATCTCTGATCTTCAATTGACGGGATCCGTAATACAATCTCATGTAAACTCACCCAGAACCACAGCGTATCTTGCGTCCATCTTGGGACAAAATGATAACATTAAAAGACTATTAGCATTTAGTGCCGGAAACAGGAAAACTGAATATGAAGACTATTTTAACGACCTGGGAATAAAAAATATTTTGATATTCTCTGAGAAAATGATTGATTTCCCACCTGATTCAAACAACTTCCATGAAGTAATTGCAGTTTTCGCTACACCACCAAATAGTTATTCAGCTGTGACGGACCCAATTGATTTAGTATGTTCAAGAGGAGGAGATTTAGCTATGTTGGAAGTACTCACCGAAACAGAAGACACGCCTGAAGGACGCAAAAGAGTTGCGAATATTTTAGACGAACAGAAACAAACGCTGAAATTTGCAATGTCCCGACCACAAATACAATTTGTCTTATACGAAACCCATTCGGAGATTGACGCGGAAAACAGGCAAATGGTACAGCGGACTGTGAAAGAAATAAATAAATACGCGCAGATACATCATGCGGTTATGCAGGGAAAATTCAAAGGCCTACAACCAACTAAGGTAAAACAACTAAATTTAATTTAATTTTAAACATCACCTAATGAAATATTTAAAGGAATCGCAAGAAGATGGCGTTGAAGATTATTTAATGACTGTGGCAAGTCAACAAGCTCTGGATGAAAAACGTGTGAAAGCTTTAAAAGATACTATAGTACCCGACTGTGATCTTTTCGACATGTCTCGTCTCCCGGACTTGTGTGCAAACGGCGATGATTGTTTAAAACTAAGCGAAAAAGGCTGTTACCTAGCGTTAGTACAACGCAAGCAAGTAATACGCATGGATAACAAATACATGATCCAAATGGCTGAGAATCGTGGAGTGTTCGGTGCGGATCCGAATAGCCCGAGGAAGCCTAAACCCGTACAGCGCAAGCGCGTGGATGATTCAGCCAATCAAGTCAAAGCAAAGCGAAGATTTAAAGAATTTGAGGTTATTTTCAGTTATATTTTAATTTTAATCATAAATATGATAAATTAATAATGTGTATAGGTTGAACGATTGATAACTCCGACGAAAGCATCAATGTGTCACTCGAAAATAGCAACTCCGGTGCCGTGTGAAAAATCATCGACTCAAGCGGGGCCGGCAAACGCGAAGGTGTCGCAACCGCGTCGCTGGTGGGCCGAAACGACGCGTCACATTACCAATCTGCGCATGAGCGTCTCCAAGCAGAAGTTGCCCGTGCACACTCTCGCAAAAGGCGACGATAACGCACCAAATATCGTCGCTAATAATAATAACAACACAATACCCAACAGTAAATCAACTACAACAACAGATAAACAACTAAAGCACGAGGATCACGTGCAGAAATTCGTTAATCGACTGCTTGTTAAAGGCGGTAAAGTGGACGAGGTTGCAGCGCGTAGTCGCCGCAACCCGCATACCATTCCCGTGCATCCGAAACTGCGACTTTCGAGACTTGATAAATGCGAGGCGAAAGTACCCGTACCGGTGGCGGTAACATTGGTTACGTTTCCGCCAGCGCGTTATTGGTAACACAATAAATTGTTAATCGACAGGGATATTTGACACATTTAAGACTTTTCATAGTTGCCAAATTTCAAAGCGACCATTTTGTGATTTGTGCCAATATAGTTTTCTATAAATTACATAATTATTTTGTATCTTGTTATCATTTACACTTACACATTATTCAAAAATATACAAAATTTAAATAAAAATAATAACGCAGCGTTGACGCCCCGAAGCGACAGGTAAAAATTAATCATAAAATTATTAAATACTAACCTTATTGTTTTTAGTTCCTTTGCAAATCATCGAAAATGGCAGCTCGCGGTAAAGAAAACCGGGGTGAAATGTTTGCGTCCCCAACCAAACCAATTAAAACAGCCGTACAAATGACTATTGTTAACTTGCCGAGACAAATGTGGCTTCGATCAAGTAGTGGTAGAATAATAAAATGATATTTTACCCTATAAATCGATTTAAGTTGACTTAATTTTATAATAACACAAATTTATTCGCGTCTAATAGTCTTAATATTGAGGTAAACACGCTTATCTTTTGCACGAAACCCCGAGTGCACTCACTACAACTTATAAACAATAACTGATTGCACCAAACATGTTCTTGCAAGTTCCCGTTGCGGATTTAATGCAAATAAATGCATCGCCGCGCCATCTATGAACGCATTGTAGAGTTATATTCCAAACGAAAATGCGTATTGTGCGTGTATTCAACTGAGCGCAAATCTACCTAAGTAAAAATACATCAAAAAGTCTCAAAACATACCAGAAACTTTTATAAAATCATAATTTTTTTTAATTTAATGCTGATTTTCTTGTTTAAAACATTAAAACCAATAGAAAATCATTGTATAATTTTATAATTATTTCAAAATGTGAAAGGAGCGCCCCATAGAACTATAAACTACTATATATTATTGATCGAGTTTTTTTAACGCGTTTACGAACTTGCTTCGGTCGGTTTCTTGCTTATAGAAAACATAACCTTCATAAAACTAAAGATTCCATTCGATTTCACGTGCAACCTAGTAAAACTACAACCATTCCAAAACTAACAAGTTAAAAATATAACTTAAATTAAGTTAAATTGTACTACATAATGGCGAACAACTTGGTGAGTAAGCGATGCCACATGCATTACATAAATCACATAATTTGGCAACATTCCTAATCAAAAATGTGCAAAATTTCAATTTCTGCTTTTATCTATTATATCACAACATTACATAACAATGAATCAACTTATTTACTGTAAAACGCAACTTTCTTTCAAAAACAAAAAACAAATTTAGTTTTGAAAAAATATTTTTATGTTACCACGAAGTAATCACGATTGTTTACTGTAACTTGTACATACAATCAGTTAATTTAACGACCCGACATTAAACGATTTCACCGTTGCGATGTTATCAAGCGTTTCGTACAAGCTGTATATTTATCTATTTGTTAAGTATATGACACAAGTACGCACCAAAGTTCTATAACCTTGGAGAGAAGGTTATTCATTCGGTACGACTTTGCACTTGGTCGGGTAACGCAACAGAATCATTAGCAATCGGGCGGCTATTTGCATCTTTCCGCAGACAATCCAACAAATTAATTTTAGAGGTGTCTAAAAATGTCGACGAAGGCACCTGAGCCTAGCGACACTGCATTCCCAGTAAGTTGTTCACTAAGTTGACATAACATACATTTACAACACTCTCATCAACACCAAACTGTGAGAATCTTATAATTATAAACTCAAAATACAAATTTACATCACCCTCATTGCCAAATGTGTGTTTGATGACCCAGTTACTGTTATTAATCGTGGTTCGTATCGCCACATTACATTATTGGCTTACTTTGAGCTTGTTAGTAATTTTCAAGCTTCCCGACTTCCTTGCAATCAAATAATAAATTTGAATACAAGTGAGATTTGCATTCAATTCAATCATTCATTCATTGGAATTATGTGTTCTAGATTTACATAATATAACAGTATGTTCATGCGTTGTTAACAAGCCACATGAGGTATTTTTTCTGTGTTGGATTACAGTGGTGAAGTTCTTGAACTTGAACATATCAAAAAGTGCATTCCGGATACAACATGACTCTTACAATACAACAGAATCACCTGGTAAACAGTGTGCGGCTGTTTTTTGTTTGCGTGAAACTTTGTTATTAACAAATGCGTTGCGATTTTTACTAGTTTGGATTGTTTTTATTAACAAGTATTGTGTAATAATGTTTAGTTTGTGTAAATACCTGTGTTTTTGTTGTAGGTGCTCGCCACTGCCATTGGAATCGGAGCAATTTTAACAACAATACTGATTTATCACTTCAGCAAAAAGAAAGATGGTAGGTCATTCTGCTTGAATTTAATCAACTGTCATTTGTTTGGTCGAATGAATAGGCAACCAAATATACACATTTTAAATTTGCAGGAAAGAAGTTAATAACTTTGGAAGATGCAACTAAAAAGTATTCATTACCTTTGATTGAAAAAGAAGAAGTCAGTCATGATACACGCCGTTTCCGTTTTGGTCTTCCTTCTGAGAAACACGTCCTAGGTCTTCCTATAGGACAACATATTCATTTACTTGCCACTATTGACGATGATCTTATTATTCGCTCTTACACTCCAGTGTCTTCTGATGATGATCATGGATATGTGGATCTTGTCGTCAAGATTTACTTCAAAAATGTTCATCCACGTTTCCCAGACGGTGGTAAAATGACACAATATCTCGAAAATCTTAAGATTGGTGACACTATTGATGTACGCGGTCCTTCTGGTCGTTTGCAATACCTCGGCGCAGGACAATTCTCCATCAAAAAGCTGCGTAAAGACCCACCAACTATTACGACAGCCAAACGTGTTAATATGATTGCTGGTGGTACTGGTATCACACCAATGTTGCAACTTATTCGTCACATTACCAAGGATCCGTCCGATAAAACTGAACTTCGTCTATTGTTTGCTAATCAGACTGAGAAAGATATTCTGGTGAGGCAGGAACTGGAACAAGTTGCCAAAGATTTCCCACAGCAGTTTAAATTGTGGTACACTTTGGATACACCTGGAGATGGTTGGAAATACAGTTCTGGGTTTGTTAATGATGTCATGCTGAAGGAACACTTCTTTGAACCCAGCAAAGATACTTTGAATGTAATGTGTGGCCCGCCGCCAATGATCAACTATGCTTGTCTGCCTAATTTGGAGAAATTGGGGCATGATAAGGAGATGTGCTTTGCATACTAACTTACTTACACTTGAATATGCACAAACTGCTAAAGACAACACAATTTCCAACTTTTATGTACACTATGCCTTATTATCGTACTAGGATTGTTATATTATAATGTTTGTTACGTTAAATATATTTTTTAACGCTTGAAATATTGTTTAAATATGTTTGTATCCTCTTGGCAATATAATTCCATAATGTGGATTTTTTTTTAGTTAAAAAGTGAACCGCAGCGCCATCTATGATTTTTTAGTAAATACATTGGCAACTATAATACCATACATGCGCACTGAGCGAATCACATGAGAAACTTGACATCACGAGTTTATCGGTCAGCTGATAGATCTTTACTTCGCTCAGGTTTTCAATCCACCTTTAATTCGCTAAATACCTGAAAAATGGGTGCAGCCGCTTTGCCCGTGATCATCTTCACCGCTATTTGGGGTGCCGTTGGTATTGGCCTCCCTTTCATTGTACCCAAAGGCCCGAACCGTGGGTAAGTTTCATTTTACACTTGCACTTCTAAACAAATTTTGTTTTATCACTTCTAACTTATATTTATTGTATTTGCAGAATTATCCAAGTCGTACTCATGTTAACAGCAGCTACCTGCTGGCTCTTGTAAGTCTTTACACTATTAATTTTCACTGTTTATAGCTGGAGTTAAATAAATTTATTTTTAGCTGGTTATGTTGCTACATGGCACAAATGAACCCTCTGATTGGACCCAAACTAGACAGAGCAACCATTCTCATCATGGCTCAAGAATGGGTAGGTTTCTTTCACTGCAAACTATGTTTTTGAGGTTAATATGTGTGTTGTATTTGTTATAGGGTGGCACTCCTTTGAAATAAATGGTATTCAACACAAGACACACATTCCAAATGAATTGTCTACTATTATGTCTTGGTTTTAAGTGTATATAGCACATGGTTAGGTAGGCAGTAATAAGTTAACTCATGATTAATTTTAAGATGGAGAAGACACTCGTAAAGCATAGAGATTCATGATGCATGTGCAAAAACATTTCTGTTAATTGTTGTCTCATATTGTGAAAGAAAATAAAATGCAATGATGTATGTAAACTAATACAACGCATTTTTATAACTATTTAATATAATTTTCTCTTGATATTTAACTCATGAAATTTTCATTTTCATTGGTGTATATTTGGTTGCCTACTTATTTTACATAATCTAGTAAATTATTTATTAAAGTTGTAACAACAAACATTAGAAGTGATAAAACAATAACAAACTTTAAATCTTGTTAAATTTGCCGCGTCACCACTAAAACCAAACGAATAATTTGTTTAAAACTATAAAAATCAGTAATTTCATGAGCTCCACTTTTGATATTATCACAATTTGTAGTTAAATTGTTTTTGGCCATTTAGTATTAACAATTGTCACTCGTACCAGTACTTTTAGACTGATACAATTCTCCTGTTACTAAATATCACATATTTAAGTTACAAGTAGTACAAAATCATTACTTATGAAGGATTAAAATGCGCAATAAAAATACTCAACTTTCGTTCGGTAACTCCAACGATAAAAACGCATCTTTTCGACGAAAATATTCAGTTAAACGAATTGATGAATATCTGAAACATTCATTAATAAATTACATTAAATAATTAATTATGATATCATATTAATTACTAACCCAATAAAATCAAAGTCAATATCTGAGTGTTCAGCTTGAATTAACGCCCATATTCCCCACGTTAGATGACTTGCCAGCGCAAATTGATTGGCTTGCACGTAGAGCGTGTCCAACATGGCGTCGCTTACCTCAGCCCCATCTGGAGAATTGAATTCTTCAGCGTACACTCGCAACCATGAATATTGCAACTCTTTGCTGGGATAAAAATCATAATCGACATTATCAACACCCGCAAACTCAGCGAAATGGTTACCAATATCAAAAGCTTGATAATTAAAGTCAGCATACTCAAAATCGATAAAAGTCACTTTATCATCGTTGTTATTCGCCATTTTGGTAAAAATCACATTACCCAGGAGTAAATCATTGTGACAGAAAACAGTTGGGCTGTTAAGATGAACCAGATGCGATTTTAAAGTGTCGATTTCGTCAAGAATTTGTGATTTCGATAGCTTCATGTTTAAAAATCTATTAAAACAAAAATATATTAAAAAAACTTCTAAATGAAGTAATAAATACGTACTTTTTGTTGATATGTTCATTAGTAAACTGATCAGGCATTAATTTCATAAATTTGTCAAATCTGGTCCATAAAACAGGTTCTAAACTTGCAGAATCTTTCCCGTTGACTTTAAGTTTATGCAGTTTGGCCAACTGCCGAGCCACTAGAGGGTATACTTCCGGTTGGCTCACTGTTTTCGACATCAACGTGCATCCAGGAACAAATTCATAAGCGAGGCCGTTTTTAAAAGTAGCGTATAACGTTGGTGCCATGTCAAATTGGTTCAACATTTTAATATTCCTAATAAAAAATCAAGACATACACTATAGGCAACCAAACATCCAAATAAAAATATTAAATTACCTTTTTTCCGCCATTCTATCAATCAACATATCTGTATTATTACCATAAATTCTGATTAACACTGCCTCGTGATCAGCGCCATCTTTAACTTTACATCGGACGAGTTTATTAGTAATACCATCCGATAACATCTAAAATAAGTGTTATTTAGTGATATTAAGTAAATGAGGAGTGAAATAATGACTTACTTTGTACATTATATCGATTGTCTGCCATTGTGGTCGAATTACACTCAAAACTTCTTGAGCACCTTGAAAAATATTCTCGTCAGAATCAGCATTGATGAAAAAATCCAACTTAACAATTCCATTGACGTCCATTTTGGATTTCTAGTAGTTATTAGTTGATAGGCACTGTTCTTCTACGATTATTGTTCTGTTCTATAAAAGAATACAATATATGTTAACATTAGACGTATATAAACATTAGATTAATCACGTACACGCAATTTACGACGTGTCATACGATTAAATAAATAAAATTGTGAGGAATTTATAGTTTATTTACTTTTTTTCAGACAAACTTGCTATTTATTTGCACAGAAGTACAGTCAGGCCTGTTGATAAGGTGTTATCACTTTGTATTTTTATATATTATCAATGGTAAACTTGAATTATTTAAAATATTCACTAACTTTGTGGAATTTTTAGTTAAATATTAAATACTTTTGACAATACTACTTATATTGAGTACTGTAACTGGAATCTTGATTTTCTGTTAGTTTGACAAACAGAATGAGAATAGCGATAACGCAGAGGCAACGACGACCTCTCTCACATTTATTATCAAATTATCAATGCTTCCAACAGCTTTACTGACACAACGTAATTTATGTTGGCATTTCGGCGGAAAATGTGTGTGATGTGAGATGTTTAGCAATCAGACACTTGTAATTCAAGTGGAACGTGGAACAGATTGATTAAATTAGTTCCTATAATATTAATAATAATAATATAATAATAATAATTCAATCAGTAATTCACATAGTTGAAAATACCGATTTGGTGAAACATGCGCAAATAAAAAATTAGTTTCAAAACATGTTAACTCAATAAAAAACATAAATGAAAATAATAATCTCCTAAACATTCATATCTACGTAGAAGCCTCCAATTAGAAGCAAAAAATAAAGATTTAGTGTTATTAAAATGTAATTATTGTGCTTTTTTGTGTACCAAAATGTGTTATGCAACCGTTATAATTGAAACAATCAACAATCAGTAAACAAATGCTGCTTGCTTTTATTGTACGCAACGAAAAAGCGTCACGAGTACAATAACAAAAGATTTATTATCATTACAGTTCGAAATCATGTGTAAATGCCTCAGTACAACAATCAGATGATTCAAAACATCAACAGCTGCAGTTACTGCATTAATATTATGTGTTTATTGAACACATTAATAAATTAATAAACTTTTGAAATTTTCCATCGATTTAAACTTGATATTTATGCCAAAAACGCTTTATTTTGCCTTTGTTACCTGTTTCAATTAGTTTAATCCTTGAAATTTCTATATAAGCACGTATTACGCACTTGATTATTTATTTATTCATAGATTTACAGTAAATATTATTTATTTTGAATGTTTTATTAGTCACTTTTGTTTAGTAGGAGTATTTTTTTATGTTTTGTTGTATTTTATTGTACTATTATGTTATTATGAGTAATAGAAACCAAAATTTTGCTTTTATCTTAAAATTAAAACACTTGACGCGACCTCAACGCACTCAACGGATGCTGATTTATGAATAACACACGACACTCCTCCAGCATGAGTTGTTGGTCGACCCCGCTTCGAACACGTTTCGCTGTTTTTATTTACGTACCTATATCTCGCGTTGTTTTTTATTCTTCGCGGTGCTCAGTGGGGGTTCTAATCGCGCAACGCGTTCTGGTTTACTTCTACACTTTACAGCAAAAAGTACACACACATACATACAAATTCGCAAGTTTTTTGTATTCATACATTAATTATTTGTGTTTTTTGTGTGTTACCTTGAATTTATCTCGTGAAATCCACCTTGTAATGTAATATCCACACAAAATATTTAACTGCTAACTTTATGCTGAAAAATAATGTAATTAATTGTAATTAAATCAACGCTAATCGTAGTTTACTAGACACTAGAGTACTAATGTGATTAGTTGTGAATATAACGTGATTGATATTCGCGGAACGCGTCAGAAGTCTCAATGGGGATCGTCTTGTCTGACCGGCCGCAACACGCGTAATGTGAGCGCACGTCGCGCGATCGACCAACGCGCGCGCGAAGGGCGCAAGTCACAAATTATCGAACTCGTTACGAAATCACCGATAGAGTTTTGAACGCGCGTATGGTAGCAACAACGCCTTTACATTTTCGCATAAAAGTGCACAATATACTGGGTTACATTTCAAATAGTCATTAATCTATTGTTAGATATTGGTAAACAAACTTTTATATATGGCAAAGTTGAAAACAACTTTTGTACGAGATCTATTACACAAATCCGCATTTTTAGACAGATAATACTGTCAAACAAAATGAATTAAATGATTTTTTCTTGAATAATGTACAAAATTCACCGTAAAAACACCAAAAAATTAAATGTTTAAGCATATTTCATAAATCTACCTGTATTTGTAATCTTTATTTATCATAATTCTTCTTTATTAACATTTGTATTCATTTAAATTTCCTATTCACTCTCGAAACTGAAGTGTTTCTCACCTTTATGTGGATATTGCTTAGGAATTAAACCTGGAAACTGTTTCATGTTCTCCAAATACAAGTAAACCCCAAAGCAGCCAGCCATAACAAGAACAAATTGTGCAATCTGTGTTGCAAGTGGGATCCTGTATTTATAACTGATATCAAATCGATCTTCACCAATCAAATCAAACTCATTAGACAGCTAAAATCAAAGATAACAATATAACAAATACTTTCAGAGTATATCAAAATAACGTTCATACAGTTTCATTAAAATTCCTTTTAAGTTCTGGGTTATCCCATGGATAGAAAGGATCTTTTGCATCACCAGATACTAATGGGATGTCTGGATAGTCACCAAAACCAGCACCATCATTGGGAAATGGTTTGTATTCATCCGGATGGATGCCGTATTTCTTTGCGGCGGCATCGCGCTGTTCCTGGTTCATGGGAAATGCACCTGGCACATAGTCCTTGTTCCAGTCTGACAAAAAATTATGTAATCATGAATTAAAGTTGATTTCGGGATAAATGAGTGTACTTACGGTTGCGTACGGCAGTGAAAAGGATAGGATTCTTGCCACTGCACAGTTTCGCAAAGTTTCTCACTGTTGCGAGTGACATTTTGGCGAAAATTAAGAATAAATAGTTGGATATTGAAATATCCTGCAGTGTTTTAGAGGTTATAACTTGGACGATGTCAGACTGAACAGGAGTAACCCAAAACACGCAAAATGTTAGGAATTGTATAAAAAGCTAATTTAATAAAGTAAAACCAGTAAAAATTAATAAATTCTGTGTTAATTGTTTAAATTAAAATATTATTCAGTTGCAAAATATTTGTTTGTTCATTTTTAAAGTGGGCATCTAAAAAATCCACTCGTGTATTATAAGTTGCCTACCATAGAACGTCAAATTCAGCTGATGTTTGTAGTGTAAAAGTTTCATTGATCACAACAAAACAAATCGCTGTAAAAATGCTTCTTATAACATATAGATCTATCAAAAAGTACGTAAATCCTTCAACGATTAATCCTTTTCAATTTTTGTAGCCTCTAAGTAATATTAACAACTTCAATTTTAATTTTGTAATACTTTAAAACTTACAAACAAAATAATAACCTATAATTGATATTACAACGCGTTTTTAGGCTGAACTGGCGTCCCTTGCGACATTCCAGATACCTCAACAATTACAACTATAAAACCTACTCTAATATTTCATCTGTACCAAAAAACAACCCTGAAGGAATCGGACAAATCACCAAGAGACGATTTTCAAGACAAAAAAGTAAGAAGTAAATAACTATTACTCCCTAGGCAACCACCATTACAACTGATCACAAGAACATGATTCAAACCCGGTGTGATTCAAATGTTTACAATGCTATTACAACGCGTTATCGCCAACGAAAGAACGTGACCTCTGTATTTATTTACAAATTCGTTCACGCCGTGGCCACCCACCACACCGCCTCGCCGCTTCTATTCATTGTGTGATACGTATAATGATGCCACTCTGTCATCGACCATTATCACGACGAGAGCCCGCAGCGATTCAAATCCAAACAAACAGCAACATTATTAAAAAAAAACCACACATACGCACGCTCACAAAATACTTCACATTAACCCAAAGATTGCGCGTAATGTATAACTACACCGAGGTGTTGTATTACGCGGACTACTACAGCGCGTGCGCCGCGTACTTGGAGTACTATCTGTGCGTAGAAGTTGAAGGTCTGAAAATTTACAACAAAGGGTACCAAATTATTTTTGTATTGAGATGGAAATCATTCTGGCGAATATTCCTTATGCTAATATTAATGTCCACAGGTGACGGCGAAAGCGGCAAACAACAGGAATGGCGCGGGATTGTCACGCGCTTCCTACCGATCGGATTATGCCTGGTGGCGGTGATGCAATGGCGCGCATACCGGAAATACTCCGGGGAACGCGTCGCAAGTCAACTGGAAGTCGACGCGTATACGATACTACCACTCAAAGCATTCAGCAGATGCTGGGGGATGTTAGCTGATCTCAATCAACCGGAATTCATGCGGCCATACATTTACGGCATGTATATTAATTTATTCGGCGTGAATTTGACGGAGGCCGCCAATGAGGACTTGAAATCTTATCAATCACTTTCGGAATTTTTTGTTAGGTAAGAAAAATAAAATTTCCACCATAAACAAGATAGATATCTGAAATTTATTGTTTTTAGGACTTTAAAAGATGGCGTTAGAACAATCGACAAGCAAAGTGAACTTGTTTCGCCTTGTGACGGACGAGTACTGCATGTGACAGCGGTAAACTGCGGAAAAGTTGAGCAGGTATGAGCTTACAACGCAAAACACGTGTTAATTTCGTTGTTGATATGATAATTAAGCGATTAATAGCTTAAATAATATATTATGATTGGTTGGGACGTTTGAAAGGCGTAAACAAACGAATAAAAGCCGTGGAATCTTGCCTGATAACACCACGGGCGACAACAAAGCGCGCAGCTGTTCGCGAACGGCGCAATCAGCGCAATTAACTAGTTAGTGCTAGTTGCCAGACAAGGTGGTTTTTATAGACCCGCGCATTAGTTCCTTTCAACTTGATCTTGTGAACTGGTAATCTTTTATCGCGTTTTTTTGCGGTTTTATCACTTGAAAAATTATTTCCAAACAAAAGTTTTAAACAAATTAACAGAAAAAAGTATCCGCATTGCGTAAATTTCGATTATTTCAATTTCTTGGAGTTGTTTACTGAATTTTTACAGATAATAACCGCGAATTTCACAATTTCTTAATTTCAAGGTCAAAATTACTCCAAATGTCAAAAATCTCGTATGATTTTTCATTTTAATTGCTACTTGACCAAACCAAATCAAAAGGTCAAAACTAATATTTACTATAGTGTAGAATTGAAGTGGAAGTGTTGATTGATTGTGTGGTTATCAAACGGAAAGTTTACTGACCCAAAAATGTACGTTTTAACGTTTTTAAATTGCGATTACAACGTGTTTATGCCTAATTTCTAGGTCAAAGGAATAACCTACCCGATCGAGCAGTTTCTCGGCGAAAACATCTGGAATCCGCCCACACAAAACGAGAAAATCAAATATGACTATGAGAAATCACTACTGATCAATAAAAACAACGATCACTGTTTGTATCAGTGTGTGATTTATCTCGCGCCTGGGGATTATCATCGTTTTCACTCACCTGCAGACTGGCGGCCATTTTATCGACGACATTTCCCTGGACAATTACTTTCGGTGAATCCTAGCATAGCGCGGTGGATACCCGGATTGTTTTGTCTCAATGAGCGCGCTGTGTATGTGGGTGAATGGAAACACGGCTTCTTTTCTTATACTCCTGTTGGTAAGTAAATTAATAAATCGGTTTTAGTTAAATATTTAATAAAATTTTAACTGATTTTAAGGCGCAACTAATGTGGGATCAATGCGTGTTTACTTCGATCGTGCATTGACGACAAACAGCAAAAAAGTCAAAGATGTAAATCAAAAGTTCCTCGGCGATAAAGTGGACGTGAAAAAGGGCGATATGATTGGGGAATTCCGTATGGGCTCGACGATTGTGTTACTATTCGAAGCACCGAAGAGTTTTAAGTTTTCTGTGTCCGCGGGACAGAAAGTGAGGTTAGGACAAGCACTGGGCAACTCGAAGGGTGTCCAGAGCAGTTTACACACCGAAACGTAATAAAACATTAATTATTTAAACACCGTATGACGCTTGTACCAATTCTTGTGATATGATAAGACTTGTTTAGTTAAAGAACGACAAAATACATTAAATAATTAAAATGTTATTAACTCTATTAACTATTAACTTACAGTGTGGTAAAAACACTTGTTTTGTAATTTTAGCACTTCATTGCCAATACTAGTCCATCCGGGTAGTAAATATCTTGCAAACACTTCCAAACACTTAATATTAATATTAATATCGTTAGTATCATGTAGAGAATTAAAAACATTGCTTATAATTTCATTTAAAGGTGGTTTATGTGAATGCATCGCAGATGGAACACTGACAAGCATTTTGTCATTCATATCCGGCCGCCATTTTTGTGCCATGTCACCACGTGCACCAATCATGATCACTTCATATGGTTGTTTCATATTTAGATCTTCTGAAGTGAATGGTATTATTGGTTCGCCGGTTTTGTTACTTTCAACCAGTACCAAAGTGTAACATTGATTAAGTTCCATTTTAGAAAGAATCTATCAACAGCTTTGCGGTGTTCTGGTGAGTTAGTGCACCAAACGAACACGACGCCATCTTGTTTCAACCATGAGTCCACAGAAAGTTGCTCGATGTCACCATTAGACATGAAAGAATATCCGTTTGTGAATTGTTTCTTGTTTTTGCGACGAATTGCTTTGTTGGTCCAAGGTGGATCCATAACAATCACATCAAACTTTTCTTCTGGTTTTAAATAATCGGAGAGTTTGCGTGCGTCGTTACAGATAAATGTACAATTTGCAGGGAATAAGAAATCCACGGCATTGATGTTTTTTGTAATAGCATGTGAAAATGTGTTGGAACCGTTAAAATTACCCAAAATAACTGAGGATTTATCTTGAAGACGAGAAACTGCATTTAAAGCTATTAAATTTGGAACTTTATACGCTTTATCGTCCGAATCACAAAATTTACGTTTTTTACTACATTCTGTTGTGTTATTAGCCAGAAAAACATTAGAATCACACATATCTTGTTTTATTTGTTTGTCAACACGTTGTGTATGCTCTACTAAACATTTCACAATCTTCTCCCGATATTTCTCGAATGTTTTCGCAGGAAAACTTTGAACATTAGTGTCGTTTTGTTTTCTTTTCTTTGTGGACTTTGTGTTGGTGCTATAAGTTTTGAACGGTTCACAGATTGCAAACAAGTCTTGATTAAAGCATAACGATTCACCGTTTACATTATTATACATTTTACGAATGTAATCTTCATGGGAAATAATAATAATATTGTCTTCTTTTAATAAAACACTCATTTTTTACTTTTTAAGAGATGAAAATTGATGCAAACCGATTGGAACTTATACCGCACGAATTCTTTAGGTTATGTTTGAAACAGTAACTAAAACATCAGTAAAATATCTATTTAAATTATAATAAACTGCATATTTTTAATATTTAACATTATGTAGTTGTATTTCTAAGATAAAAAATGAATAATTTTTTATTTTTTAAGCTTTGTTCTTTTCCGTTTACTCCCGACTTGAACCGATCTTACTTTCAACCATTAAAAAACCACCTATGACTCGTACTATTTGGTTTTTTTATATATTTGGACTAGAAGAGCTACTGTTCCCGATAAGTCGTGTGATGAAAATAATTAGCTTACAGTCTCATCCCAAGCACTCTCTAGCTGTCTTCGTCGCGCCGATGAAATCTATGGCCACCGAACCCGTTCAAACGTAATTCATTTATTTTTGTTTATTATTTTCATTTGAGTGCACTGTGCACTCAGATCACTTGCGCACTAACCACACTAATTCATCATTCATATCTTTAACCTTTCTTTTCGTTCGGTTTAAATTTAATATTTCTAATTCTTGAGTAATTTTTAGTCGTGAATAAAAAGCGCACATGTCGCACATGTCTTCGGACGACGCAATGGATTCGCAGCAGTATTCGCTCAGCTGGAACCATTTCCACTCCAACCTGAGCATTGGTTTCCAATCTCTGCTGCGAGAACAAGACCTAGTGGATGTGACACTGGCTGTGGATGGCAAATATTTCAAAGCACACAAGATGGTGCTGTCCATTTGCAGTCCCTACTTCAAGGAGTTGTTTCAAGTCAATCCATGCAAGCATCCAATTGTTGTATTACAAGATGTACAACATCGTATTCTCAAATGTCTGCTGGTGTTTATGTACCAGGGTGAAGTAAAGGTGTGCCAGAATGATTTGGCAGCTTTCATGAAACTAGCTGAAGCTCTTAAAGTAAAGGGACTCACTGATGGTGGTATACCAGAAGAAAATGAAAAGAAACCAGAGGCAGTATATCATAAAGATAAAAAAGTAAGCTAACAAATTAGGTTATGTTCCTATATAACATCTAACCTATATGTTTTTTAGGAAACAAGTACAAATGGATTATTTCCTGCCTCAACACAAATCGATGACCGTATGTCTCGATCTAGACCAATCCGTCCAAAAATAGTCAAACCTGTTGAAGTTGACACATTAAAAGCTCCACCAACTGTAACTCCGCCATCAACCTCATCATTACCAAATAAAAGACCTAAACTAGAGTATGGTGAAGACTATGATTCGTCCGACTTCATCGAACCGCAAAACAACAAAAAATCCAAAGATGCTAAATTACTGGCGCTGCGTTTGGAAGCGCTGCAGGCTCAACAGCGATTAATCGCACATCAAATGATGCAGAAGCAGGAGATGAAGCAAAAGAAGCTACTTACACATGCGCACACCACACCATTACCATCATCATCAACAAATGTTCAAAATCCACGCGGTGATGAACACAATTTGCTGGTTCCATTGAAAGAAGAACCTTTTGACGTGGACGCTACTCAAAACGATATGATTTTGGATATGAGCTCAATCGTGGCGACATCTCTAGGTGACGAAAGCGAAACGGAGGGAGCACTTAAGACTGAAACAGGGGATGCAGCAACACCAGGTATAAATTATCCATTATAACTTATATGTGTACGTTTGGTTGCCTGCTTTTGGTATGTGGGGTTATATTAAACAAATGTGATGTCCGAAAAAATTATACAAGTACAATTTTAAATACCTATGTGGATTAAATCAGTAGAAGGGAATCTAATACTCAATGTGTAGAACCTAGAGCTCCCGTGTCCGCCATATTGAAAGGTATTTAAAATGTGTAACCGCTTGTATGGTTTTTGTTTGCCCGTGCGGGCATATAGGTACATTGCAGTGTATAATTGGCAAACGCGGCTTACCACGCCTGCTCGTTGACGGACACGCTTTCGCAAAGAAGAGCATCTACAAAAATAAATGCTTCTGGTACTGCAAGGCAGCAAGACTCACCAAATGCACGGCTGTTTGCTGGACGGTGGCCGGGCGTGTTGTCAAGTGGCCGGGAGAACACACACATCCCGTACGACCCGAACGAATCAACCCGAAAGTCGACTTCGTTGTACCCACACATCAATTTCGCGAAGCTTTAATAAAAGCAACGCAGCAATAAACCTCCGTGCGCATGTCTTACATGATGCGTGACATTGGAATTCAAGCTTTATTTACGTTTAAAGAATAAAATTATGTTATATTTAGTATAAGTAAATGACAACGTTGTTCCCACATTGTGATTGGTTGCAGGTCGAGTGATGCTGCTCAAGAGTAGGCGGGGCCTGCCGGTGCTGATTCACGACGGCCATATTTACACCAAGCACAAAGTGGAGCCAACGCGCACGTTATGGTTGTGCGTGAAGCAGCGCAATTTGCAATGCGGCGGATGTTTGACCACTGGGATAACTGTGCAGAATGTTCTTTCTTTTAGCGGGCACAATCATCGACAGTTGCATGATATTATTAAGCGGTTACAAACGGCGGGTACTACGCTGGGCAGTGGGAGTAGTAATTGTGGCAGTAGTAGTAACAGCAGTCCTAGTCATAGCCATGATCGGCACGATTTTTCGCTGGAGCCGACGGATTTATCGCTGCCTTCGACGCAATCGTCGCAGTCGTAACAGTTTCACACAAAGTGTCTTTTATAAACGAATCAAACATACCCGGATGCTTAATAGCCTTAATACTTAATACCATTTGTATTTATTTAATTTATTGTTACGTATGTTAACTCATTGTCGTTAAATTAATCTGTTTTTTGAATTTTTTATTAATTATACTTGCGTGATATAAAATATCAGTAATATACCCCCTTAAAATTTTGTTTTATTTGTTTCATTAGTTCGTGAAATGAACGCCACGTGTAATTTAATTGAGTAGTGTGGCGCTAGTGTTGCCACAATGCTTTAGGAGGCACATTAACATCAAACGAACAAAAAATATAGCCTAATCTTCGAATTATCGAAGTAATTATATCAAAAGAATTAATTATAATCACAATATATTCCTATGATAAATTTTAGTTGATAAATGCGTTATTTTGTATTTAGTTTTCGTTAATTCAACAAAATTCAACTACTCATGTAACCTCTCAAAAGTTTTTCCAACTTGTTAGTTTCCAAGCCACCCGCTACATGTTATTCAAACGTAAAACAGTGGCGCTAGTATCGCCCATTCCGGCAAGTATCGATCCAGCAAGACATAACTCCCAAAAATCGACAAAATAAACTCAAAGTTCTTCGCTGATTAACGAAAATTAACACAGATAACTACTGCGACAGCAAGAGGACGATAAGCTATCTCTGAAATGTTGCCCACCACATTTCTGCGTCGCTTAGTGCAAGCGCAAATTCCACGTTTATCGCAACTCCGGTGTCAATCCAACGCACAAAAGTTAAACATTGAAAAACTCGAACAGGAATCAGTAAATGATGACACACAAGGTAAGAACTGATCACTTCAAACTGTATTAAATAAATTTCTATGAGTATTACTTAAATTTCTCTCTAATGAAATGATTTTCTCTTAGCTCTTGATGAAGAGGCAGAACTCAAAGAAGCTGCCATTAAAAAGTCAGAATAAATCAGGTTTGCAGCCCCAGCATCAAAATATAGTAAACAATCGACAGCCGTTTGAGGAACCCAAACATTGGTCGCACGCGACACTCAAATACCAGCGCAAAATCTACGGCAAATATGGCACTGAGAGCAATTTTGATCCATCACTATGCTGGAACAAGGATGAAATTGCTCAAAGGAAGGAATATGAGGCAATTGCCTATCCAAAAGAGGTTCTTGAACTCATGGAGATTGCCAAGACTAAGCGGAAGGCGCTAGAAGACCGAATTGCCCAGAAACAGGCTGATATTGCACAGAAGATGCAAAAGAATGAAATGTGGAAGGAAGATTTGTTCAAAAAGTTTGCTAAGAAAGAAGCAGAAGCCAAAGAGGCCAAGGTAACACATTTATATAAACCAACAATCAATTTTGAACAATTTCTTAATAAATATTTTTAATAGGACCGTAAAGACAGACTGATCGAAGAAGTCCGCCGCCATTTCGGTTACACCGTCGATCCACGCGATGATAAATTCAAGGAAATGTTAGAGAAGAAAGAAAAAGAGCAAAAGAAGGCGATGAAAGAAGCGCGCAAGAAGGAAAAAGAACAATTGATGATGGCTAAGCTTACCGTAAAGGGCAAAGAAGCCGAAAAGGCCAAAAAATCCAAACAGGCCGACGCTAACGCTAACGAAACAGAAGAAGACGCCGTGAAATAATTTGTACCGTGTATTACTTATTACTTAGCGCAATATTTAAATATAGTCAGTTAACTATAGACGTACGGTGAAAAATCGACTAGTATAATATAATATCTTACTTATTTATCTTTGACCACCACCAGCCCCCGCCTCCGGGTTAACGGCTGAAGATAACGCCATGACGAGCACCACTGGCACGATGTACATCCACTGAACAGACAAAAAATTCGGTTAACATTTACAAATGGCGGAAATGAAGCGAATTTTCTTTGCGGTTGGTACTTCTGAATTACCCAGGGTTCATTGCATTTTTTTGACAGCATGCGCAAAAACAATGCGCAATCATTGTATGAGGTTTACCCTTAATAATTAATAAAGTATGCATTTCAACTTACATATTTCGCCAGGAATGATTTATTATCCTTGACGTCTCCCTTTTCACGTGCCTCACGTTCACGCTCGATTTTTTGGATATAAGACGCGGTATCCGGTCTATAAAAAGCAAGAATATTAATTTAATTGAACATAAATATGATGAAATGTCAAAAAAATTATACTAACGCTGGTCCGCTATGCGTATGTCGCACATAAACATCAGTCATAAACTCTTTCAATTTGCTTAAAGCATTTGAACTTCCCTGGCAGGTAGAAGTAGATGCAATTGACTGTGTAACAGTAATCACTTTTCCAGTATAATCCAAAGTAACAGTGATTATATCATTGAGTTCTGCTTCAATTAACATACACTAAAAAATAATCAATATTCAAATTAATTTAAAAAAACAAGTAATATTATGTAAAATTCATTGACTTACAGCTTTAACAAGTGAAATATACACTTGTTCATCATTTCCATTGATTACTGTAGCTCTCAATTGATAATACTTGTTAGCTAAGCCCAAAGCACGAATTTTAACTCTGTCTTCATCAGAAATTTTCTGATGCACCATTGAAGTTCCAAGTCTTAAACTCGGAATACTGATGTTTCCACGTTCGGTAAATTTCGGGTTGGCTGTTCCATCCAAGCCATGCTCAAGTTTAATTTGTACTATTCCATCATATTCAATGTTCTTTAATATGTAGGGAATAAAAATAACATTAATATTGATGAATTCCAAGATTATTTAGTGAAATACTCACAGCACTGGCTAGTAAAGGTAGTAATATTGTTATTAGGAGGTAAAAGCATTGACTACGCTGCATTTTCTTTGGTTTTTAATTTAGAAATCGTAAGAATTTAATATTATTAACGTTTGTCAATTTATTAAGTGACTTTAATCAAAATTAGAGGTTATAGTCACTGCTGAAGACTGTCAGATGAAGTCAGCAGGAATATGTATACTTGGTTGCCAACCCTAATCAAATTTATGAAATATCTCATTTTTTATTCTTAGTTAATTAAACATTTAATTATATATTATACTCACATTCTTTAACACTGCCGAAATTAAAGAATTACTACCAAAAAATCTAAAACATTTTGTATTATCAATATACATGTACGAAAGTATATAATTTACCCTTTTCAAATATTTTATCAGTCAAATTTGCGGAAATATTTGCAATTTTCCCATAGATAATTACAGATGAATATGGAAGGAATCTTTCTGTCAAATGCAGTCATACCATTTTTCGCATTCAATATTGATAGCGGATGGTATAAAAGCCGAAAGAAAATCCACACTTTTCAATTTACTTTCTCGTCGCAGAATAAGTAACAATACATCAACATGTTCAACAAGTTCTTCTTAGTTGCCTTCCTGGCTGCCTGCACTGTAAGACACTATATAATTCTGAAACAAATTATTTAGAAAATAAAATCATAAAAATCCAATTTTCAGTATGTTGCTGCCGAAGAATGCGATTACTACGCAGAGATGCAATGGTTGACCGAACATCGCGACAACGAAGGCGGTATTCAAACTTGCATCGACAACAGCGATAAGAAAGATGACGTTGAATTGACTTCCACCAACAATGAAATGGTGACATTGGCCACAGCCATTGACAACAAATGGGATGCTGAATGTCGCGACACTCCTTGTTCCGCTGATGTTGCAAAGGGCTTGTACGAAGAATCAAAGAAAGTTAATGAAGAACTTAAGAAAATGCAGGCTATTCTTCCGGAATGTGACAGCATCAAGAAAATCATCGACCAAATCGATGCAGCTGAAAAATTATGCGGTTAATTTGCTTTCTTCTTCAATTGTTCTTATCACATACGATAAATAATAATAAACAATTATTCTCGCATGAATTACACGACTAATTTATACAAACCGACCTCAAAACCTCAGATTGAAAATTTTTTTTTCGTAATTTGTGAACAAAATGCTAGTTATCTCGTTAATATTGCCGATGATAATTATATTACAAGTACAGTATCATATTCATATCATATATAAATCAGTTTCATCAAAAAGTGTAATAAATGTCATCAACTCAAGATGTCAATGAAAATCTAACCACTTGCTTAACATCGTAAGTTGAATAAACACCTTCGTACATCTTTACACACAGCAATGTTTATAATAATCGCAATATTTGCACGTGAAGAACAACTCTTCCACTGTTTTTGCCACTAGCCACTTGTTAACAATATTCAACGCACTTAAAACTCGCTTAAAATCAAATTAAATTACTCTCTGTTCGCAGTTTCAGTTAGTTTATAGTTTTTCTCATTTGTTTTCAATTCATATATTAACTAGTTTGTTTTCTCTGCGGTTGCTTAGCTTAAATGCCTTAAACTATTCAAAACTATACACTAAAATATCACAATAATTTGTTTTCCATTTGCATAGTGATCTTGCTTTGCTACAGCATCCCAAAACTAAACCTTATCGTTAAGAATTAAATAATTATGCACAAAACTAACTCATAAAACCACTCACATCGCTTGCCGTTAGGTTTCTAATATTAAAACTCGATAATTTCTTTGTTTAAGTGAACTAATAAATCTCATATCTCATAAATGTCAAATCTCTCTTTGATAACCACTGTTTTTTGTTTTAATATAAATTCGTTAAGCACGCTTTCGACGACTAAATTTCGAAAACGCAAGTTATACTTTTTTAGGTTAGGATTTTCTATGAAATAACGTTGATTTCGCGTGGAGATGCCAACGCTGGTTGTACCAGCATAATCATCCGTGAAGGAGAGGCCGAAGTCGACGCAGAAGCCGCTGCTGATGTTGAAGCTGTGGTAGAAGATGGCGACAGAGCAGCTTCGGAGTTTTTCAACTCAGCGAGCACCCGAGCTTCGGTTGTCGCTTGTTTTATCGCTTCTTTATAGGGACCGCGTTTCTTTTTATTGTATCGAGCCTAAATTCACACAAAAATTAAAGAAAATTCTTTAGAAATTAAAAAACTTACTTTGAAGTTAGCCAAGTATGAACTGAGATGTTCACATTGAATTAGTGAGGAAGTGGATGAACCATACCATGAAACATGCGCTTGTGGACGGGGACCACTATCGCCATTTGTAATCGTCAAAATCTTTCCTGGCCACCAAGGAAAACCCTGTATTTTACCCCAGACGACATCGCCGACTATCAATTGTCCACCTGAAGATAAAAACATATAAAAATTAATTAAAAAATAATTTTTTCTTTAAAATTTATAAGATTACCTTCGGCACCAAGCGCTGAATGTAAATTTTTCGCTGTCAGCTTCAATCTGAGCGGCCCCGGAGGAAAATCAGGCACTTCCTCCGATGAATCTTCATCCCTATCATCCATATGAACATCGTCATTCTCTCCCTGATCATCATCATGAATTAAAAGTGGATCATTCTCTTCTGGTTCACTGATATTACTTGTAGTACTCGTGGCGTCCGCTACAATGGAAGTAGTGTACGTCCCACTCAACCGCTTCAAATTAATCGAAAGTTTCTGTGTGAGGCACTTCTCTTTCTCCTCGTCCTTCTTTTCGTCTTCTTTATGCTTCCGATCGCGATCCTGCCTGTCCTCCTTGTGCTTCTTTTTGTGTTTCATTTTATGCTTACGTTTCTTCGGCAGTGGTTCGAAAGCGGCTTGGGGAATAGGCGGCAACGACGCGACGAATCTCGGTGAATTATTACCTAAACCATGACGTGGAGATGCGCTACCAACTGTATAACGCGGCGATGATGAACCAATCGAATATGAAGATGATGAAGAAGGATTGTAACGACTTGTTGATTGTTCTGTAATTAATATAATTAAAAATTATATAAATTAGTTTATGATTATGTTTAATAATGTACCTGGTGATCCAATAGTTTGGAAAGTGATCTTTTTCTTGGCTTTTTTCGCCTTTTTCAACGCTTTACGCGTTGCTTTGCTTGCGATTTCCTCTTCAACTACGTTTTCTTCAGGAACATCATCATCTTCACTATCTACGTTAATAGATGTTTCAATTGCAGCAGGAATTTTCAGAACAGTACCCTCCCGCTGTGGACCGTAACAAATTTTAATCGTTCTGGCAGTGGCGGGTTGCGCCAACTCCGCTGATTTCGCCTCCACTTCTTTTTCTCTCTCCCCAATCAACACAGACTTTTTCCTAGTTAAAATCACACGTTTTAAGCGTTTATCATCCCCATCTTGCACGTCATTCCCGGCAATAGCGTTCTGATTACTCTGATTGGACAAACTAAGCGCTTTTTTGTTGTTTACAATGTTTAATTTGTTAACAATACCGCTAAGAGCACCCTGTTGCTTTTTCGAGTGTGATTGTGTTTGCAATTGTGGCTGAGACAAAACCTGCAGGTGTGAAGATGATGACGAGCGGGTTACAGGAGCATTCGCGCTGCGTTTCGCCGGACTCGATGTTGATATCACTGGTGTAACCAGTGGGTGCGTTGCCACAGGTGGAGTTACAACTGGTACATCTGCATCAACAGCCTTTCTTTTCCTCGTTATACTCTCTGAATTCTCATTACAAATGTCCTTGCATTTCGAGCAGAGGACTTGTCTGGGTCTCAGCCGCACCGTCATCTTGCCGATTTTGTTATTCTTGAGAGTCCGCGTCGTCTGCGGCGCAGTCGTCGGCGATATGTGCGTGTACTTTGGGTCGGTGTAGGCATATCTTTGTTTGACGGCGTAGAGCACATCTTCGTCGGGCTTTCCGGCGTTAAAAGCTGGATTCAGTTGCGTGACGCCATACGGCAATTGCCTGGAATGAAATCACCTTGCAGTCGTGCACACATCGAGTAATGTGGAGGAGCTTGATGATTGTTGTTCGATGTGGTTTTTGAGTTTAGGAAAGTGAGCCTCACCTTTTCGTCGCGTCGAGGAGAACGCCGCGGAAAATGTGCGCGTCGTGCACGTAGGAAACGACGATGATGTCGGGCAGGGCTTCGTCGACTCGAACACTCAGCTGGGCGCCCTTCAGTGACGTTAGGTCGCACATGGTGCGTTCATGTTCTTCGCCGTGGGTTTTGTTTGGAGGCGGCCGCGCACCGTTCGGCCATTACTTTTCTTAAATAATCGTCGTAGTATTTGTAACCATTGACTTGGCGCATGTTAAGTTGCCTAACGTACGGCGTAACAATGTTTTTAATAATTGAAAAACAAGACTAAATAAACAAATATCATAAAAATATTGATTCATATTCGCATTCATAAACGTATAAAACTTAAAATAATACTGACAGCAACAGAATGTTGCGTTTCGTCACATCCGTACAAAATATAGTCATTTTTATCTTACAAGTTTTAACAGTTTCATATAAAAGTCTTTTAAACATAATTAAATGCTCAAAGCACTAGTCAAAATGTTGCACAGCAACCAAAAAACAGTAAAAACTAAGAAAATACTCTCAAAAATAAACGAAACACTTACACTTAATCAGTAACCATGGTAATTCAATAAACTTAATTGAAAAAAGAGTCAATATTCTTAAAAATAAAAGAAGTACTTATAAAAATATAAAAAGTGGTAAAACCTAACAAAACCTCGGCTATGATTTAATCATAAGCGTTCCAAACAGGACTGTTATCAGAGAAACACTCAATCATTGCGTCGAAATTCGTTACAACGTATTCTTCGTTAGTTAAACAAGAGATAAGCTCATCTAAACATCCCAAACAAGTGTACATTATAGTACTTCCAGTAATAAGACGATTTACTGCCAACTCATGCAGGAATGTTGCATTAATAGAGTCAAGCCGAAGCTCCCTCCAAGTCACGTCGGACATATCAAGTAAACGACGCAAAAGAACAACATCACTCATACCCGTAAAAACCTCCTGGATTTCCAACATGGCCACGCAAGGACGTGATCTAACACGTATAATATGGATTTGTTTATCCAATACCGCTGTAAAATACCGCATATTGATAAATATTAAGTGTTAAAATATATATAAATTACTTACTAGTGGTAACAACGTATTTCTTAGTTTGAGCCTGCGCAGTGGGTGGATTAGCAGACGCCGCCATGTTGAAATTCCTTTCGTGATTGGAACGCAAATTATTCACGTTACTATTGAATTCAAGTCCATTCACCGGCGAAAATGGTGTTAACGCCGCTAGAGATTTACGTCCCATGTTCAAACCATACAAGTTTGAAGCGAAATTGCTTGCAGGACTAACCGGACGTGATTTGTAGTTGGAATTCGTCATCGGCGACATGAGCGGAGTTGGAATATTGGGTTGATTTCGAAAGTATGCCTGCTGATTCTGATTGTATATCATTTGTTGTTGTAGATAAAGTTGCCTTTGCAGTAGCGGCAAATTTTGCGCAATCGTATCATTACCGTTCGGTAATTCGTGAAAACCAAAGTCGTGTACATTTGGTTGCATACCACCAAGACTCATGTTCCCGTTCAGCGAGTATTGCGATGAATTATTGAAATTTTGTTGCTGACCATTATAATTTGGTCTTTGGAAAGATGGTGCAACAGGTGAGGCATTCGTTTGTGTTTGACTAAACGGTGGAACAACTAATCTCCGTCTGAATCCGGGTGGTATACGTACCCTCCGCGATGTACTCGGCATATCTTCACCGCCATCTTGGTTTACTTCCGATTCTGTGTCATCTATTAAAGAAACTTGAGATTCAGGCTCCTGCTGCTGGGAAATTTCTGATGTCTCAGTCATTTCATCACTACAAGTAGGAGATTCGTCACTTTCAGAATTTCTATCCGTCTCACATGCATTTTCTGCTCTATTTTCAACTTGAGAGATCTTCATGCGTTGGAAAAACTTATTCACTGGATTTTTATCTTCCTCAGGCGCAGTTTCTTTCACACGTTTAAAATAAATCGGATAAATCTCGTGAAGAGGCATTCGCAACGCAATCAATCGGCGCATTTCCATTGCTGTAGGCACCGTCGCCGTTTCAATTTCGATGAATAACGGATACAAATACAGATCGTTCACGATCGGCACGTACTCATCGTCGCCGGAGGATTCCAAGGGTTCCTACCAAAAATAAATCAAATAAAATTAAGCATTTGAACGCTTCAGCAAGTATTTTATTCCCACTTACATATCAATAAGTAAAAATTAAGTTAAATCAATGATTTATCAAAATATTAGCATTATGCAAATTTAAATCAATTATTTCTTGATTGAAGCAAGTTTAATAATTAATTCTTTACGTGTGAGCCATTTTTCGGTTTGGATGCGTCGCTAACATGTTCTGAATCATTACTTTGCCTACTTTGTTTCGGTGCATCCGCCATTTGCATTTTGCGCATTAGTTCAATCAATTGCCGTTGCGAAACGCGACGTTTAACAGTAGAATCAGAACAACTCGTTGACGAAGATGCACTTTGACAATCGTCTATAGAATTTACCTGATCAATAGGAATCGCAAATCCTTCGACAATGAGCACGTCCTGGATGAAGATATCTTTCACACCCGATGAATCACAGAGCACCAATTCGTAGATTTTATCCGTTTGCTATAAAATAATATTTATTCATTTATTTATTGTTTTTAATATAAAAAAAACTTACTGATGCATCAACGCAATCAATAGATCCGTATATTTTTTTCTCCTTGATGAGTTGTAGAAATCTGTACGCAGCATCACGACTCCATTGCGCTTGTTTTGTCGGCGGCATTACACGCGCCAAACGTGCACGCAAGCCTTGCCTTCGTAAGTTGGTAAACTTCTTATGCATGAAATAAATGTTAGCCAGTGTTGTTTTTTCTATGACGCCATCATCAATGCGGAATATTGTGACCATAAATTCATCGAAATTTACCACAATACCACGGGAATAATCAATTCCGCCTTTGTATAAAATCACGTACAATTCTTTAGTCAATTGTGTGCGGGATATTGTGTAACGTTTGTAATGTGCGTTGTAAAACTTTCTATTTATAACAAAAAGAAGATTTTAAGTAAAAATGAGTAAAAACGTAAAAAATTTAGATTTAAAGTATTAAATCATTTAATTTTCGTTGATATTTAGTTTAAAAATTCACTTACTCAATGTTTCCAAGAAGTTCCTCTAATTTATCTTCATTATCAGCGAGACTAAACCAAAACTTGGACAAATCATAAACTTCTCCGATGAATATTGGCGTGTAAAGTTGTTCATCGATGCTTGGCATCACTTCAAGTGGAATTGTCTCGCCAGGAAGCATCACACAAGGTGGATAATCATTATCCTTCTGAAAAAATATTAAATTATCACTAATCAATCAAAAATTTAAACAATTTACAATTTCCCACCTTTAATACATGTGGCAATGCTTCAACATTCGGAATCGCGTGTTCTACAAACGGTTGTACTTCATTGAACAACTCAATCATTTCATCCGTCTTATCATCAGGAATAACACCATTGACATAATATAATTTCCCATCGCCTTTACGCAGTGGTTTATACTTGAAGATGTATGGCAATGAGCAACACAGTTGTACAAGTGATGTGTAACCATATTTAACATAATCAAATCTTTGCTTATAGCACTTTTCATACTCTTCTGGAAACTTTCTCAGCCACAAACCATCAGGAAATTGAATTATTAAATCTTTAAGATTTTCCTGGATGACGTGCGGTATTTTATAGTTAATATCATGATTCAGAGTATTGTTGTATGAATTCCAAGTAGTAGTGGATGTTGATGGTTGTAGTTTAGTCGGTTGATTGTCAATGGCTTGTCCATTATGATTTCCATTGATTTTATCTTGATTTACTTCGTTTTGTTGTTTTTTCCGGAAACGTGGCGGACATGGATCACGTTTCGCACGTGGTTCGAAGGGAACTTGGCCTGGTGGTGGGATATTTAATGATAACAAAGAAGGAATGTTGTTTAATCGTGGTTGGGATGCTGGACATGCCAGTGGCATTAAATTAGGTAATGGTAATAATGGCACTTTTGAAGAAACATTAGTCTGTTGTTTAAATTGTCCAAGACAAGGTGGTTTTACAGCTGGAGGTTGAAATGGTGCTTCTGTGGTGGTAGTTTTACTTGTGCTAGGAACTATGACTGAGAAATTTTTTGGTTTTCGCTTTGTTGATTTCTTGGAGTTGTCTTTTTGATTTGCAATCATTTTGATGATGTGTTCTGATTCAGAGGATAAAACTGCTGTAACATATGCTGAAGGTCCTGAACCAGATAACTGTAAGAGTTTATTAATATTTATTTTTAAAATGTGCAAAAATTCTTTTGTTTTATTTCTAAACTTTTAAAACTTACAATGCATGTATCCGGAATAGAATATAAAAACTCTTGACCAGTTCTATAACCATACTTGTGGTGTGGAATATCATATCCTATCATCTCGCGGAATTGTTTATAAAGATCAGCCTGTGTCATTTGGTCTCTACTTGAACCCAGAATGCTTTTTATAAGAAGTTTTACTTCATGAAGAGAAGCCTGACGTGACAAGTATTAATTTTGAGTGATTCACGTAGTAAATTCAATTGTTTAACTTACCATTTTATGGATTATGATTTGGTACAACTTAGAATACTAAACTTGTTGCAATTCGACTACTTCTGTGAGATTCCAATTTGATTTTTATAACTTAACCTCGATTTTATAACATGAGAATAAGTTGAAAACACGATTTGATTCTTAATGCATTCTGTGGTGATTTAAAGACATTCTGCGTTGTTTCGTTGTTTAAAGTTTAAAATATTTGTTTATTATATTCAACACTAAGCTATATTCGAGTAATTATTAATTGTCTTATTATTTACGCAAAAAAGCGCGGTTTTAAGATTCAACGGCAATGCATGTTGGACATGTATTGAAAGTTGCCGATAGTCGCATGTTGGTTCCTGCATAAAATGTGATTGTATTGTCCACGGTATTGTCGTTGTAACAAACGTGTAATGTTGGTTGCAGCTGATAAATTCTGCCAAAAGCATAAGTGATAAGTGATTCATTGTGCCATTTACTAACCTAAACCGATCTAAAATCTAGATTCAGGAAGGAGGAATTTTGAACCTTGCATCCAAAGCAAATGGCTGAGCACGACTGAGTCAAGTGGGTATCCAAATTATTCGCAAACCTATCGGGATCTGCTTGGGGGGGGGTTCGGGAAGTTAAGTACCCAACGGAAATCTACTTGGTTACTCTCGTAATTCATTAAATTGATTACCACTTTCGCATAATTTTCTATTTTCTAACATTAATATGCTTTTAAAAAGTATCACTGGGTTTACCAAATGCTTTGTACAAAGCCTTCCACATTGTATACATGTTATGCTCAGGATTCCTAACTAATTTCAAGTGTTCACCGATGTCCATGCAAATAATATCAGTGCTATTTGGAATGGCATTCGCTTGCGGCCATATTTTATTTTCCAGAAGTACATCTACTGTAGGCGTTGGATTTCTGCAACATTTACAAACAAATATAAATTATATTCAGAGTGAATACATTTTAAAATATAACATTGTTACCCAGTTTTAGCAAAATTTGTCCACATACGAATAAGTCTACTCCGCACTAATTTATCCATTTTGGTAAACATATTCAAGTTGGTGTTGTTGAATGTTTTCGTGCTTGTTCGCCAAATGTAGTTTAGATCAGCGCCATGTTGTACCTTACCCAAACCGTCTACGCTTGTTTTCCACAAGCCTAGTTTACCAAAATAAGAAAATCGGTAGTAATAAACTGGCGCGTGTTTGCTAAGAAGTGAAACCGATTCGCGTGTTGGTCGGTCAAAGAAATGATCACTCAAATACTAAAAACAGAAAGTTAAATATGTGTTGTGTATGTTTGGTTGCAGTACCTTGATTATTTTAGCGTTGCTATTAAGCGTAATCGGAGCAAAATCAAAGTAAAAGTTACGAATGTGCGTTGCAACATTCAATACAGAGTCGAAAAATGACGCGTACATATCGGTAGGAACCAAGATGGCGGGTGCTGCGTCAACTTGCAATAACAAAGGTCTTAGAAGAGTTAAATCTATAATTTTAACAATAATATTATTCATTGCGGTTTATGTTGAGAGTAATTCATTTTGCTTACTATCGGCAACCACCAATGCTTCCTCTGAATTAAATCCTAAAATGTATGGAAAATCGGGAAATTCTCCTTTTTTCAACAATTCATACGACTTATTCGTAACAATAGCGTTGTCATGAGGTGGTTCTACACTTGGTGCAAACGCTAAACCATTTAGAATGCCTACTAAAAATCCAGAATCCTAAAAATTAATTAATTAATTAATTATTCCATTAAAAACGAAAAAGTTGAAATTATTTTTTACCCCGAGAAAAACTCCAAGCGCTGCTAGTTTTAAAACATTCACGTCCACTTGTTTCAAACAATTAACCATCAATTGACTGTCAAAAATAAACAATCCACACAACGTAGCTACCGCTATGCGATTAGCGACATCTCTGGGATTACGTTGAAAAGACCAAGGACACAGTGTGTTCCCACTCTGTGCTATCACTTTATTAAAATAATTCTTTCCTTTGGTGAGCGGTGATTGCGCCAGGTACATTACCATAGCGCCCCTGCTGATTCACCAAACAGTGTCACGTTATGTGGGTTGCCGTTAAACTTCTCAATGTGTGATTGCACCCATTGTAAACCAAGTAAAATATCTTTAAGTCCATTGTTTCCAGGTACAATTGAATCACCAGTGCTTAAGAAACCTATTCACCGATAAAAAAAGGGCGGTTACAAAAAACATTTTATCTTCGTAAAAATATTTACCAAAAACACCAATGCGGAAATTAATTGTCACTACAACAACATTTTCTTCAAGGAAATAATCAGGACCGTAGTAGTTATATGATGAGTCACCGTTCATTTGTGCTCCGCCATGAATCCAAAACATTACGGGTAATAAATTATTAGTAGAATTTTGCGTTGAATTTAGTGATTTTACAGGTAACTGTAATGAAACATCAGTGTAAATGGGTGTAATGTGTGTTGCCTAGTTTTAGTCTTACTTGTGGTGTGTAAACATTAATATACAAACAATCTTCGGATTCGGGCATGCCTGATTCACTATCAGGTATCTGAATACAACAATGGCGGTCTTCAGTTGCATCATAAATTCCTTCCCAAGGTTTGACAGGTATTGAAGGCTCGAATCTCTTCGGAGTTTCTGCATATCGCATCGCACGGAAACCGTAGAATATTTTGCGGTTGGCTTCTGTTTTTCCAATTCGACCACGCACGGTACCCAATGATAATTCCACATCAACAATACGAATCTAAAATAAACAATAATAACAATAATTTTACATAAAACAAAGTTGTGTAATGTTATTCACTTAGTTCCGCATTTAAAAATAGAAACCATGCAATTGTTATGATTACAAACCGCATTTAAATGTATTCGTTGTACAAGTTATTAATATAAAACTCAAAATCACTTTTCACAAATTATTCACATGAATAAAAATAGGTTAGGTTAAAATTCAATGTAGAAAACTTCTAATTCTCATAAAACTCATTACTAGCGCCATCTGGTAGTGTATTCTTGAACAGTAAAGTAAATGTCAATAAAATGACAGCAAAACCTAATAAAACTCATTTTATTAATTCATTTGCAGATATTTCCTATTAAATTATCAGATTAGGTGAATGTCTGCAGTTAAGTTTAATTCTTGTGACTCTTGCAAGTTGCTCGTGCGGTACCGAACCGTGTGACTCGGTTTACTTACTCCGTCAAACCGTTACAGCTTACATAATCCGCAACAGAACACAATCAACGACTCCAACAGCCTGCGCACGATGCAAGCGATACGGTCAGGCACTAATGTGTTCGCAACTACTTCCACTTTCAATGCAAACCAGTGAAACACGCACTTTTTCATTATAAATGTGTTTCACACCGATTGCAAATACACATACCTCGTTACCATATTAATTTGTTTCGATTACTCTACATTCGAATTACGAATTACGAATTTGACTTTAGCCGTTTGGCACTCTTGAATATTTCAACATTTCCAATTAGTTTCTTTCTATTTAACAAAAGCAACTCATTAAAATTTGTTTTTGTTTGGGAACCTTGGCCGCTTTGGCCTTTTACCTCTTAAAACTCTCAAAATACAATTAATTTGCTGCTTATTGATGTTTCCTTACATTCTTTACCTTTTGGCAATGACTTATTGACTTAATTCAGAGCTATTCATAACCTAACCTTAAATCAAGGTTAAAACAATACTTACACGTGATTCGTACGTTCCTAAATCATCTAATTCGTTGTCATCTTTTATATTATCATCAATATCATGTTCATCACTGACAGAAAACTCATCAGCAACATTTGACGCTGTTTCAGCGCTGATTACTACTTGATTATCATGATTTTCATGCAGAATTACTTCAGTTGTGGTTGGAGGTGTAATGTTGGTTGCCTGCGTTGGTACAAACACCACTGCACTTCCTTCACTTATTTCACTCACATTTTTAATATTTTCTAAATTCAAATCACTTGTAATATTTTGTTGCGTTTCTTCCGCGTTTATTGTTATCAATAATATTGCACTACACAACACCAACAAATGATAAACAAAATTTAAACAGTAAATAACACGCATCTTACATGACATAACACGGAAGCAGGTAAATATTGAACGTGTAATATTTGTGTAATGAATAAATGCACTTTTATAGTCAATAGCATGCGCTACCGCAGACTTTGCGAACTGCGCGAGCTAAGCTCCACCGACGAATATAAACCGGCGTCTTAGTATGCGCACTCAAAGAAAGCAAAAGTTTCTTCGCCGAAGGACGCGGACGTGCGAACGGATCTTTGTCCGCCAGCCATACAGTCATTTGTTAGAAAAAAGAAAAAAAAAACAGAAATAAAATGGCGTTTCTTGTGTTTCTAATGTTAAAAACTCGTAAGAAAGTGAAACTTTGATTTAATTGTTGTTTGACATCATCGTTTCTTATATTCTTACATATTACACGATGTATGTAATAGATAATTATCGTTACAGTTGAAAAATGCGTGCACAAAAAGAAAATGAATGCGCATGCGCAACAAATTCAATTAAATGTCTGTTCTGATGAAATACCGGTTTGTAATTGAAGCAGAGTGTTAATTGCACAATGAAATTGGCTTTTCAATCGTTGCTGCATTAATTAAACGTAATGCATGCAGATAAATCATAATTATTGCTAATCTAAAATCTAGCATAACTTAACCATTAATAGTATATTAAGTAACAAGTGGCTAAACAATGGCATCTTTAACAACGTTTAGCCACAAGGTGCTTACGCTATTTTTTCTACTTCCACTCTAGTTTTATCTGCTTTTTGCACCGCGTCTACTTTAAAGTGCTTGAGTCACGTCACATGGCTTGTTATCTTTAAATTCCGAATCGGATATAAAAATAAAAACATTGATAAAACTTCGAGATCATGTGTTTATATCAGACAAGCAAACATATTAACGCTTTACAAGTAGAAATAGATAAAGTATTTTGTGTTTACTAATCTATTAAATATACTACTTCATCATACTTTAATTATAACTGGGGTGCACTTGACAATGATGTGTATCTGGTCAATATCAACGAAATGATCGATTGTTATAAATTTACAGTGTGGAAATTTTTATTTCATTTGATATCTATTAAAGAAATTATAAAGTTTGTTTTCTGCCTGAAAACAAAATACCTGTGTTTAATTTGTTTGTTGTTTTCACAATCTAGATACAATAAATATATCACTTCTTATTTATATAAGTTGTAATACATGTAGGTCTTAATTATGTTTTTTAAGTATTTAACACATTGCATTTTTAATTAGCATAAGGTGGAAATGTAATTGCATACATCATGCAAGGTTAACTATCTGATTACTCTTGCATTACATTCACTCTTCATTTTTAAATGTCATATATTTATTCAAGTCGTAAAACTGTTTTTTATCTGTGACGTGATAACGGTTTATTTTTCTTTCAATATGTTACACTACATGCTAATCTAAAATCTAGCATAACTTAAGATTTAAACATCCTAAAAATAATTTAGTTTTTTTTTATCTGTGATTTGTGAATTTATACATAAACGTACGAAATCAGTAAAATCAGAGATCAGAAATCAGTTGCACGCGACAATTAACGAGTTAACCACTGATAACACTCACGCCACTTACGCCACTTTATTGTTTTAAACTCAATAATTCGATCACTTGGATTTACACCCAGTAGTAAATCGTAGGTTCATTAGTGAGCACGATTCTTGTATTCCATAGGATTGGGGTATGTATATATATAAATATATATTTATTTGTTGATACATAAATTAGATTAACAGTGCAAAGTATTAATTAATAAATCTTATATAGAGTTAGTATATTATATTTGTGTAACGTCAAAGCTTAGTGTGTCGTATTTACCGGTAGTTTTCCAAATGTACTTTTGTTCTTTTTCTATATTTTATTTGCGTCTGCTAATCGCTGAACTAAGGTTTCAAACATTAGCAGACTAGTGTCACGACCATGAATAATATGATTATGTATTAAATAGAAGTTAGAAAGTTAGAAAGAATAAAGCAGTTGTTAAAAACAATCGCAATTGTTAATATCAAGTCTTCGTTGTCTTTTCTTTGTGTTCTTCTATTATTCAAAAACAAGCAAATTGGTATATTAATTATTAACTTATAGGATACAAGGACTGTTCTAAATACGTTTCTCAAAGGCAACGTCGAATACATCAGCAGCAACTCGAAGATATCTGCAAATAAATACAGGTACTTAATTGACTTTATTTAACTGTCAGAAGAGAACAGTTATGGCTTTTATTTGATGAAACTTTATATTTCACTTATTTTTAATTAATTAGTAAATTGTGAGAATTACTTAACACCAAATTACCAAATTATATTATACCAAATTAATTAATTAATTATTTTTTTTAGAAATTTTATGGAAAAAAGAACAGGGCAGTCCAGAAAGAATCCAATATTACCAATCGGTCATCCCGAAAAGACCATGATTAGGGGTTTCAAATTGGTTTGTACGTTAATTATGATAATGTCTTTTGCTCCAGCAAATGGACTTGAATTCAATGACGTAGATTTGCCAATATTAAGTGGGAATTATTTTGAAAATGTTCCCGAAAACACCACCAATCTTTCATTTTCAAACTGTAACATTACCTACGTGAAGTATTTCGCGTTTCATATATTTGAAAACATGACAACTTTGAGCATCACCGGAAACAACATGACAACATTCAATATAGCTCCCAACCAACTGCGGGTTCTCGATTTGTCTGTCAATCAAATAACATATATTGATGATCAACTTCTGCTGAACTCCCCTAATTTAACGCAATTGTACTTGGAACGCAATAACTTGAAAAGCATTGATTGGAATTTAAATGCGCATTTCAACCTGCAAAAAGTAATTCTAAATGAGAATCAGATAACAACCATCAACTTGATTTCACCTACTCTGCAAGAACTTTGGATCAAACGCGAAGACGGACGGGTTCAATTTTCAGCAACAAGCAAAATGGAACAACTTACATTTTTGGAAACCAGCGAAACGGAAACTGACGCAGATTTGTGTTGGTTAAGTAACTTTACATTGAAGATTCAATCAACTCAAGAAGTAAAACTTTGCAAGAATTCTACTAATCAAGTTAAGAATCCCATCAATTTTGGAAATCAAACACACAGCGCAAGAGACGAAAACCAGTTATCTATCATATGGTTTTGTGCTCTTCCGTAACAATTGTTATTGTAATACTTGGGTTAGGTTTTATTTGTAAATGGTTTTACCTACGCACAAAACTAACCTACACAAAAATTTCACGTTAAAGACTAATCAGGGGCGTAGCTACCGCCGTATTTGCCGTATCAATTATACGGGGCCCCCGGGCCACGGGGGCCCCCAAAGTGTGTGAGGAAAAACCTTTACCTCCATATAAGGGCCCCCAAAAAAATTTTTATACGCGGCCCCGACAAGGCACGCTACGCCACTGAGACTAATTGACATGGTTAAGAAGGAAGTATAGCATTGCGAACGCGTCTTTTTCAATTAAGCTTTTTTACTTATTTTCGTGGTTATATTTATTGGTAATTCGCTTTATTTAAATGTTTACTATGGGAACTACAAAAAAATGCTTTAACAATAAACTTAAGCATTCGGGCAGCAACTTCTAACCCCGACTTAATCCGTATTTTCCAAACCACGGATCTTTCCAGGTATTCACGGACATCTATCTAATCCGTCCAAATAGAGTGGAGTCGCAATAATCTGGTCCCAGTCTAATCCGGCACCCTTTGAAATCCGACATGGTCATATGCCATATGTTTATACTTTAGAGTACATATAAGTATAACATATAAAATCTTATGTAAAATCTTATGTAAAAAAAATCCGGACTGTAAGGGGTTTTAGGCAGTCCTCTATAATTCGACAAATTCGCTCATCCGACACTGCCCTGCAAAGTGATTGTCGGATTACCGAGATTCCACTGTAGTGTATTTGAACGTGGAACCAAAGTTAATATGTAAGTGTTTGTAGTTTATTTGCAAATACCAACTATGTTATACAAAATGGCACAATAATATCTTATTATAAACAACGATGTGGAAACACAACCGATTTCAGCCGCAGTTGAAAACAAACTATCTTCGACCTCAACTGATCATCTTGATCTCGAATCTTTAACAAGGATAACATTTGTGGAATCAATCGCGCTTCAAAAAGAGCGACTTATCAACGGATAAACATACTGAATATTTTGCAATCTTGGATGAATCTGTTGCCAAAAAATCGAATCAATCAAAAAATTATTAACATGTTTGTGTTAATTTGGTACGTAGAAATCGATTAGGATTTAGACTGCGAATGTACAACCATGCAAATATACAATTTGCACAACTTAATACAATTATTGTTGCATACAAACCATAAAACCACATCAAAATTAATTGGTATTCTTCCTTTGGTATAATAATATCATCATAGTTTGCCCTTAACGTACTCAATTCACAGTTTATGTGCCTTTGCTTCTTAACAATGATAGTCGAATTCTTGCAAATTTTATCTTCTTTGGTTGATCGAATCGTCAGTGTAGAATTGCTTAACCAACACAAGTCTTCGTCAGTTTCCGTTTCGCTGGTTTCCAAAAATGTAAGTTGTGCAATTTTGCTTGTTGCTAAAAATTGAACCCGTCCGTCTTCGAGTTTGATCCAAAGTTCTTGCAGAGTAGGTGAAATCAAGTTGATGGTTGTTAACTGATTCTTATTTAATATTACTTTTTGCAGGTTCAAATGCGCATATAAATTCCAATCAATGCTTTTCAAGTTATTGCGTTCCAAGTACAATTGCGTTAAATTAGGGGAGTTAAGCAGAAGTTGATTATCAATATATGTTATTTGATTGACAGACAAATCAAGAACCCGCAGTTGGTTAGGAGCTATGTAGAATGCCTTCAAGAGGTTTCCGGTGAGATTCAAATATGTCATGTTTTCAAATTTGCGGAATGCGTCATACTCAACATAGGATACATTGCAGTATGAAAGTGACATATACGTAGTGTTTTCAGGAATATGATCAAAAGGGAATCCAAATCCATTCGGAGGACACATTTGATTAGATTCCTTTATGTTCTCAGGTTCCGTAGTAGTTGTATCAATATTTAGAACTCGAAGATTTGGAAATTGTTTGCGTATTTCATTTTCACCTACATTATTACCGCGCAAGTCCATTACTACTAAGGAATCCTTGAATTGCAGCAATGGCTTAATACTAGACGAGTTGAGGTTGCACCCAACACAAGAAAACTCTACTATCTTAGCAATGTTTGATCCTCGTAAAGTAATTCCAAGATTTCCGTTTAAATTAAGTTCACGCAAATCACTAGAAGGAATCAAGCTGAAGTCAAATTCTCGTAAGTTAGTTGATTCCATATTTAACTGCACAATATTTCTTAAGACTGTGATTAATCCCTTGCAGTGATTGATACTTGCACATTCATCAATTTGAAGACCATGTAATGATTCCAAGAAATTGCGTGCTTCGATATTCGGATCCATGCAATTGTCAGCCACTTGATTCATTGATAATAAACTAACACGTAGGACATCATCATCTTGAAATTTTGTGATACGTTCAGGAGTTAAGTCGTCACAGGCGATTTCGGTGTATTTTGAAAATGTTGGTGTCAATAAAAACAACACATTTAAAATGATGAGCGAGCTAGTGAGCAAAATATTAACTAATTAGTAAAAATGGGCGTTTTGGGTATGCATGCCAGGTATTAGTATTCAAATCACTGAATTAAATGCAGTACGCAATAATAATGTTTGTGATACTTACTTAACAGCTTTTTTTGGCTTCATTTCTTCAGTTTTGAATGAAATTAAAACTGTTTGCAGTTAGAGCAGGTATCTACACGCCGAAACGAATATCAGTTACATACTAATAATTAATTGATTCGAGTTACATGAAAACATTTTACTTTTTAATCTCAAGTGGCTTTATCGCGCCAATTAAATTAACCACGTGCACCGTTTAGTACATAAATAAATTTTAGATTAGATTAGAATCTAATCTAATCATTAGATAGATGAATAATGCATGTAATTAAACGAACTTTATTTTTTCGATTTTTAACTTGTCAATTCATTAAATGCACTTATAATTAATGTTTGCACTTAAAAATACAGAACTGAACTTAAAAATAAATATTTGCACTTTGAAAAATGAATTCCACTTGAATAAAATGCTTTCCACTATGAAATTAATACTTTGCACTTATAAAACTTGCAGTATTAAGTACGTGCCGTACTCTTAGCCGGCCCCTTCTATCACCCCCACCGCCCCTCAAATAATACCAAACAAGGTAGCCTACCTAACCACCACCCCCAACCGCCAACCACCTCCTCCCCCAACCCCCAACCACCCCACAAATAATACCAAACAAGGGAGCCTACCTAACCACCACCCCCGACCACCCCAACCCCCACAAATAATACCAAACAAGGTAGCCTACCTAACCACCACCCCCAACCCCCCGACCGCCCCACAAATAATACCAAACAAGGTAGCTTACCTTACCACCACCCCCAACTCCCCGACCACCCCCTCACCACTACCCCCGACCGCCCCACAAATAATACCAAACAAGGTAGCCTACCTAACCACCACCCCAACCACCACCCCAACCTCCCGACCGCCCCACAAATAATACCAAACAAGGTACCCTACCTAACCACCACAAATTATAAAGTTTCAATTTAAAAAGTTGATTCAAAGCAAATTTAAGCTTAAACCTGAATATATAAGTGCATTGTATTAAAATATAAGTTATACAATCTATAGTGCATAATATGAATTTCTTAGTGCAAAGTATGAAAACTTAAGTGCGGCTGTTCAAGTGGATTGTATTTTAACTAAAGTGCATTTAATATATCCCCCTTTATAATTTGTGGTGGTTAGGTAGGGTACCTTGTTTGGTATTATTTGTGGGGCGGTCGGGGGGTTGGGGGTGGTGGTTAGGTAGGCTACCTTGTTTGGTATTATTTGTGGGGGGGTTGGGGTGGTCGGGGGTGGTGGTTAGGTAGGCTCCCTTGTTTGGTATTATTTGTGGGGAGGTTGGGGTTTGGGGGGAGGGGGTGGTTGGGGGTTGGGGGTGGTGGTTAGGTAGGCTACCTTGTTTGGTATTATTTGAGGGGCGGTGGGGGGGGGGGTGATAGAAGGGGCCGGCTAAGAGTACGGCACGTACTTAATACTGCAAGTTTTATAAGTGCAAAGTATTAATTTCATAGTGCAAAGCATTTTATTCAAGTGGAATTCATTTTTCAAAGAGCAAATATTTATTTTTAAGTTCAGTTCTGTATTTTTAAGTGCAAACATTAATTATAAGTGCATTTAATGAATTGACAAGTTAAAAATCGAAAAAATAAAGTTCGTTTAATTACATGCCTTATAAAGTTTCAATTTAAAAAGTTGATTCAAAGCAAATTTAAGCTTAAACCTGAATATATAAGTGCATTGTATTAAAATATAAGTTATACAATCTATAGTGCATAATATGAATTTCTTAGTGCAAAGTATGAAAACTTAAGTGCGGCTGTTCAAGTGGATTGTATTTTAACTAAAGTGCATTTAATATATCCCCGATGAATAAAGCCATGCTTCCCGTACATAGGTACGCCATCTATTTAAAACTACTAGAGATAATCTTAAGTATATTGAGATGCCTAGCTTTACATATAAATTAGACATATAAGTTCATTATTAAATTTTTAGTCAACACCACCACGTGCACGTGCACGTAATGATGATTGGGGTAAAGCGATTGTTGAATGCCTCGAGCAAAAATCCAGATTTAAACGAAGTTATCCAGGTATTCAAAAACCCAAAGGCTGGTACAGAGATCATTGCTACAGCTGGCGAATTATTCCTTCTTAAATTATACAGTGACAGTGATGTGAAAACTATGCAAAATATGTCTTCAAATATCTATAGATATGCCAGCTTCACAAAATCAGCATACAAAAATAAATTTAATATTGCATTACTACCATCAACTGAAGCCGCAGTCCGACAACATTCGTTCAGAACTTATCACCAGGTTAAGTAGTAGTATGGGAATGAACTAAATGCAGAACAATGGGAATGGAAAAGAAACAAGAATGGGCTAATTCCTGTCACCACACTTGTCCCGAAACATTGTTAAATCTAATATCTTGCAAATGCAAAAAGGGATGTCAGAAAGCCTGCGGCTGCAGAAAGACTGGAATGAAGTGCTCCGTTATCTGAACAAATTGCAGTGGTACCTGTGATAATTCGCAAGTTCCATCACAAGATAGTGATGAAGAGGAAGAAACGATTACCGTTTTTTAGCACACGTACGATGAATTCAAGAACCAAGATTGCATTGAAAACGATAATCCCATCACGGATAGTATGGAAGAAATTTTTACTTGTGATATTTCGATCGGTCTTGAAGACAATTAACGCAGAACACTTGGTCTATCGCGAAGAGCGTATCGGAAGACAATCCATTAAATTTTGGAATAGTGCGTGTGGATTAGGCCTACTTGGGATACCACGATAAAAAAACAAACGCGCCACGTACTCCACCTCATGGTGGTGTGGAAATGAGTTTTTGGAAAAATTAATTTTGAAGTAGATTTTGCGGCGCCCGTACGCTAAAACTATTAATTTTACAAGAAAAAGGTACTTACATAAATTATAGGAAATTTTCTCTAGTTTAATTTATTATATAGATATATTTATCGTAAAATGAGTCGGAAAGGAGATATGGTCAAAAAACTGTTTTTTGACACCATTTTTCCAAGATGGTGGCTCGAGCGAACAAGATACGAGGTCGCAAAGTTGAAAGTCGTAAAGAGCACCTCGAAATCTATATGAATGCCAATTTTCAACAATCCCGCACTATTTTCCAAGCAACCACATTTTTAGCACCAAATGACTGTACTATTAGCAACTTTATAGATAATAAATATAATTGTATTACCTAACACTTTTGCACACGACTATAAATGAATTAAAAATTTAATATTTATTGACACGTGTCATGCTAGACCATTAATCTCAATATGTCAAGATACGTGTTTGATAAGATAATTATATGTACAATAAGGCTTAGATAAATCAATTTCTCGAAATCATTTTCGAAATGTCTAGATAATCATTTGCAAAATAATTCCAGGTATATATTTTTGATCATTGATGATGATTCTTTGTTTGCTTTATCGACCGGATGTTTTTAATCTTAAAATTAAAACATTGATTATATTTAAATTAAGTAATGAGTGGCTAAGCGAGGGCTTTAACAACGTTTAGACACGAGGTGACGCTTCGGTTCATATCGTGCATATCAAACAGCATGCTTTCACGTGTAAAGTATTTTGCCTTATTTTTACGTAATTTATTAAATAGTATAAATATAAAATACAACAAAATCACTCTCAAGTCATGTGACCACGAACACCATTCAGAGTGCATGACGTCACATGTTGTACTCGTTGTACTCGGCTTCACATCATATGGTGAAATGCAACAGTAACCTCTGTTTTGCAACATGTGGCGTCACAGCGATCACATGACAAGGTATTGGCGTTTTGGAACGAAATTTGAAACGCAATTTTAAAAACATGATTTTAAGGCTTTAAACGTATTTAAAAAAAATAAATAAAAAATATTTGGGACCACATTAGCGACATATACACGATTTAAAACACTTTCCCAAAAATAGTCAACATCCCTATTAATTAATATTTATTTAATACTATTATCACATAAATAATATAAAAAAATACGTTTAGCGTCTGTATTTGCATTTGTAAGGTGTGCTTTTCTCAACAACGCCTAGACCAATTTGGCCAATTCTTTTATGAATTATTTCAAATGTTCGTTAAAGTTAAAGGGTGGTTTTGACGGCAAGAAAAATTTGAATAATTAGCAGGAAAATGGGGAAAAACTGAGTTTTCTTTTTCCAACTGATAAATTAAACAAATTCTGCAGCTTTCTTCGATTTATTTTTGATTCATTGATTTACATGGCGTTTTGCTCAAAATCTTTTTTATTGAGTTTTCTTTTGTCATCTGATAAACAAAACAAATTCCGAAGCTTTCTTCGGTTCATTTAGGTTTGATTGTTTCATTTCATGTTTTGTGGAAAGTGTTTAATTATCTATGATCACTAAGTATTGCATGTGACACAATTCGAGGTGTTTTAGTGGGTCCCACTAATATAATTTGTTCTTGAAAGGGTGGCCAAAGTTTGTAGAAGCGCCCTATCACCGAAGTGACGGTTCTGCTCAGGAGAATTTTTTGCACTGACTATAAAATAGGGAGGAACAAAATCTGCCACATTCCAAATCTTTTTGACAAAACGAAGTCTGTTGGGTCCGCTAGTAATTAAATTAATCTATCATTTCTTAGTTATGTGAGTTGAAATATTAGTTGATGAATTTTTAGTTAGTATAAGGTGGAAATGTAATTGTAAGCATTATGCATGGTAAACAACCAATTAAACTATTCTGGAATTACATTCACTTTCAATTTTTAAATCCCATATATTTTTATATTTATTTACTCCCCACATCAAATATTTATGTGCTGATGTCTGATTTTGCTGTTACTTCCCGTTTTGTATATATTTTTATTCAGTTTTCATTTAGAAGTAGCCGCAAGATTATTGATAATTATATCGATATGGAATTTTGCGGTGTATATCACCAGAATTTGTGCCTCGCTGGGGTCCAGTTCTACATCTACGTACGGTACGGTACGGTACGGTACGGTACGGAACGGTACGGTACATAGTGAGCACGATTCTCGCATTCAATACGACTCGTGCCAATAATCATGCCAGGCGATTCAGGTAAACAAGCCACCAGAGTGTTCCTGCACATGAACAGCAAGTACAATTCAATTATACGCCCCTGCATCCAAATAGCGTCTGGCTACAAACCCATTGGAAACTTATTTACCATCGAAAGGAACAAGAAGTCTATCACCAAATCTGATTTGAGGTAAGATGTTCATTTTAAATATCCATATGATGTTTCTGAAAAGTTTTGTACTTCCAGAATTTTTGGTCCAGAATGGTTAAGGAACGAAGCGGCCTTAGCCAAAAACAAAGTACGTATTATTCAAAGTTTAAAAAAGTAAGACTTGTTAAATTATATTTAGTGCCGACCGTTATTCTTTCATACTGCACTAGCAATTTGTGGCGGGAATAATTTTCATGAAAAATTAATCAAAATTAGTCCAGTCCAGTCATTCGGTTCGTAATTGCATTAAGAATTTTTTATTCTGAAATTATAAATTTTAAAAATTATTAACAATTAATAGACTAAGAGCCAGTGACGGCCAGACTTTCGTAATTTTAGGAAAGCTGAAATTTTGTCCATGTGTTTCTCCAGCACAGGTAAGAACGATCCCCAATTATGAAACCTGGATCGTGGTTCCTTTGGCAGTTAACAGCAAACAAAGATGTACACTTGATGACCTATGTTTCGTTATTTTAGCAAACTCCATTTTTGCATATTTTGTTCGTAACATTATTATAACATGCGCTGCTCATTGCCAGACACCTGGTATGGTTCCAACCCTAGCCAGACACCCCTAAAGTATAATATTTTTTAACTTTTTTACTTTCGTTATATTAGGAAAGCTGAATTTGACACACATTATGCAGAGAGCTATGAAACTGTGTTTTCTTTCACGCCAGACAGTTTGGTCGGTTCGATCATCCTGCCAGACGCATTGAAAGTGTTAAAAGTTGCAAAAGTTAAATTGTTTAAACATGAAATTTTCAGAAAATAGTAATTTTATTTTAACAAATCTTTATTAATTTTTATCATTGTTCTCGATACCGCGACTGAAAGTGCTCAAAAGTGCAATTTTTCAATTTTTGACGTTTTATTTCAATTGCTAATATCTCGTAAACTAAAGGAGATAGAAAAGAACGAATCGCAAAGTTATCGACGACAGTGATGATTATTATTAAATATTTGTTCAAATAAAATAACTATTCTCTGAAATTTTTATGTTTACACAATTTAACTTTTGCAACTTTTATACACTTTCAATGCGTCTGGCAGGATGATAAAACCGACCAAACTGTCTGGCACGAAAGAAAACACAGTTTCATAGCTCTCTGTATAATGTGTATCAAATTCAGCTTTCCTAATATAACAAAAGTAAAAAAGTTAAAAAATAATATACTTTAGGGGTGTCTGGCTAGGGTTGGAACCATACCAGGTGACTGGCAATGAGCAGCGCATGTTATAATAATGTTACGAACAAAATATGCAAAAATGGAGTTTGCTAAAATAACGAAACATAGGTCATCATGTGTACATCTTTGTTTGCTGTTAACTGCCAAAGGAACCACGAACCAGGTTTCATAATTGGGGATCGTTCTTACCTGTGTTGGAGAAACACATGGACAAAATTTCATCTTTCCTAAAATGACGAAAGTCTGGCCGTCACTGGCTCTCGCTCTATAAGTGAACAATAAGAATATGATTTTGGTTTTTGCAAGTGTTTCAACAACTATTTAAAATATAAAACTTTTTGTTTGGAAACTTCATCTTCCTAAATTTAGAACGCTTTATTATTCTGAGAAATGTCCAATATTAAATATTGGTCTTCAAAGGACATAGGTAAGTCCTTAAAATTATCTGTACTTAACTGATGACTGCCTCGATTGGCGTTCTCGGAAAAGGGAAAATAATTTTAAAAACTAAAAAAATAAAAAAATTATAAAATATGATAAATAGTAATTTAAGACGTAGAAAGGAAGGATAAACCATAAGGGTTTCACAAAAACTTTTAACACTCTGCGACATGTTTTGCCTCACTGTCGAATCATCAGTAATTTAAGTAATGACTTTAAATATTCTAATATTCTTTATTTACTTTTAGGAATTTAGGCCTCTTCTGTATGCGTCCCATAAAGAACATCTTCTGCAGAGGCTCAGACTTTTAAAAAGTCTACAAATCAATGTCTTCCCGAACACAGAAGATGAAGATAGGCGGATGGTTAAAAACACCAGCAATACCGTTGATATTGCGCCACAAATAATTGCTGAAAAGTGAATACTCTATTTGTGTATAGTAATATGATCAACTAATGTTCAAACTTGTTGTTGCTTCGGTGTGTCTATGTGCGTCTATGTGTTTTAACGCATCAAATTCATTGCACATGTAAAATATTGATTTTTTATGTGTTATAAAATTTGCTTTGTTACACAAAGAAAATGTTAAATTGATTATGTTTTATTTTAGAAAACAAGTAAAACCGCTAAATAAATTCTCTACCAACTGTCAAGAGAATACCATCAATGACGTAGATGAGAAAATTCAAAAGAAAGGTGTGAATAAAAAGCCCACCAAGAAAATTGTAAACCCCAAAACAAATCAGAACAAACCAAACAATTTCGTTTCATTTTTGAGAATTTTAAGAAAGAAACTAAAATTCCTCTTGGGTTTTATGATATTTCCCAACATGTTGATGTTGATTGGTCAAACAAATGGACTTGAATTCCATAACGAATATTTTCCAATATTAAAATGGAATTCTTTTGAAAATGTTGCAAAAAACACCACCAGCATTTTTTTTTCAAACTGTAGTATTTTCTACGTGGAGTATACCGCATTCAACAAATTTGAAAACATGACATATTTGAGCATCACCGGAAACAAACTGAAGACATTCAATATAGCTCGGAACCAACTGCGGGTTCTTGATTTGGCAGACAATCAAATTTCTTTCATCGAACAGGAACTTCTGCTCAACTCCCCATATCTAGAAGAACTATACCTGGAACATAATAATTTAAACAGCATTGATTGGAATTTAAATGCGCATTTAAATCTGCAAAAAATAATGTTAAATGAGAATCAGTTAACAACCATCACTCTGATTTCACCGACCTTGCAAGAACTTTGGATCAAGTTTGAAAACGGACGGGTTGTATTTTCAACAACAAGCAAAATGGCACAACTTACATTTTTGGAAACCAGCGGAACAGAAACTGACGCAGATTTATGCTGGTTAAGTAATTCAACACTGATGATTCGATCAACTCAAGAAGATAAAATCTGTAACAATTCAACTACGGAGAGTAAGGCACCAGTTATTAGTTTTGTAAAACAAGAAAGCGTAAACTGTGGATTAAGTACTTTAAGAGCAAACTATGATGATATTATTATTTCTAAAGAAGACTTCCAGTTAACTATCATGTACTTCCATGCTCTTGTTGCAACAGCAATTCTATTATTTTGTGCAAATTGTATTATTGCTTTATTGTACTGTCGAAGTTTGAATCCAAAACAAAAAGAACTGAGGATTCAGGCAGAGATTTGTTAATTATTATAAATACTTGTTATTCTATGATTTTAATAAAACATAAAATTCAATTCAATAAAATTTGTATTTGAAATCATTTTTTGTCAGATACCTGAAATTAAAGATTGTAGAAAGTTTATTTAATAAATTGTTTATTAATTAATTGAGTTTAAAAATATTTATTTATTAAAGTTCTACGTGATTTTCATAAACGCCCTCAGGGCGAAACATGTCAAACTCATTATATAAAATTGTAAAATCCAGTAAAAATCACGTAGAAATTTAATAAATAAATATTTTTAAACTATACAATGGATTACGTATTCATAAATAAAAGTAATAAAATTAAATGAGTGCTTCGTCGCCCGCAACACTCGGGCTAGTCCCGAAATTCATCGACAGATCGAGCTTTGATCGCAAATATTAATTACAGTTAGTTTCGTTTCGTTAGTTAATTTATTGGCGCTGTGTTCTAATAACTTTTCACAAAAACGGTCTAACATACTCCAGAAGGTTTGATAGTTTCAAATATAACAGGTGTGCACAGAACAACGTTTGCCGTGCCTACTTATATCTTCTATTTCATGGGTTTGTAATTTTTCATTTCAGATTTCAAAAAATAATTGATGTGTGAAATGATTGACTAGATATCGATAAATATCTACTTCAATAAACTGGGCGTAGGCTTTTTATTGATTTTGTAGTAAAATACAGGTAAGTGTTTAAAATGTGTGCTATAATTTTACTCCTTGGTATTTAAAAACTTATAAATCCTTCTAATACGTTTTCTAATCTTCCTTTACATGCTCATCAGCTATTTCAAGATGAAAGCAGTGTTTTTGGTGGTATTTTCAGCAGTAGCATTCTCAACCCTCTTCCACTCAGAAGTAGCCACAATATCTTGGGATGAGCTAACGCCGGAAACCATTAAAAACCTTCAAGTAAAAGGAGTTACGCAAGTACATTTCATAAGGAACAACAACTCAGGCAAGCGTTGTATTGTACAGCTACATGAATTACGACGCTCCGGTATTTCTATGGACTCATTTGAATATGTTCGGATTGACGAATGCCCAAATACTCGATGCTGTAAAGAATTGATTACCAATTTACGACAAGTTAACAGATTGGAGATATTATCAGCAGGCCTAAGCGAATTCGATTTCAGTTTGGTTGCTTCGAGACAGTTGAAAGAAATTAGTTTAAATGGAAATGAAGGCATAACACTGAAAGGAATCTGCATTGCTAAGTTAACACAGTTTAATTGTGTTGAATGCAAACTCAACCCGTCAGGTATTGAATCACTGTTTCAATTCAAGTATTTTATGATTGCAATGGATTTACGTGGAAATGATGTAAACAAAACCGAAAATGAGATGCGCAAACTGTTTCCAAATCTTCAAGTTCTGTTTATGGATTCTCAACATACTACTACTATATTACCTACTCTTAGACCAAACCAGGACGACAATGGATCTAAGAAAATTTATCCATGTTGTATAATAATTTTATTATGCGTATTTTCAACGATTACAAAGATATTTCTGAATGGAATCAGCTGAGAAGGCCTATCATTACCTAAATATTGAATTTATTGCTTATCGTTTAAGATTGATTTATATTACATCACTGATTTCACTGATCGGTATTATCGGAATTACTGCAACAAGTATGATGTGGCAAATAATGTTTATAGATTGCACTGAATATGTGCACGTCAATCTTAATTTTCGACTTTATTCAATTTTTCAAAGATTTTAAAGTATATTGCTATACTATACTCAATGCAGGGGAGTATACGGATCAGTGGTTACGTACAAGCTGTATTTTGAAATGGTTGTTGGTTGCTAGGTAGCAGAATAAATATAATTGGTGCTGGGTAAATATTTTATTATAATCAGGTAAATATCCAAACTTGGTAATATTGTATTATTTTCAGTAACATAGGACAAGTATTTGAGTTTACCGTTTAGCCATTATCTTAATCTTATTTATCAATAAGATTAGTGACAGTTCCAATAGTATACGATAAGGAGTCCAAAGGGTATAGGTTCGTGGGTACAGGCTATTTCGTAGTATCATGATACACAATTATAAACACAGCTCATAGTTCTCTTTTCTGCCACTTGGACAAGTACTCAGTACTTGTGTACGCCATCTATTTAAAACTACTAGAATTATTTCTATACCCAAGATTATTCTTGGGTGTATTGAGATGCCTAGCTTGATATTTAAGTTTGTTATTAATTTTGTGGCTACCGATCAAGAAACTAACCCTTGCATTTTTCTACAAACACCAAACCTTCTGTTTTTTTAAGTTGCTTACTTGGATTAATCTTCTTAAACATATTTTTAAAATTACTTTTGAATACGTGTTAATATGACACCCCAGAAGAAACGCAATGTGCAAAAATAGAATAATTCAACAACGCTAAGAATACCAATACCGTAAGCCAATCCAAACAATCCTCCTACTTGTACTAAAACAAAATAAAAACTTATTTCTTTAGATATTTTGTATTAAATAATAATTAAAAATTAAACAAACCCAGAAAATCGGTCTCTGAAAAGATAACAACTCTTTGCAGACGAATTTCCGAATCAAACTGCAACACAACACCCAAAACAGAATCAAACATCCAATCAACAATGTTCACACTCTCAATTTTGATAATTTCTGCTTCACAATTAGCATCACACATGCCACATAATGACTGACGAGTTGTACGATTCACCAAATGAATAAGTTCATCTAAAAAATACAAATTTTAGAAAACACACATCAATAAATAACAAACAAATCATAATTAACAATCATAATCAGAAAAACACATCATCTCATCCAATGTGCAGATTGGTTCACCATCTACAACAACAAAATTAAAATATAGTTATGCAACCAAATATACAATACAATAAAAAATAAATATCTTACATAAACTGCGATAGTAAAACGGGAAACATTTACACAATTTGAGCGCTAGCCTCATTCTACACTCAAGACGACATAAATTATACGAATACACAGGAGAATAACGCAGATTATCGCTTTCATCTGTGAAGCGACAATGGCGCTGTTCAATTGACAGACTACGAATGTCTTCGGCTGATGCATGTTTCTCAGAATTCACTTCTATCCACATTCGGTAATTCTGCGGCAAATGCAGAGACTTTTGCAAAAGTGTTGGGATCTCATTGTACGAATGAAAGTATATATTAGCTTCCATTACAATGTCATTTAGGGATAAAATCGGCTCTTCTTCTGTCTGAGCGTATGTTTGTACTTTGTAATTTTTAACGAATGACATATCTTTGTTTCTCCACTTCCTAAAACATGAATATATTAATTTTTATTAGGGCTGTACAAATTAGCCGGCCAAGCCGGTTAAGGAAGTTAACCAGGCTAATTAGCTGGCTGACTACTCGGCTTAGCCGGTTAACCGAAATTAGCCAGGCTAATCAGCTAAAGGCTAAACCGGCCAATTGGCTAATTTTATATTTTATGCAATATCTTTGTTTCCAAATGCAAGTGATAACAATTCGCCGCGTTATCAATACGTTTGTCGGACTTGGCCCGAAGAGATATTGTATAAAATATATATAAATATATAAATTAGCCAATTGGCCGGTTTAGCCTTTAGCTGATTAGCCTGGCTAATTTCGGTTAACCGGCTAAGCCGAGTAGTCAGCCAGCTAATTAGCCTGGTTAACTTCCTTAACCGGCTTGGCCGGCTAATTTGTACAGCCCTAATTTTTATATAAAAACTAGCTTTTACCTGGTAGTGTTTAATAAAAATGTAATTTGCTTTTACCCGTTCTAGACATAGTATGTGTCAATTCTATCAATATGATTCGCAATTTTATTTTAAAAGAAATTAATTATATAAAGAATTGCTAATAATGCATTTCAGCGCGCCATCTCGGATTCAACTATTTAACTATAACTATGATTGAATCTCTATGCCAACTTTTATCCTATAGAAAAGAGCTGTTTTAGGGTTTTCCTGGCAGTTATTGAAATTTTTCTCGCCGTAAAAACCATCCTTGGACTTTAACAAACATTTTAAAAAAAGAATTGGCCAAATTGCTCTAGGCGTTGTTGAGTTATGCGCTTACCAACGATTATTTTACGATTAATTCTTATATTATAGATTATTTATTTATGTTTTACTTACTTTACAGTTGAATATTTTGCCAGAATAGAGTTCAGTGAGTAACAAACACCGAATTCTGTGATTGTTCGAGTTGCATTCCAATGTCCAAAATCTTTACTAATCTTCGAAGTAATTAAATCGTTCAATTCAAGATATTCATGAGAGTTAATCTTGTCAAAATCACTTTTATACTTTCCAAGTTGTTTATATGTCGAGAAATTACCAAAAATTAACGAATTTACAAAGCTTTGTATTAAACTTTGATTACCAGCGACGTATTTTTCTTCAATTTCGTCTGTGTCGTTGATTTGATGAACATGATAACTTTTATTGCTGAAATAATTATTTATTTTTATTATTTCACTCTTAAATTGTAAAATATAATAAAATTACCCGAAATATTCATAGACAACTTCCATTATAAAGTCACTATCAGGATTTAACGATGTTGGACAAATGGTAACGCATGGAAAAGTATGCAACCAAAGTTGCTGATCTCTTAATATTCCTGTCACGGTTGGATTGTATCGATAACGATTCCATGCTTGTTTTCCAATGATAACACACGGAATTGATACAAGAATCATGCAGATAATCCAGAATATCCTGAAAATAAAATATTTTAGTTAATATTTTTATTATTTGTTATAATTTTTCGATTAATTAATTATTAATTACTTTTCAAAACTTGATCGATTGGGTCTTACAATATGTACGAGTCCATGAGGCGTCGCAACATTTAGATAATAAATAATATGAAGTTTTAACCTTTGAAAAAACGACGGTTTTTCTTCCATTTTCAGTTTTATTTTATTTTGTGATGTGAAAAGAAACAAATCAAGTTAAAAACTGTGGATGGACGTTTTTAACGTTGCGTGTAGTTTTAAATCTGATGAAAATTGATATACTTGTTGATTTAATAATGTATTACGTATGGAAAACATGTTTTTGTTAACAATTGTTGAAATGTTCTTGCATTTTTGATGGAAATTGATTGGTTTGGGTTATAGTAGTCATAGGCAACCAACAATGCTTTTTATTACACTTATGTATATATCTATATATATAAAATTTGCGTGTCACAGTGTTTGTTTCCATACTCCTCCGAAACGGCTTTTCCGATTTTTACCAAATTTTATATGCGTATTCAGTAGGTCTGAGAATCGGCTAACATCTATTTTTCATACCCCTAAGTGATAAGGGTTGTTCACCCTTAACTTTTTTTAAAATTTTTGGACAATTGTTAATTGTTAATTGTTAACGCATTGTTTTTATTTTTTTTTATAATGTGGAATTAAAAAATACATACAACCCTAAATTTTTAGCTTCTTATCACCAACCCCTATTTCTTTATAGCCATTTTCGTAATTTAATCATTTTTCATCCCGCTCAAAGAAAATTTTTATATGCGTATTCAGTTGGTCTGAGAATCGGTAACTTCATATCTCTAAGTGATAAGGGTTGTTCACCCTTAATTTTTTTTAAATTTTGGTCGAAATTTTTTGTTTTTACCTTTTTAATGTGGCATTAAAATATACATACAACCCTAAATTTTTGGTTTCTTATCACCAACCCCTATTTTTTATAATAAGTAAGTTACTTTTTGTCTACACTAAAATTTATCTAGAAACTTGGAATAATTTATATGGCAAAACAACGTTTGCCCGGTTAACTAGTATATATATTAGGGTGTCCGTTATTTCCCACATTGATTTTTTTTTTGTTGCCGCCCTCTGAAGTTTTAGTTTTAGCTCTAAAATAAATGATCCAACGTAAATTAGCTCTTAATTTTTAATTTAAACCGTGCCGGAATCATGATACTTTTTCCATTTAAATAACATGGGATTTCCTGACTACAAAAAAGATTTCTTTGGTTTTCTCTATAAAAATATTCCTGTAAAAGTTATTTGCAATCAAAATTATTCACATAGTTTATAATCTCATTCACAGCAAATTCTAACTGCGCCACCTATGGTCAATTGATCGAAACTAGAGTTTAAGTTACAATAGCCGCGTATCGACAACGCGTCGATGTATACTTTTAATCGCAAATAACTTTTACAGGAATGTTTTTATGGAAAAAACCAAAGAGATCTTTTTGGTAGAGGGTAAAATTTTGCATTAGAATATGTCTTTGTCGAAGCTGTAGGTTCATTTACTTTGGAGATAAAAAATTAAATGTAAAACGTCAGGAAATCCCATGTTATTTAAATGGAAAAAGTATCATGATTCCGGCACGGTTTAAATTGAGAATTAAGAGCTAATTTACGTTTGATCATTTATTTTAAATCAAAAACTAAAACTTCAGAGGGCGGCAACAAAAAAAAAATCAATGTGGGAAATAACGGACACCCTAATATATATAAAAGAAAGTCGTGTTGGTTAATTCCTTTATAACTAAAGAACGGCTAATCAAATTTAGCTAAAAATTGGTGGAGAGGTAGCTTAGGGCCAGGAGAAGGTAATGGGATACTTTTTGAAATGAAAACTTTTCTAAAAGGGCACTAAACAACACTAAAAGAAAACAATTATATTCGCTTATATGGTTTAGCCTACGGGAGAAAAAGAGCACACAAATATAATGTTTTCTATTATCTCCGTCTGCCCTTTGTGCAATTCATAGCTTCCCCCTAAGCATAGACGTGCGATTCGTAGCGCCCCCTAAGCATAGACGTGCGTGAAACGTTACATTTTTAAAGGAAACCGCAACCCAAATCAGTGTTACAACAAAACGTTAATTGTGCACACTTGAAAAATATTCCGCTTAGAAACCTTTTCATTAACCGCGTTAGCTAATAAAATAGTTTCAAATGGTGAAACATATAAAAACTACATAGGCGTAACAAAAAAACCGTACAAAACCGTAATGCAACTAGAATTCGAAGGATTGCGAATGAAAGGACTGAAGAAGAACAAGAAATTGCACGTGAAAAGCGCCGTGTTAGTATGACTCGACTTCGTGTTTCTCAATCACAAGAGCAAAGCGAGGCGGAACAAAGTTTGCCGGGTCAGCTAGTTATAAATATAACGCAATTCAAAATTACAAAATTAATTTAAAAAAAGACAATTACACTCAAGATAAATTATTAATTGAATTTGTGTGTTCTGTTTTGCGTATTTGTATGAATACCTACTTGAAATCAAAACAACTACTTATTGATTAGCATTTTTATTGCAACTTTCGCAATTGTAACGACGAAAAGTAGTTTAAAAAACATATTTATCACTAATAAACACTGTGATTGAGTTTTTCTTAATTAATTGTAGATATGAGAAGGGTATATAAATGAAATTTTAGTAATGGCATACTGTGATCAAATTGCAACAGTTACGATAGTCGCAAATTAATTTTCTTAAAGGTAAACCATTTTTTTGCATTATAATTAATATTTTAATATTTATACAAAAATAATTAAATTTGTTCCAGATTGAAATCAATTGTTCTTATACAATGGGCTGTGTTAAACCTGGTAATGGCGGTTCTCACGGAGGAGGTGGCGGAGGAGGACATGGTGGCGGCGGCGGAGGTGGAGGCGGTAACCATTAATTACTGCAAGATTAATGTACCTATTTTGATGACATAAATAAATATTATATTATGTTTACACATTGAAATTATGTTGCAAACTTTAAATTATTCCTTCTATTCAAAAACATCCTCTTAATTTGATAATATTATTAAATAAATAATAAATAAAATAAAATTTTGATTATTTAAACGATGCTTCATTATTGTTTTTTTTTTATTATAGTATATATGCAACTTCTGTGAATGTTGTACAATTTGTTTGCCTACCAGCGTTTTTATTAATAAACCAATGTAAAAATCTGATTAATATAGGCAACTTATAATGCTCTACATCTAACAAAGCACATATGTTTAGTTAACACAAAACTAGTTAGATTTATATAAAAATTTGCTTCTTCTAACGCAAATTATTCACTAAAACAATAGAATATTGTAATTGCACGCTTTAAAAGATAGAAATTATTGTATCTTGACTATTAAAGGCCAATAACCAAACAAGTTTTTTGAAAAAGCGCAAGATTTGTTGTAAATGATAAACCTTATCGCAGAAAACTAAATAAATGTCACACAATCTTATATTACTTTCCACAGCCTTCAAAATCAAAATAAACACCCAAAAAAGTTTAAAAATTACGTACCTCAGACAAGATATAATATTTTATAAGTATGTGGATTAAATGCAATTAACTAATTTATCTAAATTCACGTTAACATACCCGTAATTAAATCAGATACTCATTTTTGTATACAAGAAAAGTTTAAGTGCATAAGTCCTCGTATAGTTCAACTGCGCACTTTATGAAAACTCTAGGTATTTAATTTAATTATAACAGAAATTAACTCTGATTTCTAAAAAGTACAATTTATACATAGAAATACACATGAAATACTGCTATTATCATTATAACAGTAAGATTATAACATAACCTGATTCTTGGTCTATTAAATATTAATTTATTTGGTATATTAAGTGTTTGTGCAACAGCAAATTATGCGTAATTCAAAATCCGAATTAAAAATCTCATTTCTACACTTTAAATGCATACTTGTTAAGGATTAGAAGCTGGGAATGTGAATTTGGAATTTTCATTAAGTGCAATTTACAAATTACTGAAATTACTCAAATTACTCAAATATATTATCAATCTATATTATATAACTGTGCACAGTAAAAGTAATTTCTTAAGTGCGTGCAAAAGTAAACGTTTACATATACACGTATTCAGTCAATATTTATATATTTGTGTCAATTCTGATTGGTGTGCAAACTATTATCAGTAGATATGAGGAGAGTATATATATTTTGCTATATCGTAAATTTGCTAGATTCGCACATTAGTTGCGGCGGAATTTTTTATAAAATTACGAGTAAGTATAGATCAGAAATTATTTTCTGAAAGTTTAGGTTATGTTAATTACATTGAAAAACAATAGCGTTTACTTTACTTCGCTTATTATTAATTATATTGTTTCAGATTGATATTGACATTCTTTGAACAATGGGAGGTGTAAAACCTGGTAATGGCGGTTCTACCAACGGTGGAGGTGGAGGAGGAGGTGGCGGCGGTGGTGGTGGAGGAGGTGGTGGCGGAGGAGGTGGAGGCGGTGGCGGTGGAGGTGGTGGAGGCGGAGGAGGCGGCGGAAAATATTAAATTCTTAATTAATGAAATGAAATGCTAAGAGTAATGCCTAACCAGTATATTTTTGTAAAATGTACCTATCAACAAATTGAAACAGAGTATAAAAACAATCAATAAACTTATTTTGCAATTGATTTTAGACTTTTATGTTTTTTTCCCTTTAATATCTTTAATAATATCTTTAATATCAAACATCCTTGTTTAAATATGGAATTTCATTCAGTAATGAATACAATCATTGAACGTTTATCGGTTATGTCAAGTTTTAAAGCTTGAACAGTAAATCACGTTACTTTCATGTAACTTTGAGTTGAGAAGTCATAAGTTTCTAATTACTGATTTGTTTTATACCAACAAAAAATTGACTTTATATCTTCCTATTTTATATCTAAACACCATATAAACATGTGAAAAGATGTAAAAAGTGAATATTAAAACAAAAACATAGCAAAAAATACATAATTGCCAATATTAAGCTTCAAAACCAAGAAAAAGAGGAACAAATGATTGCAAAAATTTGTAATAACAATTTTGTAGGTATTGATTTTAACAGAAATATTTATTGTATAAGTTTGACGTCAAAATTTATAAAAGTTTAACATGTAATTAATTGTGGAACACATCATGGTTGTTTTTACGGTTGGAAACGAATGAATATCATCTTAACGACCACCGCCGCCACCGCCGCCGCCACCACCTCCTCCACCTCCACCTCCTCCACCACCTCCGCCACCTCCGCCTCCGCCGCCACCGCCTCCACCGCCTCCACCGCCTCCTCCACCACCGCCACCGCCGTGTTTAGGAAGACCCATTTTCTATTAGAAATAAAGAAAATTTGTAATAAAAACATGAAAATATAATACTAACAATATAAATAAAATTATAGGGAATATTTAATAATATTTTATTTTAATAATAATTAATAATATGTATTGCTCCCTCACCTCTTAAGTTGGAGTTAAACGAACGATAGAAAAATATTGATCGAATGTGTACAATTTGATGTCTACGAACCCTTTATATACCAATCTGATATCAAAAATCTGTTTTGAAGCCAAACAGATAATTATATAAATAAAGTGCAAAAAGAAACTGAATCTGCAGCGCATTATTACGCGGAACACTCGAAAATTGGTGTATTTATAAATAAATAACAGATAAACTTATTTGATCTTCATCTTCAACTTATTTTTTTCGCAAATTTTACGTTATTTGCCAGTGCAAAACTCAAGTGATGTTCCAAATCTATAATATAAAAATGAATCGTAAAATCTGTTGGTAAGCGCATAACTCAACAACGCCTAGACCAATTTGGCCAATTCTTTTTTGAATGTTTGTCAAAGTCCAAGGATGGTTTTTACGACGAGAAAAATTTGAATAATTGCTTGGAAAACCCTAAAACAGCGCTTTTCTACAGGATAAAAGTTGGTATTGAGATTCAATCATAGTTATAGTTAATTAATTGAGTCCGAGATGGCGCGCCGAAGTGCATTATTTGCAATTCTTCATATAATTAATTTCTTTAAAATAAAATTATAAGAATAAGAGAGTAAAAACGAATTACATTTTTATTAAACACTACCGGGACGAAGTCGCAAGCAAAGGCTGGTTTATAAATAAATATGAAATTCACACAAAATCAGTTTTATTTATCGCATATTACACAGCTGATAAAATATGCAATCAAATCAAAATCATAAACCGAATTAGCATAATTGTTCGGCTTTAGTAATCTTGGCGATGATGTCGTTTAGAATTTCACACGTTGACAGGTATTTCTGTAATTTCTCAAGATTGGTTTTGACTTGTTTAGCCTTTTTGAATAGTTTCTTCAGGTTGGCCTTGGAGCATTCTGATTTGTTACATTTCTTCTCCCAGATGTCTTCAAGTTGACTTACGGAATCAGACACTTTCTGCAAGGTTTTCTGGAAGTTTTTGTCGTCTTTGTTTTCGTAATTGTCGATGCATGTGCCGAATTCTGCTTCACCTTCAGAAGTGTCGGCTACTTTCGCCATCTGTGAAGCGCAAGTGTCTTCTTGAGCAGCAACATACTGAAAATTTAATTTAATTAATTTAAAAGTAATGATATAATATTTTACTAGTTTTATCTTACTGTGCAGATGACCAAGAAAGCAAATAAGAAGAATTTCATGTTGATGCTTTATTTTTGTTTCTACAACAAGAAATAAATTGAAAATTCGCATTTTTTGTTTGTTTTTATACTGTTGTTTATCAGTAAAAACTTAGTGAATTAAAAAAATGTAGTTTTACATTCTTTTTAAACATTCCATGGTTATTAACAATAATTATGTTTAAAAAATTGACATAATTTAAGTTAATTGCATTGAAAATATTTGTTTAAACATAAATTTCATTTAATTATTGAAATTTCATTTTTTTTGACGTGTTTTAATTATTATTTATTACTGCATAGAAAATAGTCGATTTTTTTTGTATTTAAACGGTATAAACGGTTTGTTTAAACTTATTTTAAGTGTTATTCTTCTTCGTGTGAATGTATTTGAACGTAATACTAAAGAAAAGAAAAATTGTCTAAGAAATTAACTGGTAACGATGGAACTAAAGCCGAAAAACACAATTTCTGATGTTGAATACAAGGAAAGATTCTGTTAGGCCGCTGCTAAATGTAGATAAGTATAAATATTCAACAAATTCATTGACATACATGTAAATAATCAAATATTATTAAGTCAAAATCGAATTTTTCTATATTTTAACCTAAAGAACTTTCAAATGATGTTTTACAGTTCAATACCATATGTTTTCATCAAATATAACAAAATAATGCTCAAATCTTCTCGTTTTATTCATAGGGGAAAGTAGCCATATTTGGACCATTTTTATATTTTTTGATTTATAGAGCCACATATAAACTGTCAATAAAAATTAAGTAGCGGAAAAGTAACTCACAAGGCTTACCAACAAAATGATATTTTTGGTTTAAGTAAAAATTATATTTATACCCCTCAAATTTCAGTTTAAAAAAATTGTGTTTTTGGTCCAAATGAAGAAACCGGTTTCCTAAATTGGACCATGCTTTTTTAACGGCAATTGATACAATAGTAAATTTTAGTTTTAGCAGTAACACAAGCACATTTTGTGTAAACCAAAGTGCGGCATTTCATACAGTGGATCATTTCGAAGATTTGTGCTCGTCCACAAGCTTTTCTAGGAGGTCGAAAAAATACGTTTTCCCTGTTAAAACCCCGGTGCCTGTCTTCGGTCCAACTTCGGCAACTTGAAGAATTTATATTTAATGATCAACGACAATCTTTTTCTTTATATATCTATTTCTTTAATAAATGTTTTTATTATTGACAAATTATTCAAGCAAAATATGATTTACATAATTTTTCAGCCTTCTGAATCTTTGCGATGATTTCATCAAGGATTTCACATGAAGTCAGAGTTTTCTGCATCTCTACAAGTAGATTTTTAACTTTCTTTGACTTTTTATACATTTTCTCTAAATTCTCGTGGGAGCACGCTGTTTTGTTACATTTTTTCACCCAAATGGTATCTATTTTAATTGCTTCATCTTGCATTTTCTTGTAAGTATTTTGAAATTTGGTATTGTTGGTTTTATCGCTGTTTTTGACGCATTTGTCAAGTTCTCCTTCACCATCTGAAGTGTCAGCAACTTTCTTCATTTGGGTAGCGCATGTTTCTTCAGCAGTAACATACTGAAAGTTATATTAATTTAGTATAATATTTACATTAGATTTTGAGGTAATTTTAACTTACAGAGCAGATTATTAAGAAGGCAAACAAGAAATACTTCATCTTGATGTTTTACTTCTTATCCTGAGACGAGAAAATAAATTGAAATGTCAAGATTTACGTTCTGCTTTTATAACAATTTCCGCATATTTGAGCAGTAAACTGTTTTAAAAACTAATTGTATACAATAGTAATGTTGAATTAGTTTTAAAAATGTTGGAATATTTTAATTATTTATAATTATTAACTAGATTTTGGTATAAATAAATGTCGTCTTCAGAATTTCGACACTTGCAACATTTTGCGACTTGTAGAGACAAGAAATTTCAAATAAATCGATTTATTCATTCGGCATAGCAAAATTCAATGAATATTATTTATTAACATTTTAATGCTGATAATTCAAGCAAAAAGCGCCTCGCACAATTCCTCAGCCTTGGAAATCTTATGGATGATCTTTGTGTTTGCATCACATGAAGACAGACTTTGCTGCATCTCTTCAAGGTAACTTTTAACTTCTTTAGATTTCGTGTAGATTTTCTCTAAGTCTTCACGGAAACACATTGTTGAATCGCAGTCGTTCTCCCATATGTTATCAATCTCAGTTGCTACATCCTTCATTTTTTCATAAGTGTTCATAAAATCAGCATTATCGGTGTTATCACTGTCTTGCACGCATTGATCAAGAGCAGCACCAAGGTCTTTGGTTTCTGCTACTGTTTTCATTCGTGTATCGCATGTATCTTCAGCAAAAACAACCTGAATATTAAATTAAATTGGCTTAAAAGTGGTTCTAAAGTAGTTTTAAGCATTTGGTAATGTTATTGATAATATGTTAGCAATTATTTAAAACTTACTGTGCAGATGGTTAGAATGACAACAAAAAGGATCTTCATTTTGATATTTTATTACTTTTACTTTTGTGACAACAAAGTAAGTGGCAAAGCTTAAATTTGTTGCTTATATACCACACTTTATCACCAATGAATTTAAAAAATGAAATTTAAAATTCCTTCAAACAATTCCATCAAAAATATGAAAAACACTTTCGTTCCTACCGTTTTTGACTGATAAAATGTTTCAAAATTAAAATGCATGATATACATATATAGAAATGTTCAAATACTTTGTTAATATTCACAATAATGTTGGAAATATTAAATATTCAATGCCAAATCAACCAATCCTTAATAAAACATCTAATTAATATAATAATTATGCTACTCTTGGTTATTTTTGTTTATTTTCGGATTCTAGTTGATTACAGTTCATCAATAATCAAATTTAAAGGATTTTTACATAAAAATAACTAAATACTTGCTTAAGATACAAGAATATTGTTTATTTTCATTCGTCAGAACAGAATATAATGCATTATTACAACTCAATGAGCAACTTAATCGCATTTCTTTTCAATGTCACAAATCTCTGCAATAACATCATTGACAAATGTACATTCAGGCATATCTTTCTGCAATGTGATCAAAAATCCCTTAATCTTCTTCATATTTTCATATATATCTTTCCATTCTTCTTCACTACAACCTTCGCTCTTGCACTTATTATCAAATTGTGCATCTGAGCCTTTTGCAACTTCTTCCATATCGTTGTAAGTATTTTGCAAATTATCTTTACCGCTGTCATTGATACATTTTTTAACTTCGTCGTAGAAAGAGCGATCTTGAAGTAGTGGTGTCAACAATACTGGTAAGTTACATTCATCATCAGCTGCAACATACTAAAATAGATTTAATTAGTTTACTTAATAATATAAAAGAGAAGTAAATAAATTTACACTGCAGATGACCAGGCAGGCAACCAAGAAGAACTTCATGTTGATGTTTATTACTTCTGTGACAAGAAATAAGTAGCTAGATGTTGAATTTCAGCTGATTTTATACTATCCAGTATCAGAAAGCATGTAAAAAATGAAATTAGTGCATTACAGTCTAAAATTGTATTCATATTTGCATTTTTTGTGAAAAACCCAGGAAATTCATGCAAATTATTGGATATTCTGCATATTTAACCAAAATATTTTAGCTAAAAACAGATAAAAAGCCGAATAATTAAGAATAAACACTCGGCACATATTTTTAAACCATCAAAACAAAAAAAAAAACAAAAAAAATACTTGAAATGCTTTGTATTTTACTTTATTCATAAGCTTAGTATAAAAATAACCATTTAAATCAATTCAGCTTCCGATCTAATGTATTCACCAATATCTGATTGATGGAAGCAAACAGTTGCCATTGGTTCAGCATGTTTGCACTCAGCTGTTGCTTTTGCAGCTACACCAAAACCAAGTGGCAAATCTGACATTGAATACACAACTACACCACTGTATCTTTCAGTGTTTTCACTGATTCTCCCCATGCCACTCTTTGCAATATGATTGCCATATAAAAATGTTTGTTCTGCAGCTGGTTTCAGCCATATTTTACATTGTGCATATGGGGCGATGTAAGTTAATGCTGTTATGTGTAAAACAAATTTGTTGGTCTTTGTGAATTTGCCAAAACATGTGCCTGCACAGACAAGTTGATCCTGGTTGAGAGTGTTTGCAAGATTAAGGATTTTTTCAGATACGTAATAGACACGGTCTTTCTTCTCGCGGAAACAGTAAAGACCATCGGGGCGTTCGATGAGGGCTTTTACATTTGGTCCAATGCTGTAATTAAATAAATTGTGATTAATAAAAGTAAAAATTGAAGAAAGTAAACAACTTTTGTTTTCAATAGCGGAATGAATGCGATAGATGGCACTTACTATTTTGATAGTTTTTCGAAGAGTGTTTTGGTGCGTTCTTCACTTAAACGTTTCATTTTTTTATATTAATTATATTATAACTTTAAAGTTTTCGATTGAGAATCGCTGTGTTTGGTATAACCTGCAAGAACACGTTGTTTTCCCACGTGCTTAAAACATCTGACTGCAAGTAGTGGGAGATTTCAATTTTAAATTATTTTTATATAAATATTCCAATATTAACAACTTTAGCATTAAATATAACAACTAAAAAACAATCAATACAATAATATAGCAATTCAATTCAATTATTTCTTAATTTTAATTGTTTATTAACGTTTTTATTTATCCAAAAGTCAAATGGTATCGTAGGCAACTTTACCAACTGTCTTCCCCACCTTTCAATATTATTTATTTCGGTCCATGTCAAAATCGTAGTTTATTTTGTCCACCGATCGTAATAAAAATACAATAATAAATAAAGTTAACACACATGTGTTATATAAAGCGCATTCACTCAAAGTGAAAACACACGAAAATGAACGCAAAACGATTCGCGCCTATGCTGGCAAAGCTGCCAATGTACTCGACAAAAACATTTTACTGCAACTGCATACGTAACCTCCAGATATACCCGACTCGATTATCGAGTAGCAATACATTTCCGATCAAAATGTGAGTATGATAAAATTGTATAATCATCAAACGACTTCTGAATTATTTACAGCGAGAAACCCGTGAAAGTCGACGTTCCTCCGCCAATTACATCACAGGTGGCGCCATCTGAAGAGCAACCGGCTACAAGTTTAGTTCAAAAAGGTATGAGCAATCATTTTTATATAAAAATCAGCATTAAAATCACTTTAAAAATTATTTTCTTATTAATAAAGTATCAGAATTTGATGAGGCGTCATCAGTATCGCAATTGCTAAAATGCGGACGCGCATCTCCAATAAAATCTCTCGAAGGACGACGCGACAACCAACAAAATGTCTGGTCACAAATCCTGAAAAACAAATCATCTCTAAGTATAAACATCTTCAACACGTACATTCAAGTCTGCATCGACAACGAGCTCCCCATCGACTATAAAACCTTTCTGCAGTTAACTCAATCAGCAAAACCAAATCAAGAAACTTATCTACTTCTTTTAAAATTAGCATCACGTCTTGGTGATGTGAATGAAGCAGTAGAAATCCTGACGGAAATGAAAGCGCAAGGTATAGCTGCTGATGAAAATGTCTTCAACGCCTTGATAGTAGGCTACACACTACACAAAGGACTCGAAGGAGCTAATTATGTGCTGGGGACAATGAAACTTGCGCATATTCCTATCACAAGCAAGACAAACTGGTCTATTTTAGACGGTTTAGTCCGTCATGGAAAACGCAATGAATTTCGGCAGTTTTTGGAGATTATACCAAAGCTATCACAGAATGATGATGAATATTTAGAAGTGATGTACTCGCTAGGTTCGAGAGGGCAGCACTTGTGGCTTGAGGATATTCTCGGTGATTTTGATTGGGACGGTATGGAGCGTTCGTTTACAACTGGCGTTCATGCGATTTGTTTAGATTTAGTACATCGTGCTCAACCGGAAGCCGCTGTGTTTTACTACAATACCTTCTTGGATCCTTTACCTGAGCAGCCGTATGGAAAACGCCTGCTAACTGAGATGCTCACTTGTCAAATTCCTATTGAAGAGGTGCTGAACGCAGCTAGAAAGTTACAGGCGAAGAATGCGCATGTCCTGTTCGACTTGGCGTCCATTACACTGCAGAAACAGCTCGTTGAGGATAGTTATAAAACATTTGCGTGTTTACCCTTCCTGAGGCCTCACTTTTTCTGGCCGATTATACAAGTTGAAGGGCGACAGAAAGGAGAATTCGGTGTTTTTGGTGTACTAAAGAAAATGCAGGAATTCAATGTTAAACCAGATTATACAACAATGGAGGACTTTGTTTTGAGATATTTTAATATGACTGATGCGAATGCTACTCTTGAGAGTGTCACACAAGTGTCGAATATCATGCATCGGGATGTTTTGTCTCCGATGATTGCTGTTTTACTAAAAGAAAAACGCGTTGATGAAGCGAAAGCATTATGTACGTATCGCCATCTTGTATTTGTATTCCGCCATTTTAATTTATGTTTATTTTTAATTCTTAGGTGAAAGCAGTCATAAAATACCACTTCTCGGCGATCAATTAATTCGACACGTGTCTAACGCTTGGCTACAAACGAAAAGTCTTGATGTGGTGCCGATTTTACAAAAAATATGCGAAACCAACACTCCGTCTGTTGACTGGACAGGAATTATACTTGATCGCTGTCTTCGTGCTTGTCGCTCAGCAGAGGATTGCACTAAGCTGTCACAACTTATTCGTCAACTTGATGCAAACAAGTTGAAAATTACTTCGACATTTTACGATCACATGTTGAATTTACTCGACACGAAGACTGAACTAAAACAATTTAAAGTTGAGTTAGAACCGCAACTAGAGAAGATTTTAGACATTTCACGTCAGGATGCGAATAGGATAACGCACCCGAAGGATATGAAAGTAGATGAACTTGAAAGTCATCTTATAGAACTAGAATCTAAGCAGATGGAGACACGTGGTGTGATTAGGAAGTTAATAATGACGCATGCAAAGTTAGGCAATCATCAACGCGTGCAGGAATTAAGGGAACATATGAAGGAGCGTGGTTATGAGGAGTCTGCGGGCATGAGAAGCTCTTTGTTTCATTCTTTAGCGCAGAGTGGAGATATAAAATTTGCTAAGGCAATGTACGAAGAGTTGAAGGCTGCCTATCCGAGTTTTAGGATTGATACGTTTAAAATCGTTGATTTCGCTACTCTACTGGTCAAAAACGACTGCGTGGATGAAGCTATTTCTATTTTGACTAAAGAAACAAAGCCAACAAAGTTAGTTTAGCAGAAAATACTAAAAAACATGAATTTAAAACATATTTTTGGTTTATTTTATAGGTTAGATGATTCCATGGATAGAAACTGCTGGAATTTACTCGGCGCAGCGAAGAAACCCGAAGATGCCTTCAAATTGTTCCAACTATTGGTTGATAGGAACTATTGTCGACCTACAAATGTGATTCTTGGGCCTATTTTACGACCATTTGTTAATCCGTGAGTTTAATGTCCTTTTCCTAACCCAACTTTTTAACACTTGTTTTTTTTTTTATTTGTACAGTGAAACAGTTGATAAACTAGTCAGTACCTTTTTGAATTGCGTCAAACAGTACAAAGCCACACCTCTCCAATTGGAAGTACTTTGCGTTGTACTTGAATCTAAGAACGAGAAACTCCTTCAGAAGGTTATCAACGGCATTAGCAGCGTGCATGGCTCGGCGGCGGCAAGAATGGGTCTCATTGCTGCTCTAGCTGAGAAAGGACTTGAAAAACCTATTCTAAAGTTACTTTCAGTGAGTTTTTCCCTAGCAGTTTACATTTTAGGTTATGTCATGTGTTTTTTTTTAAATTTTGCCTAACAGGAATCAAACAAGTTAAAACTTTCTGATTTAACTAATCGTATTCGTCGATGGGTGCACGAAGATAAACTCCTCCCGTTGAAGACCCTAGAAGCAGCCAATCGCCGCTTATCTATCCCCGTAATTGACACCACGTTGACATCGAGCGCCATCATGAAGATTTACATCAATCGCTGTGATCTTCCCAATGCTTTAGAGTTTTGGCGTCAAGTAGAAGAAAACGAATCACGAATTAGCCCCGATTGCGCCCGAGACTTGATTCGTCTACTCGAGAGAAACAATTACAATGTGCCGGATTCGTTGCGAAACGCGCGCTAACCTTAAACGAAGGGAACTTTGTGTGATTGCTGGACAAAGAGTTAAATTTATACAGTAATCTTCTGTGAGAAGTAATAAATTTCTGTTCCTCGTCAATATTTGACGCTAGTTTACAAATCATATATATATACAGTTTTGAATAATTGTTATACACAGCCAGAGAGTTAAATTAATTAAATAGAAAAGCGTCTCTTGTGCAGCTGCCGATCGAAATCCTTAGTAATTCTAACGTATACGAAAATATTAAAGTACGCAACCAACAATACATGTGGGCGTTGTCCAATTGTTTGTCGTCCATCTTGTCCAACGTGTTTCTCTAAGGTCAGTATGGCGGCCATCTGGGCTGCGTCTTAGACATATTAAAACTAAATTAACATTAATTTCGGTCAGCGATCCTCGAAAATCATCGTGACTGGTCCTTTCGGCGCGAGCAGAAACTCAAATTGAAGATCCAACTCGCGTTCGTTTTTCACGGCGAATTGCTGGATGATTCTACGCAGTAAAACCGGCAAACTTTGTTCGATGAAGCGTTTGCCAGGGCATGTACGTCTGCCTACGCCGAAAGGTATCACTAGAAACGTCGCTGCTGAACTAGTGTTAGTCTTTTCTGCGTCCAGCCATCGTTCCGGTAAGAATTCATTCGCTTTGTAGAAGTTTGCATCGTCCCGACACGCGACCGCTGTTTGACAAAGCACGACGCTGCCAGCGGGCACAGGATACCCGCTCAGCTCCAATTCGCTTTGTGTCACTCGCGCTAAGCAAATGGCGGTCGGCGTCAACCGGAAGGCTTCATTAATACACGCCCGCAGGTAAGCACCATCTTGTAATAGCTTCTCTTGTGTGTGTTGATGCTTCGCAATGGCGTCTAATAAAAATACTAATGTGTTACGCATCGTGTAGATACCAGCAGCGATAAAATCCACAATGGCTGCGGTTTTCTCCCTGGGATCAATATGTGCACTGAGGACACTTTGGAATATCGCTGCGCATATGTCAGGATCATCTACTTTTGCACTTTGGATGATTTCTAATACAAGATCATAAATTTCCTCTTCGCTTTTTGATAATTTTGTATATGCTTTTGTAGGGTAAAGTTTCCATAGTGGTAAACCATAGTAAGTATCACGACACGCAACGAAATGATTGGCTACAGCAGTGGCAAGTCTTGTTTGTATCGAAGACTCGTTGATTTCTTTATTGAGGAGGAATCCCATGCGTCTGCCGAGGACCAAACAACAAATTGTCTCCAATCCAAGCCGACTAGCGAGTTCCTCAACATGCAACACCTGAGATTTTGAATTTCTTGTTGTTTTTAGTAAATGACAGAAATCATCAGCGATATTTTCTAATTCCGGTAAATAAGAAGAAATGGTCTTTGAGCTGGTTAGGTCTGAAGTGAGGTTAGTCCGTAAATTCTGCCATTGTTCACCTAAACATCACAAAAATGCGTAAAAACATTAATATTATGTATTAATCTGTAAAAATTTTATACTTACCTTGTTCATTTACAATTCCAGTGCTTGCATATCGATCCTTTCGACTACGTCTGTATTGAGCAATGGCTTCCGTCGGAGGACGAATCGGATACCGGCCGGATTCCTTCAAAACTTTTTCAATGTCAGCGCGTGTGAAGACACTTATCACCGGCACGTTCCAAAGCGCTTCTTCTTTCGCCACCGGCCCGTACTTCTTCACCATGTCCTTGTAATAAGTGTGTACTTGTGAAAACGTATATCCTCCGAGTTTACTGTACACCCAGGAAGTCCCCAGAATGGGTAGCGCTGTCGGGCCTGGGATTTTACTTTTACTTTCTTTGCTTGCGAAACACCATGGCGGTGTGCTGTCCAGGACCATTTTATCCAACTTGAGGACATTGTTGCGATATGCGCCCAACCACCATGCGACGAAGAGACTTAACAGGAGAAGAATCTCAATTGTTTGAAAGATATCCATGGCTACACACTTTTGTCAAACGTCAAATATCTATTTCTCAGTTAAAAGTTCAACATTCGCATGCGGTCTACACAGCGGTTAATTTCTGAATGCGTGAATAACAATAACAGAATTTCGATGCGATGCCGAAAACAATAACAATAACACGGGTCCGAATTTATCGATTTGTTTGTCCGCGTTATTTCTCATTCAGATTCACTAGTGTTATTTTTCTCCAACTGTATTTAACACACATCTCGTTAACATCCGCATGGTTGGATCGCTCGCACGTGGTACCGTTATTGCGTTCAATCAACTTTCAAATTGTAATGTTAAGCGTGCGGTTAAATGAATTTCGTTTGCTGTTTGTTTGTTTGTGAGTTCAGTCACTCTCGACGGGCGCACATTTTTCGCACGCGGACGATTAGCGAATGCGTCGCGCCGATTATCGTTGCGGCATTTTATGAGAGAGGCGTTACTTTCGGTTTTCGCGCTTCGCCATCGCCATGGCATTGACCATCGGTGACATTGGACGGTAATGAACGCACACCGTAATGTAAACACGCGAAACACGTGCGTTCGCTGCGGGCCGCGCGCGACTATTGAGCGTGTTCGTCTTTTCGTGTTTTTGTGGGTCCTAGGAATCACCTAGGTTTTACCGATAGTTACATTTAGTTGTATTTTAGTGGAATTATGTCATATATCACTTTTAAGTGAGGTTAAAATTTTAAATTCACTTTATTTCTTTTTAGAATTATTTTAAAGTAATAAATGTGGTACCAAAATGTCCGCACTGATAAACACTATCATTTGGTATCAAATTTGATAATATTAAATTATTTTTAGGGAAGTTATCAGCAAAAAACTAATTATTTTAGTAAATTTGACATTTTTGACATTTATTTATCACAAAATTTCACTAAATATTACAAAAACTTAAACTTTGCCGTTTTGCACTCGTTGAAAGATGAGCGGATGAGCGGAGCGTATGCGCGAACGGCGCATTGTGCATAAGTTTATATGATGCGACTTAAGCACCGTAGAGGGTTCAGGCGCGGGTGATATACAATGTGTCCGCATTACGCACTCGACACTATGATGTAAGCGCATAAGATATATCGCAATATATGAGATGGTGGTGCCATACGCAAAGCGGCAAAGGATTGTTGCTGGTTGTGCTTGTGGTTCGGTGACCTCTACACAAACGACCGACTCGCAACGACCGGCAGCAACAAACAAAAACGGCCAACCAACGGCGGGCAGAAACGGGAAGAAGCTTTACTTAACTTCATAAAACTTACCAAATGGTTAAAGGTGTCAAATGTCAAAATGTCAAAAGTTACATGTCAACCATTTTGTTTTATTTGACAGAAAAACTATGCAAGTTTAATGAAATTTAATTATTTTATGTTTTATTGTTGAACATATTGTATATCGGTACAAAGTCATCCATTTTGTTTCTCGTTTTGGTCCGCGTTGTACATTCTTCAATTTTCAATTTCAATCTCATCACGCATTGAGCCTCAATTGCGCATCGTGGCTTATCATTACGCGTTCCGATATGATCCAATTATGCTTTAAACTGCTTCGAAAACAAGATGGCCGCATGCCGCATTACGAATCTTTCTCTCTTTGTGTCTCGTGAATGGAATCATTTAGTCTGTTATCGTCAAATTAAGTGGACTTGTACATACTTTATCATAATTGATGTTTGTTTCAACAATCAAACAAATTAAATTCAAGACAGATTTTTATTTGTCATCGTGTTTCAACACGACGCAAACTTCCTTGAGCGATATCTATATTTGCGTTGTTTTTATTATCAACTATTATTGTATTAACAGCTAGTTAAACATTTTTTTATTCTGTCGTAGTATTTGCTGTAGTATTTCTCTTATCACACGCTTGTGTTTAATCAGCATGCGCGTCTCAATGTCCTCATGTTACTTAAGTGACTTGTGTTTCATCTGGAAGATGTTTCTGTTCAAGTTTAAACTTGAGACGCGCGTCACTCGGCCACAATTGCTGCTTATTTATAATTACACATAAAAAATTAAAGCAAGAACATGTTTTATCAGACATTCAACAGGATTAAGTACACATATAGCATGATATCTTCATGTCATTTGAGACTAGTTTGTTGCTGCGCATGTTTGACTTTGTTTTCATGTAATAAATCATGTGTGCGTCGAAAACGAAACGCTGCGCGAATTTTAAACGCAGAATTAATTCATTGCGGAACAAGAAACCGGCAGGAATGTTTAATTATAAAGTCAAATTTGATTTTTGCACATTTCAGATGCGAATGTGTATAAATTATTCGCAAAAAAACAGTTTTAAAAGTCAGAGAAAGCAAAACAACTTTTTTTGCGTAGATTTATTGTCATTTGTCATAAATTATTATTAAAACTTACGTAAACATCAACTGATATAAAATTTAACCTCAAAATATTATGCATGATGGGAAGCATAAGCATTGCTTGTCATCTGTAAATAATCTAACCTATAATTAGATCTAGAATGTAATTAAAGTGTCGTTAACAGTTGTGACACACACACAAAGATAAATATTGATACAATAATTAATGATGCAAGCACACACAAAGCTTATCAAAGTGTGCAGTATACAAATACACAAACAATTAGCGCTTATCGATACGAGTAGCATAATGGTTGGGCTGGCCTTCCACTTGACCTTCCGATTTCGATTATTTATCTTTCATGATGCGACATGTTCCAGTTTCACGTAAAAACACGTAAAATACGTAAAAATGCTGCACGTGTTGTTTAAGTTGCCTACATACCCAGTTTTTCATCACGTGTGAATACGCGTTGTGGCGCATTGATTTAACCTTAAACTTACAATTGTATTGTGTTGTAGATTGCAGACGCATGTCTCAATGTCTCGCATCGCCATAAATTACAATCATGCGTATTATTATTTTATATCATATCGTTATTGTTGTCGTATCGTTGTTTGTGAGCATCTGCGAACGCACAATGAACATTTCTTTGACATTGACTATTGAACTAGACATTAACCGACTTAACCTCAATCATAAATTAATCACATTCAATAAATATAAAGCCAAATTTAAAAATATCGCATTTTTGATAGAATATTAATAAAATTAAGTAAAAAAAGTAAGGAAACGTTTTAATTAATTGTTATTAATAATTTTTATCATGAATATTGAAGATCTTGACCTAGTAATTGATTTTTGCTCGCAAATTTCAATCCAAGGCAAAATAAAGTATCAAATTCCAAAAATTCTGTCAAATTTTAGGACAAGGTCTAAAATGAAGTTTTTAAAAAGTAGATTTATTAATAAATACCTAACAATATAATAATTATTTACAATATATTAAAATATTCTGGTGTAGCATAAAAATAAACATCGAATTTCATCTAAGGCGATATTATAAATAGATTTGATAGTAGTACAAAAATTACTTTCACTATAACCTAACTAATTTTATTATTAATTTGAAAAATTATCTAAGGTGTGGTGGATATGCTTTCCGGTAGCTGTCTAGTTGCCATGTCATCGTAGGCTATCGTAAAAACACTCTTCTTCTGCGCCATTGCCGGTCTAGTAGTCAAAGCAATCCCAGAATCTACATCTGCATCCACACTTGGAGCCACTCCAGCATTATTAGCATTTCCTGGTGCAGCTCCAACGGAAATCTTTTTCGGAGGTGTTTTATCTTTAGTTTTCTTAACGGTAGGTGGCATTGTTAGCGAAGACTCAAACCTATTCTTTGAATGTTGGATTAAGGGATGTTCTGGACCAGGGGCAGTTGGTAACTCAAAAGCTTTCTGTGTCTTGTCTTGTTGGACAGTTTTCTTTGAAACTTTGGTTGCTGTGGTTTTTAATTCTTCTTTAGGCTTTTTAGTTACTATGGGTTTAGGTAGTTTTGACTTAGAACCATTGGATCCACCATTTGAAGACCTCCCGGTGTTGGGTTTGTACCATTCCATGTATCTAGCTGATTGTTTCTTTCTTAAGGGTATCCGTGACCTTTGACTGGAATTAGATGCCCTTGACAATGATAACCTAGTTAAATCTTGAGTACTAAACGCTTTGTTTTTGTTTTGGGTCATTTCATGGTCCATTCCTAGAGGTAAGTCATTCTCCGATCTTCTACGTCCACTTTGTGTCCTTTCTGTCATCCTCCCCACCTCGGGAGATGTATATTCTAAAGAATCTTCCAACTGAGGATCTTCATCCTCTTCAGATTCACTTTGATTCAATGAATCTGAGATTTCCTGTAGGACCTCTTTCTTTAAACTTCTACTTGAAGTACTCCTGGAGTTTTTAACATTCTCCGACTTCATTTGACGTAGAATACTTGACCTAGTTTGGTTGTACTTCTTTTTACTTGTCATTGAAGAAGTACTTTGTCTTCTTTTAGGTTCCGCAGAGTGGTTATACTCATGATCATGTTCTGACTCTTCCTGAATCGGAGTCCGTATTTTTCTCTTAGCGTTTTTATGTGCTCTACGTTTTCTGTATTTAGTATGATCTTCATCGTCTGATGAAGCATCATTATCAGACCTTGTTTGTCTTGCAGGAGGTCTTAAATATACAAACTCAGTCTGAGTACTTGCATTATGATCTGTCTGAGTCCCAGCTGGTAGACTTTGTGTTTCTAACCTTAAATCTCTCTCACGTTCTAGGATTATCTGTCGTAGAATAGCATTCTGTTGTCGTAGACTTTCTTCCAAGAGTTCATGCTCACTCTGAATACGATGTAAAGTATTCTGTTGAAGTTGTTGTTGTTGTTGGTCTATATACCTCCTCATGAGGATATCCTTTCCATCAATAACATAGGTTTGTTCAGGGAGTAGAGTTACAGGTCTTTCTGTAGGTGGACCTCGTGTGACTAGCCTTAGAATATCAGCCCCACCTTCACGAATGTAATACTCTCGCTTCCTACCTCTTTCAGACCCTCTATCCATTTCATGTCTACGAATTGAATCTTCTTCTTCGTTGTGTTCAGGGGTCCATGCTTCACGTCTACCGAACCATTCTGCAACTTGGACAGATCTATTCTCCATTGGAGGTTGTTGTGTTGGTATCACCGTCACCTGAGGAGCAGGTGGAGCTGGAGGTGGAGGAGGTACAGATTCTACATCACCTATACCTTCATCCTTCACCAAAACAACTTTTTCTATGTCCACAGGTGACACTCTCCTTCTCCTCTTCTTGGGTTCCACATACAGGGGACATCCTTCTAGGACACAACACAATACCATGATCAAACATGTCAGGAGTATCAATAATAGAATAATCAACAACAACCACCATAGGTTCCATGCCCCTGCCATCGAAACCTTTAACTTGGCACGTTCTTGTTCCTGTCGCTTCAGAATCTGAGTTATCCTTTCAATATCCAATACACTATTCGCAGATTCAAAGGTGACAGTTGTCTCCGCAATGGATTTCTCTCCACCCTTTTCATCGGAGACATCTAGAACATGTGGTTCATCACCAGTGTAAGGCCTGATAAGATTAACAGCAACCTTCCCCCCGATGAGTTTACTCAGAAAATCTTCTAACTCCTGTCTGTTTGGGTTTGTCCCTGAGACAATAAACAACATTTTATAGTTTTTAGCATTCTCAGGTGGATACAGACGAATTTCACATTCGGTGAATAACCTTGGGACGCCATTATCATAAGCCCTTGCTTTTACCACAACTATTTCATTGTAATTCCAGTTCCCAGTCAGTTTTAATTCACCAGAATATTCATCAATGGTGAGATTAGCAACTTTATCAATTAATTCATATCGTATTTCATTGTTGGGTGGAGCTAAATCCTTATCAATGGCAGTAATATGAGCTGGTACGGTAAATTGTCTCCGAGACTGGTCTAAAATAAACTCGTATAAAGGTTTCTCGAACGTTGGTTCTTGATCATTCACATCCAGAATATTCACAGTAACTTCTGCTGTGCTTGACAATGAGCGGCCATTTTGATTTCGGACTATGTCATTAGCTACTACGTTGAATGTATGTTGACTAAGTGTTTCCGCGTCTAAAGCTTGTGAGTTTTTCACGGTAACAACACCAGTTTTCTCATCGATAGAGAAATAATCCGTGCCTTCTAAACTGTAGCGAATATTCACACTCCTGCGATCTTTATCAGTAGCTAAAACTTTGATAACAGTCATTCCACTGTCGGCATTCTCCAGAACTTCAGCATGGTAGTGTTTTTGCATAAATTCAGGCGCGTTGTCATTGACATCTTTGAGGTTAATTTCTAAAACTGCTCGCGAGGATGCGTTACCTTCGCCTAGTTCCTGTGCAACCAACATTGCACTTAGCGATTTATATTTCTCATAATCCAGCATTTTATTTTCACGGATTTTTATGACGAATTTCGAACGTCCTTCGATGACATTCGGTATCACATCGAATGTACCATTGTTATTCTCTAATTTCAAAGAGTAAATTGTTCCGGTTGTTCCGATCAACTCCATATCGATGTCTAGTTGAGTTCCAATTGGAGAATTCTCTTCTATTGTTGTTTCGAATGTTTGTTTATTGAAATACGGAGATGGTGATGTAATCGCAGGCGGGATAAGTGCTAATTTGACAGTTGACGACTGGGCGGGACTTTCCTTGGCGTTGGAACGCACTTCTTCAGCGACGACAGTTAATATAATCGGGATATTACTGTGGCTTATTGATTGGATGTCGATGATTGGTTTGGCAAGGCGTAATTCACCTTCAAAACAAAACAAAAAAAACTGTCAAAAATTGAAAATCAGAAAACATGCAATTTCGTCGTAAAGTTTATATATCTTAGGGTGGAAGTCAAGAGTCTAGTCTAGACAGGAAATGACTGACCGGAAATCATAAAGGAAGTTAGATATACAGAGTGTTTGTGTAATAAACTAACCTGTATCCTCTGAAAGGTTGAAAAACTGAACAAATGGATTCCCTTCAGGCACAAGTCCATACCGGATGTCCCTGGGTTCACCCCGGTCGCCATCTTCAGCCTGTACTCGTAAAATGACATCGCCAGGTTGTAAATCTGGTGACAGTTGTGTTGTGGGCGGTGCTAGCGTGAACACTGGAGGCGTGTCTTGTTCATCCAACACGGCAACTAACAACGGCCATGCTGCGATATTCCTAGTATCTTGGTTGGGTTGAGCGTAAGGATCCTGGAACAACAATCATCGATCATTGTTTTTGACAGTAATATCTTAGATTTTTCAGTGTTGCATGTTTTTAGTTTAGCTGGTGTTGTCAGCAAGCCCTGACCCTATCCTTCAAAATATCTTAGACCCCTATAGTTTGGTTTTACTGCTTTTTGTTTTATAGATATACGGATTGCGTGACGGTGACGGGCCAAGGGTCCGAAAGTTGTGGCGAAGACACGTGACCTATGATTGTGGGTGAAACTTACAACACGCACACGCACCACGAGGGTACGAAGGCAGAACGGATATTGGGGTGAGAATTTATAAGAAGTATAAGGAGGTATGAGCTCATGAGCGTTTTCGCTTTTCACGAGTAAATGATTTATTGACACACACACACAAGCGGGTAACTTGAACGTAACGGTGTAACACGTAATTTCATGATTAGACACGATAGACACCTGAGTAAGGGTGAATGCCATTAAATATCTATAATATAAGTGGTATTATTTTTAATGAAGCAGATGTATGCAACCGAAAGTGTCAGTTAAGACTCTTTAATATATGCAACCAAAGTTACATCGTTTTAGTTATGTTCAATTTAATAAAAAATATGAAAAAATGTATTTTTATTTGTAAAGTATTATTAACTACTTGGGATCGTGATTCAAGAAAGTGTTTTATTTATTTTTGTCTGTTTATCACGCGCGTAATCGCTATCAGCTTGCGTGAATCTGAAAATAAGTTTTCAAAGCTCACCAAAAGCTTGGAAAGATGTGAAATTGATGTCAGTAGGTGTTTGAATACTAAATAAAATCACTTAAAGAAATCAATTGAGTGGATTTATTGATATCACATCATCCTAACCTATATAGCCTACAATACAACAACTTTAACCTAAAAAAATTAATGTTTTCAATAACTAGTAATTTATCTATACTCATATTATTGATACTAAACAACAATTTTGTTATTATTTCTTTTTGGATGATTGTATGCTTGTAAATGTAAAGCAATAATTGTTTTGTGGCCGATAACAGCCGGCAGAGGCAAATGGCCACAATTTAGTTATGTCGGTCATCGCCGACGTGGAGGGTGGTCAGTTTGTATTCGATGTGTTCACGCACATCGCCAGCGAATAGCTGATTGCGGCCATATTGGTTCAAGTATCCATGTGACTGAATTGCTGTGCTTGCCGGCGAGGTGAAAAATATATGAAAATATGGAAAACGCCGCGGAAATCAGGTCGACGCAATTATTTCGTTTTTTATTGCGCATTTTCACGTCACCCTCTGGCCCAGTTATAAATAAAAAAGCGAATTGCTTTATATTTCATAAAATTGTGTGATTATATTATTAAAAGAAGCAAAAAAGGTGCAAAAAGTAAGTTTAAGCATGAATTTATTTCTGTGTTATACGGTCAGTGTTTTGACGTTGATAAAAATCAGTTTAAAAGTCATTTCAACAATTATTTTATGCATTTTTTTAGAAAATAAAAAAATTCTTAGAAAAAAGTAAGGTTAAATTCAGTTTAAAATAGTTTTATACGTAATTATCAGCTACGGACGATAAAAAGAACATAAAACAAAATATATTAGCAAGGATTAAGCTTAAGGACGACGGATTTTATACAAGCGTGTTATTTATACTGTGCTACTTTTTTAAAACGTTTAATTTCCGGTTTGTGCTACGCCACGTTAGTGGTAAAAAGAAAATGTGTAAACTTAATCCCAAATAAAAAAAATAAGATTAATAGACGAAAGTTAAGGTTATGTAAATGTCAAGTTTGACATCTACAAGATATTCAATATAATTATATGCATAAAAATCCGCAACCCACCAAACACAACTTCTCTAAATTACAAAGCGATTCAAAAACAAACGAAATAATTAATAGTTATTCATCTGTTTGTATTCATTCGCTTCCAAATTTATGTTTACCCTATAATTGAGTTAACTATTAAGTACACATTAAGTAACCCTTGCTTTGGTTAATTTTATACAACGTATTCTCATGTGACATGAAATTGTATTTACTATTTACATTCATGTCATGTTTTACGCTCTTCACGCACCCTCAAAGGGTGGCACCCCTTTGTAACAAGCATAAAAGTCACCAAAATGACATGACATTATAATATCAGCCATCAACACATGTAATACTTACATTAGCCAAGATTGTTAAATGATGAACAGTCCTTGTTTCGTAATCTAACGATCCAAGCAGAATAATCGTTCCTTCTGCGTCTCGTTGACCGGAAATCCGTTGCCGGAGACCAAACTGTGGTGAGCCCCATAATTCTAACAACACAGCCTTTTCTCTCAGTCTATTCCCTCTGGCGATTAAACTTCCTAGTTCTTTATTACGTCTTGCATTTTCTGAAACCATGAGTAATGGTGGTGCACCCGGAAAAATATCTCCAATTGGTGTGGTTGCATTTGTCGCACGGAATGAACAATCCATAAATGCACTGCGTTTTTGTTTCGTACTTGTTACAGACACTCGAAAGTCATAGAATCTTCCTGCTTCTAATCTTTTTTGTAGAATTACATTCGCTTGACACACAGAGTTCAATCGAGAGCAGTTTAGACTATCCACTGAGGCAATTGTGACTTCACCATCGATGGCGAAGGTTAAAGGATAGTCAAAATCAGGATCAGATGCACGTAATCGGTAGATAATTGAATTTACAGCGGCGTCTGCTGGGATGAGGACGTTGCGCAAGATGGCGGTCGGGTCAAAAGATGGCGTACCGGAAACGGAGATGATAAACAAGGTTAGGAAATATTTTTGGTAATAGTTAGACATTTTAACATATGGAAGTAAAATTTAAAGGATAATTATAGGAAATCAGGAGTTTTTCATGCTGAAACAAACAAATTCACTGTTAAACTAATTTAAAACTTATTTTTTTGGCCGGTTATGAAATGATTCATGGTGGGAATACTGACAAGTGATGACAGTGTTCTCCAAAGTAGAATAATCACATATTTATTGAATATGCCCGCATAAAAAACAAATTTATTACGAAATAAAATCAATATTATGAATATTGGCTTAAAAATTGATTTTTATTTTAACAAACAATGTAATTAATGAAATTATCAACGAATGCCTCATCCAAGTTTGATTATTATTGTATCGTCGAAGGTGAATTTAAATTGATTATTTCTGGCTATTGCGTAGCCAAAGTAGACAACACGAATGACAACAAGTTGTAATTGAAACATTCAAGCATTGTAATGTTGAGCAATCATGGATTTCCACCGACGACTGACCCTTATAATGTTTTTTAGTTTGTGTTTCAATGTCTGCTTTCAATATCGTTGCAATATTCTATGAAATGTCAATCAACTCGTTTTATTACTGATATGTGTGTTGCCTACCATCATAATATTTTCTAATTTTAGTTATTTTAATGCTTTGGGTGTATAATAAGTAAATTGTGGTGGTTTCTAGTTTGTTTCTTGAGGTAACAATGAATGAAATCGAAATTAAAAGTGTGAAGAGCAAATGCGCGACCTTTATTCAACTCATACATCAGAATTGACTTTTTTTTTTCTTTCGTGGAAAACTGAGTCATTACCATTGATGAAATTCTTTCTTTTTACTGTTTTCTACGATGTATATCATGAAATTAAAGCTATAAATTTCCAGTGGCCATGTTTTATCATTCATAACCTCTAATTTTTAGACATAACCTAGTTTTTAACCTAGTTTTATCAATAATTATCTAAAAAATTGTTATTACATTAGATTCTTATAAATTTTGAATCATTTTTCACTCGATTCGATTTTTATTAAGAAATTTAAGCAATAAAATTCAATCAGCCATGTTTAATCATGTATGACCTCCTAATTTTAAATATAACCTAGTTTTAAACTTGATTATATCAATAATTACCTCTTAATTTGTTGTTATGTTGGATTTTTATCAATTTGAATGTTTTCACACTTAATTTTCAGTTTATTACACAACACAAAATACATTTTAATAAATTTTAATCACATTTTGTTTATAAACAATTCACAATATAATTTATAATCAAATTTATTGTTTTATTTCGATTGGTATCATAAGAATAACACATTTAGCTGTGATTGTTTATTGCGTATTTCTCTAGGGGGCAGTTACAAATTGCTTTCGTGTTTTGTTTTCGCCGACGTGATTTTCACTCGACCGCGTGACGGGCGTCGTGCAACTGGCGTGTGCCGCCGCCGTCGAAACGTGGCCGGCCGCCCCCATTTCATATACGATTGTATTTTGTATATAGCTGTGTGTGTTGGTGCTTGACTAACGCAATATGTAAATGGTCATCTGGTCAACGACGGCGTGAGGCCCACGCGCGCGTCATGCTCGGAGGCGGCGCGCCGCCGGCCAGCGAAAGCGCGCTGCTCCGCTGGTCGTAGTTAGGTCGTCGTCATGGGTGACTCTCGACACATACAGAACTTTTTCGTGAGACGCGTAATTTGTGACCGTTTTAAAATTTTATTGTTTTAAATTCGTTTTAAAATTTTATTTTATTTTTTGGGTGATTAATAGAGTAAAAGGTGTTTTTAATACTTTTTAGGCGTAGTTTTATGTGGAATTAAATTTTATGTTGGAGTTTTTTGTTTTAGTTTTTCAGTTCGATGAAAATCGTACAATCTCAGCTTGTTTGCGTTTTCCAACCGTTTCTGAAACGTTGTCCGGCGGTTAGCTAACGAATCGATGTTCTACTTACATATGTTTATAGATGGTATACTTTTGGGGGCAGCTATGACCACCGGCCAAGGGGCAGCAATATTCTAGCTAGGGTTTTATGCATTTAAATCCTAAATCAAAGAATTCACAAAAGAAACGTTTATTGCAAGTAAAAAACTAATAAAATTATCATAAATTGTTTATAATAAAGCTTCTTAATACAAATATATCAAGAAAAACCATAAAACAAAGTTTCTTATCATATAAATTAATTATTTCTAAGAATCCTCAAAGTAATAGCTGTATTTTTTGACTATATGCAACCAACATTTCACTCGTACTTCACTATACGCCATAATGAACTAAATATAAATGTAAGGTTAATACCCTCAAAATAAACACAATTATTGTTTTACAACTATTTCATTCTTGTATTAATATTAACATTCAATTCATTGCGTGAACAATAGCAATATTATTACTCTGTACTTGTGAAAATTTCTAGCAAATTACTGTGTATTTGTATTGCTCGTGTTACTGTGCAATACAAATCTGTAACATTATTGTCGTATATTGTTCTATACTCGTATGTATGTTTTCATATCGCGTTCCAATCGTGTTCTTATTCTAGAAGTTTACCCTTGACACATTAATTATTATTCAAAGATTAAACCGTGATTTTCCTTCGGTTTGCAGTTTTTGCCTATCGTGTTACTCATGCGGATTAGATTTTTCATTCAGAATTAGAATTCAGTGCGCTGAATGTTTCCGTAGATATTATGTGAAAACATGGCAGTAAAAATTAGTTTTCATTTACATATTGCGCACTTTTGTTCGGGGAAGTTAATAAAAAAAATAATAATAAAACTGTGTGCTTTTTCAGTGTGTAATTTTAATAATTACAGAGTTTACGATGTGATGAATTTATGTAAATATGATTTATTAATACATATGTGTTTATGAGACTAAAAGTTTTTGGGTTAAACAATTATTTATTAAGGGGTATTAAATAAATATATTGTAAAAAGTAATTCTTGAATTTATTTTTTAACTTATTTTATCCTTGAAATTACAAATTGTCCTTATCGTCGACGTTAATGTGCTTATAGATTAATTTATTATTTGTTTTATCAAAAGAATCATAAAATACTAACGTAAATCACACATTTTTATTTATTTAATTACTTTTCATGTTTAATTTTCCGCGTTTTTTGCACGTGCCATTTTTAATCCGCAAGAGTCTTTAATCTGCTTGAGCTTGACAGCAAAAAAACAATTTAATTTCAATGACGCTTTGTAATTCTAGACTTTAATTAGAAAATGATTTTTCTTGTCTCCATCTTTAAAGCACCAGTTTATTCAAGCTTTTTAGACACAAAAAGTGGTACTTTAAACATAGACGGCCAAGGCTGTGACTAAAGTACTTTAAATTAAACTGAAAAGTTCAAATACAAAAACCTAAACGTGGAAATAGAGTAAAAATAGAAAAAATATCGTAAGCATCAGATGACTAAACGTTGTTAAATACTCGATTGATTAAAGCCTCGTTTTTAATCACTTTCGTGCCATAAACTCCCGTTTAGCCACTTGATACTTAATATTTTATTTTCTATTTGTTTTCATATTTTAACATTCCTTACATATGATAAATATGCTTGAAAAATTAAAGAAACAATAAAGAACACAACCACTTATAAAAATATAAAATATACAACCGCATAACAAGGGTTGTAATCGAAGTAAATCAAGATAATGATAGGTTAATAACAAACGTAGAATATTCAGGACGTCTCCTGTTTGTTGTTCTACTTCTACAACTTCTATCGTTCTTCAATCGCAATCCTATATACGTCATTTAAAAATAATAACACATGCATTCCTAGGCTTCTAGCATATACGAATATGAGTATGACATTCGTATTGTATCCAGAAATGTATGTAAAATGTGATGTAACTGGAACACATCGCAACCACATCCTCGTATAAAACATAATTGGAACACGAATGCAACGTAGTCGTATACAACCAGCAGAACATCAACCGTTTAGATTACATAGTCTCACTACTCGTATAAGCGAATGTTTGCATGCCATGCAAGTAAACTGAATTAATATTATAATATTATTCAAGTGTACTTAATATTCACATAATCATTATGTATACGTTGTGGTAGATCCAGTTTAAGGGATGAATTATTTATTGAAGCATATTTTCAGGCACGATCAATTTATAACAAAGATAATTGTGTTTCTTATAAATATGGCCTCAAATAATTATAAATAGCTCTTGTAAATACAAAAAATATATAGACTAGAATATTAATTTTGAGAAATTGAAAACTAAAGTTAGTAATATATAAGTTATCACTGCGCAATTAACATATTTATATCGGCAAAATTGTTGGTAGCATTGGTTTTGTATTTCTTCTATGTCTTGCATTGTTTCTACAAATTCACCGTTCATAATCTTCATTATGTAGTTGATTGTTATGTGTCTTTCAATATGAATGCAATTATGTGCAATTAATTCACCAATCTGAATGAATTTTGTTTGTTTTCTGGACTTATAGCTGTAAAACTGTATATTTGTTGTGATTATATCTGTAACAATAAACAATTTTTAGTTTACCATTGTAATTTATTATGTACCTAACAATCATTTTTCATCATCCACGCACCTTTTTATATAAAAAGTACCTTTAAATACCTGTATAAATTGCTTTTTTCTCAATTTTCTAAAGTTTAAGGTAAAAAAACCTCCCATATATACTGCAAATCACTACAATTTTGTGTTTCTTATAGGCACATTATAGATACGGACCTGTTCCATCATATTTATACTTGTTCCTGCCCTTAAACCCTTCAAAAATAGCTTTTAATTCTTGTAAATATAGCAATATTTCAAAAATTTTGATTATTTAACCTGGAAATCACTCTGTATCTTTTGTTAAATGAAAACAATGTACGATTTCTTCTTAAAATAAACTAATTTAAGGGCCCTTCTAATTTTTACGACTTTTTTTCACTCTTCAATCCATTAGGAAGTGCTCTAAAATGCCCATCAAATGATACGAAAACTGATTTGTAGAAATCACTTTCCATTATTTTTGCTTTAACAACAGGGTCGGACTTTATTTGTAAAATATTTTTGCTCGAACAACAGGGTCGGACTTTTTTTGTAACATATTTTTGGCTCGAACAACAGGGTCGGACTTTTTTTTGTAAAATACTTTTGGCTCGAACAACAGGGTCGGACTTTTTTTGTAAAATATTTTTGGCTCGAACAACAGGGTCGGACTTTTTTTATAAAATATTTTTGCTCGAACAACAGGGTCGGACTTTTTTTATAAAATATTTTTGCTCGAACAACAGGGTCGGACTTTTTTTGTAAAATATTTTTGGCTCGAACAACAGGGTCGAACTTTTTTTGTAAAATATTTTTGCTCGAATGACAGGGTCGGAATTTTTTGGAAAAATATTTTTGCTCAAGTGACAGTCGAACTTTTGTTTAAAATATTTCTGCTCGAACAACAGGGTCAAACTTTTTTAGTTAAAATATTTTTGCTCGAACAACAGGGTCTGACTTTTTTTGTAAAATATTTTTGCTCGAATCACAGGGTCGAACTATTTCTTAAAATATTTATGCTCGAATAAAAGGATCAAGCTTTACTGTTAAAATATTTTCGCTCAAAACCATAATCAAAAGTTTAAGCACTAATAACTCTAATAACTGAAATAACGCTATTAATGGGACTAGGAAAAATAGTTTAGATGTTTTTCAATGCGTGGGTGTACCGTTCAACATATTTTCTGATGAATAGGGCTGCCGTTTTGAACTTTTAGATAAGTACAATTAATTATAAAATATTTGGCGGAAGCGCCTGGCATTTTAATTAGTGTTTTAAACATTAATTAAAAACTAAACATTGTATAGTGGGGCCATTAATTACCTTATTAGGACAATCAGACAATTATTAGTACCAATAGTGTGCCCTGCAGCGACCTTTTAATAAAACTCGTACTTGGAGTAACACTTAATTATCAATTATCTCAAGAACTAAAAAAGATAGAGAAAAACCGTAAACGGTATAAAGTTTAAAATTAAATTCTACATAAGATAAGACTTTAAACTTTCCATTTTCAACATGAAAAAATGAATTTTCCGACGCGATTTCCTCGGAAACTATAAAAGTTATCCCGAAACTTTTTGCATTTTTTTCATGCCCTAGCAAGAATCTACAAAATGGCAGATTTAGTTTTTCCATTTTCCGAAGTTGACGAAAATCACCAAAAAGTAGTCAAGTGTAATAACCTCTTGACTACTTTTTGGTCCAAAAATTATTTTTCAAGCTAGCAAAAAATGGAAAACGCCAAGCGATAGAGAATCGCAATGGGATGAAGAATATCTAATCAGTTTTCGGATAGGACAATTATTTCAAAAATAACTGGTGAAAATCGAAACGAACAAAATTGAATCACAACTCACATTTTTCCAAAAATTGGTAACATGGTATAAAATGATACTAGGAACTCACTGGTGCCATTTTTATTGCGATAGCTTAATTAGTTTTTAAGTTATTGACCATTTTCACTTATTGCATAAGTGTTGAAATCTTAAATTTTAAAAGTGCTAAAAAATATATAATTGGGCTCCGAATACAAATCAGAAAACCGTTTCCGTTTATCATTAATAGTTTTCAAGAAAAGTGCAAAAAACTAGATTCTTCATTTTCTTCATCATTTCTTAAGCAGTAAATCAAAATTTCAAATGTGTATTTTTTATTATAGATTTTTCTAGAACAGGTGATTCTAAATACTTTATCTTAATAACATTTCGTTTTAAAACTAATTATTTAGGTAGTAATCAGGCCTTTATGTTAAATATTACTGATTTGTAATGCAAAAAATGAATAATTAAAATTTGCACTTTTTATTGCTGATTTCTTTAAATAAACAACATTCTAAACATTTTATCTTAGTAATAATTTTTTCTAACTCCAATTATTTAAGCCCTACTGACAATTTTATTATAAATTCAAAACTAAACTAATAACACAAATATAGGCAACACAGACTACACATAACAACATAATTTAAAATATTGTACTCTAATAAAATTAAATAACTTTTATTGATAAATACCTTAGTTTTATAAGGAAACTGCACGATGATTGTTGTTATAAACTCAAATACGTTCCTTTTATCGTTTATAACAATAGTAATATAATATTAACAACTACATATTTGCATATATAGTAAATATGCTAATAAGCTAGCTGAATGAAAAGTAACGACGTAAGCAAGGGTTAAAATTTAATTAAATAAGTCTAAGTAGAACGCACATTAAAATTTCAATTGTTTCCGTATCACACAGTTCGTTTCCGTTGTTACGCGACGCTTCCGCGACTGTTCTATTAAATATTAATGGCTGACATAAATTCATTTCATTGCACTATCGCCTATTTTATGCTTGTCTATTACATGATATAATTAATTCATTTGTACTAGTTTTATAGCTACAAGTTGATCTGATTTTCGTTATTTTTCTCCTTTTGTCTTGGGAAATAATATAAAAGTAGAATTTCCACAAAATTAAACACGTAATTAAAAAGTTTATAATTTTAATAATAAAATATTCTAGTAAACTTTTTTGATATCACGAACAGTTTAAAAGTTACACGCAAGAGAAGTTCCAAAAGTTGTGTGGTATGTGTTGCGTTGAGGTGCGTAGGCGTCGAAAGCGCATCTATCGGTTTCTGATCAATCGACGCAGGAGGCAGCGGTGCGATGCGCTTCATAGGGGCGCGGGAGGCGTGGGCGGAAAGCTATCGGTTCGGTTCGGGAATCTATCGGCGGCCCAAACGCGCACCGATCTGTTCTACCAGGCGCGCAGGAAGCGCACGGCGGGAACCGATCGGTTCGATATTTCCCGATAATCGGTCCCGGCAGCGACGCGCCGAACGGCACTAACGTATACGTACGTTTCAACCACACACCCTTCGCACCCACAAACACAATTCATACCTGTAGATAACTAAAACATCAGAAAATGCAGCAAAAAGACGAAATTAGGCAAACAAACATGTTTTTAAATAAAAATGTTGAATATATTAATTATTTGAGTATATTAATTAATATTTTACAATTGCAAACCTTCTGCAATATGATCAAAAAGACAAAGTTATAGAATTTTAAAGTTTTTCTTTTTTTTTTAATCATTTGCTTAAAATAACTTGCAAATTTAACATAAACCGTCATTTTCCTTGTTTTACTGCAAAATAAACTATATTTGTTGTTAATATGGAGCGAAATTAATATTTTATAGCTTTAAAAGTAATTAATCAAGCCTAACTCTCTTTATATTACATTTTATCGCAAAACTTATTTATTCTGTTATATTAGTTCATAATTCTGTCGATAGGTGACGCTGCGAGTATCAAACTAGAATATATTTTCTCATGGCCATACTGATACCTCCCTCCTCACACATTTCCTACGCCGGTAGGAATGTTAGTGGAATGTTCACCGCGTGACAAATAAGGGGGGCAACCGCATGGCGAGAAGCGGCGAACGCGAGCGCAGAATGCGGATTGGAATGCCAGCCACCGACTGCGATTGCTGCGCGCCCGATACGAGGCGGGCCGTTCGAGGCGCTCACATTCCACTCCTTGCATTCTCCTCATACCCGCGACGACTCGAAGACTTCGACGCAGATGGCACACGCGTCGCGCGGGTTATATACATACCTAAAACAATCTGGAAACGAGTTGGAAAAAAATGTTGCTGTGATTTGATTGGACGGTGTAAAATACAGATACTAACTTGATTACTTTATACGTGTAAATTTGGTTGCCTGCCATTAAATAAATTAATTCTGATTAGTACAAATCGTAATAAATTCTTATTCTCTTAGTAAATAAACATTAATTGTATTGTGACAGATACATAATTAATAATAATGAGCTGAAAACATTATAATTATGGTGCAATAATTAGTATTTTATAATTTTTTATTTAAAAAACAGTAAAAAGCACTTGGCAGCGGTGGGATTCGAACCCACGCCTCCGAAGAGACTGGTGCCTTAAACCAGCGCCTTAGACCGCTCGGCCACGCTACCTCGGTGTAAAACATTATAATAAAAAGTCTTAACAGATACACATTTCTACATCTTTTACGTACCTACAATATATTATTAGATCCACGTAGGTATTTTACGTCGTCACTTTATAATGATTAATTTGGCACTTGATGCGTGGAAACTTCGCGCACCGCGGCAGGTGAATCATTAAAGCCCCCAAATAAAACACACCTAATCTAATATTTTGTCGCAAATGTGTAAACTCATTTTCAGACAACTTATTCAAAAATTAAAATACAAAATTTCCAAACTTCCAAAGTCATCAAAACTAAATTAAACTCGTTGCGAGTCTAAAACAACAAACAATTTGGAATCACATTAAAAATAACTTCTTAAAACGCTAAAAAAGTGTTTTTGTAAACACACTTATTTTTACCCAACCTCAATGTATCTCCTAAACTTAGGCAACTTCTTAAGCAACCAACTTTGTTTATATCAAAAATCAAGGTTATGTTTCATAATTTACCCCTGAGATTCAAAACATAAATTTATAAAAGCTTTAGTCACGCATCACATTTCTCAATCTCAACATGAAAACTCTCGACGAAACGAATGACTCATATGTGCATGCCGCCTCCGCCTCCGCAACCACAAATGTGTAAGTGTGTAAAACACACATAGAAACAATATGCCTCGTCAAGAATAACCCCGGTCGTGAATCGGGAGTGTTTTCGTCGTGAGTGAGCGTTTTCTCGATAAGCGCGGCATGCGGCATGCGACGGCGGCGGCGAAAAACCCAACGGGCGAAACTATAAGAGACGCGCGAATAGGTAGCGTCGCACGTAGTTAACCTGAATCATCCGACGGGACGAAAGTTGAAATTCGCACACGTGCCCCACACATAAATCAAATCAAATCAAGAAGATGCCTGGACCATCACGACCATTATGGCAGGTGAGCAAATCTATTTGACATCTGTTTTTGATATTTTACAAAACATAAATTAGGTTATGTTAGAAAAAAAACATGAAAAAATACAAAAAAAAGTTTATTAAGATACAAATGTTTTTTACAAAGATAAGATTAATAAATAGGCGCAATATATGCAACCCATAACATTTTCATGTGAAACTCTGGAATTTTGCACGTTTACAAGTGGAAAATTTGTTGATACGAAAAGTTAAATTTAACGTTTTATGCGTGCGGCCAACGCGCAGTGGAAATATGCTTAATATCTGTGTCAAAAGGTCTAAATTTATCCTCTACGATCTAAATGTCTAGATACTTAACGAAATGTTCCAGAAATATTCTATAAACAGATTCAAATCTACAAAATCTACGAACACTCTGTATATACAACTAAATTTACTCCAAATTATCATGCAGGGAGGAATTCTTTAACAAGTTCTTCTTTGATACCATTAACAAAAAGTCCGCTGGTACATTATCGAAAACTTTCTTCAAAATATCCAACATGATATCCTCGATGGTTTTCGCTAAAATAGGGTTAAGTGAATCGGCAACCAGTCGCCAATTTTCATTTAAATAAGCATTTGTTGTTTCTTCCAACGCTTTGATTCCATCGAATAAATTACCAAGATGCAGACGTAATCCGCCGATTTGGAATTTTACTGTAATGCCCTGTACGCTGAAGAAATGAAATTCTCCGCGTTTGATCATTTTCACTTTTGATTTCGCGCTTATTTCGAGGTTACGTGCGTCGAACCAACACTGACCAATACCACGCAGTGGAATAACCAAAATACGACCGAGGAGGACATAGCGGCCATCGATGCGCAGGCGCGGTAGGCGTAAATCCGTATGGAAGTCGTATGTGACTGGATCAACACGGTTTTCGACGATTTTCGTGTGTGCAAAGCCTACTACGGTTACGTTTGATAGTGATGCGTTGACGTTGACTGGTCCTGCGCCTTGGAGGATCTGAAAATGTTTGAATAATTGATTAATTAGTGCTGGGTGAGGTAAAATGCAAAAAAAATTGCAAAACTAATGGCATTAAAGTGGTAATAACGCAATCACCGGGCGTGCGTGTGAATATACACGCATATAATTGCGAAAATTGCAACATAATGGTGCTGTCTGCGGTGTTGTGGTGTTGCTGCACCTCGCGGATTTTATTTGCGCAAGAGATAATCTTTACAAGTGGCGATGGCGTGTGGCAATCGTACGTCAAGAAACGCCGCAATTTTAAGGTTTTAACAGCGCGTAGAGGCGAGAGATTCGAGTTTCGACATGATTTGCATTCTTTTCTACTTGTATAAGCATATAGTACAGACTGCAAAGCAAGATAATACATTTTTTAACATAAAATAACAAAAAACGGATTTACATACGCAGATGTCATTTTATCTGCATACAAAGTTGCCTATGTTAATATTTTGCATATATTTCTACTAAAAACACTATTTTTCTTTATTTTATGTTAAAATTAATATAGTAATATCTTATTTTAGTGTCTGGACTATATATTTTATACTTTGACGCGCCTAAACAAGCTCTATGAGATAAATATCGATTGGAACGAAATCGAAATTACATAACCTAGTTAAAACCACCGAAAAAATGCTAAATTTCAAATCGTTTCGTTTTCTATTTTAGAGCGGAACGATTGCGTGTGAATATATTTAGTGTGAAACCGGTAACGGACATTTTTATCGAGTTTATTAAAAAGTCACAACTCACTTTGATCCTCTTGACGCGCAGCGGATCCAGCGGCTCCAAGCCGATTTCCGGAACGCCTCGCGGCAATTCATTGAATAATAACTGGACGGCATGTGTCGAACAGTTGATGAAGTTCGGCTCGTTGATGTTGCACGTCTTCACGTAATCAGCTACAGATAATAATCGATTAAATTATGCTAAACATTTATAGGTATTTAATGTTAGGCAACTTGTTTTACACCAAGAATAACCAAGGGATAAGTATTAAAGAACTAGATTTTTGTTTTAAGAAAAACTTTCCATTTTGATCTAAAAATTATTGACAAGTGATTGATTAAGTATAAATTTGAATGTTAGTAGGTTATTTATTGTGAAATAAAATATCTTGCATCATTAAAATTACTTAATATTAATATTTAAAGATTAAACAGATTTTACTTACGTTGTTCTGTTAAATATGCACTGACTGTTTGAGAAAGTGCACAAAGGGCTATCACAACACAGGTTATACTAGGCAACCTTATATGCACACGCAAACTACCCTCCATTTTAATTTTATTTCACTATAACCTAACTTTAACTAAAATTTATATCAAATAATCTGTTTTTGAGAATTTTTGCACGTTGATAGTGAAAATTTAAAAATGTACTGATACCGTGCGTGCGTCGCAACGGTCTGCGGCTTAATCTGAGTAAGAAGTCTTCTAATCACTTTCACTCTCGCGCGGATCGCAAGAAAACGCGCTCTACCCATGCCGCGCCGAGATGTCGATGTCGTCGTCGACATGTGTGGCAATTAATCCGGCCACTTGCGGGGTTCTTGCATTCGATACATATAAAAAATAATCGCACGAACAAAGCAACTTGTGTTTAAAGCGCAAGCGCAACGCAACGGTTTTCTAAAAGCCAAGTTTAGACGAAATACGAGTTTATACAAAAATGCGTAATGTTGATATCTCTTAGGTTATGCAATGCAATCAGCTGGACGAAATGAAACAAGACGATAAATAATATGCAAATATACAGAGTGTTCAGAATAAAATTTCATCAAAAAACTTAAAAATTAAACAAAAAATTGTTAAAATAATAAAATTTAATAAAATTAAAATAATTTATTCCATTACATCATATTTTGTAAACAAATGTGTCATTTTTCTTTACTTTGTGTTTGCATTTACTTAATTCAACTTATTTTTATGTTTTTCGCTTTTTTTATGTTGCACTGTTGCACACAAAATTGTACAACATGTAAAGTAAACGTAATAAAAGTCCGCTCGTCGAAATTTACGTAAAACTCGAATATGCCTCAATACTTACATGCGGCTGCAAAGAGGTGAGGTTAGGTTAGCATAAATACATAAATAAGTGCGGTGCGTTTATTTATAGTGTTGCTTTCATCCGTTTTGAAGCGTTTTGAGCGTTTTGAAGCCGCTTGATCTTAAATTTTCCATTTTAAAGAGATTTCAGCATTTGTTGTGATAGTTTACGATGGTTTTATTATTTTAAGACGATAGGCAACCAAATCATCATATATAAAAAATAACATGAAACTAATTTATATCAATTATATACTCGTCGAAAAAACACAAAGCAATGAAAAATGTACGTCGCATGCCAAATTAAACGCGTGTAGAAACTAATTGTGACTTCACGCGTAGTTACTCTTCAATCTGTTTCAATTTAAAAGCAAACGTTTGAAATTTTTGCGTGGATTTTGTAATTTTGGCAATTTCTATGCGTTTCCATCGATAGATTAAATAGTAACAAATCGTAAAACATTGATTTATAGCATCTACGAATACATTGAGTAATTTTACGAATTTGCGCTTGTGTTTCCCTGCAAGAAATTTATCGCTACATGCTGGAAATTAGCTTCACACCTTGCCAGATGCATTAAATACACAATATAAAACGTAATAAAACCAAACGAAACTCAAATGTTGATTTGTGCTATATTATTCCAAGAAATCTGTGCAAAAATTTGTATTTATCTTGTAAAATCGTGAATCCAAGCGCTTTTTCGTTTGTCTGGCAGTTAAATGGATTTTCTCGATCGATATAAATAGATTTTCGCGCTCGCAGCGATGGCAATGTTTATCGGCGTGCATATTAAACACATAACCGATCGACAACGCCAGCCAAAAGTTTTGCATGACCTTGCTTTACTTTACAAACTCAAAAATTACAAATCAATTCGTTTTAATCGATTATTAAGCTTAATACGTATGCAACTTAATACACACACATCAAAACAAACCTAATATAAGAATATTAAGTTAATATTATAATAAAAAACATACACAATTGACTAACACATAGAAAAATATTTATTTCGTAATAGTTTATAAATAAAACGCACACACGAGTGACACCAAGGCACGATCATCGTCGAATATACTCAGCGCATTCAAAAATACTGACCACATGTGAGGAGAACAATTTCAACGCAAATTTTTTCGAGTTTTGGATCTGAACTATCTGCAAACGGTGCTCGAATGAGCGCAAAAGCGTTGTGTAAGCTTCGCAACAGTTTGCGAATAATAATAAAAACATAATCATAAAAAAAACAAAATGGCGGATATTACATATGCCTAGTGTTACCGAATCCGCCTTGACCAGATTGCGACGCGCCTTTATTGTAGCCCATTTGTAGATTGAGCTCACCCTCATGCGCGCGCAGCTGCTCCTCAGTGAACGTACGCTCGTTTTTCTCCGCCATCTTGGGACCTAGGGTCGGGCCTTGCCATTCTGGGTGTTTTTGTGTCATACGACCAAGTGCATATAGTGATAATACAACCTAAATATAATTTTTTTTTTATTTTGATTGATATAAAATTAATTTTTTGGTAATATTTTACCTGTGGGATGTTTCTACGTTCGAATAAATCAGCTGTTTGGAAGATTTCCTCCTGTGGGACGCCATATTTCTTCATTCCATCCTGGAAACGTTGGATGTTTTCCATCAGTTGGAAATTGGTGCCTTTTGCTTGGATTTTTTTAATACATCCGGGTGTTAACTTGTTCATTAGGTTGCATAGCACAACACCATCCTTGAGGACATCTTCAATTGCTCCACTAGGGACAGATTCTCCTAAACACTTGAAGATCCATTCCATGACCTCGGCTTCTAATTCTTTATTGCGTTTCTAATAATAAATGTATTAATTTTTATTGTTTTGGAGTAGTAAAATGTAAAAGTGTACTTACAGCCATTTTGTGACGGTGTAATGCGGTGTTATGAAAATTAGTAAACTTGGCGGTTTGCGGGCGAGCGTCGCGACGTGACTGAAACGACGCCGAGCGCAAGCGATGCCATTTATTTGGGCAGCTGCTGCCGCCGCCGGAGAGAGTGCGAGGGCGTTACGACGCCGTCGAGGAACAGATGCAGCAATTTTACATCTTTATATCCGATTCGACCAAAACTATAATTTTATGACGTGTTTTTTTCACATGTGGTGCGTTTTTTTACTCAAAGCAAGTGTTTCAAGTGTAAAAAACTAAAATTTTAATAAAAGAAGAAAAATTTGGTTAGACAACAGTAAATTGTTAATTTGTTGTATTGTGGGTTGCATATATGATATATTTAGACGTGTTTCAAGTGTTAAAACTTAAATTTTGTTGAAATTATGACATATAATGAAAAATATGGTTAGAAAACAGTAAATTGTCAGTTTATTGTACTGTGGGTTGCATATATGATATATTTAGACGTCTTTCAAGCGTTAAACACTTTAATTTTCTAAAAATTTGATTGAAAAACAGTAAATTATGATTTTCTTGTATTGTTGGTTGCATACACTAAGATATTTTTAGATAATCCGATTGAAAATGCTAAAAAGAACGAATTTATTATGTTGCCAAGTTGATAACATCTACATCCGGTCATTCCTTACGCCTCACACTAAAACACTCAACTAAAAAGATAAAAATTAGTTCAAAACGCGAGAATTTATTGCAAGACATTTATATCCCCAGCAGCTGTAAAGCAGGATACATTTATAGATCATCATAAAATTTCCTTCATTCAAATTTCATTCAAAAGTGCGAAAGTATGTTAATGTTAATGTTATCAGTCGCTACTACTCCACGTGTAGGTATATCAATTAAGAGCACAAAATATATGCTCGCTGGCTGTCAAAACAAAAACTGATCTAATTTTACGCCGATTAAAATACGTACAACTGAAGTGTGCGGTACACACAATATGTATTTTTATCATATTGCCTTTGGCGATATTTTTTCGCCTCTGCGACGTGCGTGGATGTGGTTTTTCGAGGCGGATTGACACGTGTGAATTACGAATTTGGCACCCTGCCTACGAACACATTCACGCGAGTAAAGTGTGCAGCGCTGGATGAAAAACATTAACATTAACGCATTAATGCGTAAAACGTTGAATTCTACGATTTAATGAGGCAGATGTTTGAATAATGTATTAGTACTGTCACTAAGTTGTATTAATGTCTACTTATAAAAGTGACAATACTTATATTGTCGTAATGCATTGCATGATAAACAATTTTCTGGTTTTCATTCAGGTTGCTGGTAAACGCGACCCAGAACAAGAACGTGAAGCACAAGAATGGGTCGAGCAGGTAACAGGCATGCGGTTTCCACCAGGAGTGCCCTATGAAGAGGTCCTGCGTGATGGTATTCTTTTGTGCAACTTGATGAATCGCCTCCAGCCTGGAATCATTCAGAAAATTAATACTTCCGGTGGAGATTATAAAATGATGGACAATTTGAGCCAGTAAGTTTTTTTTATTTTAATATTTTAACTTTATTAACCGCGCCGCCATTACACGCGCGACGCGAATCAAGTGTGCGGCGCTGCCTGCTCTAAATAAATCATCCGAAGCTGATTGTGCCTACCAGGAGCATAGAACCGCGAGGAGCAACCGGCTGTTTCTACTCCACATCGAGGTTTCTAGATATTTCCGTTTCACTCAACGTGAGTGTTGTTTCTCTCGCGCTTGTAATACAAACGCGTGTTGTTTCTGGTCCAGATTATGCTAGTGATAGACACATCGCTCGGATGCTGCGAAATTCTAACGGCGCGTTGCTTGGAACCGCGCCTGCAATTCGAATTCCCCCGAGAGGATCGTTAGCAGAACAAAGGAACAAGGATCATCAACTAGTGCAAACGGTAAATCGTTGATCAGGCGAACAGAAACGCGTCTAAGCAGCGCGCGTTCTCCTTTAGTCCGCACGGTCCCCACCTCAGCAACGCAACAAGTCGTATAGAATTCAATTTTGAGTTAGGCAACCAAATATACACATTTCGTTTAAGTTATATACCAATGTACAAATATTGTTTTTGTTTAGATTTCAGAAAGCTTGCGTAAAATATGGCGTCCCTGACGTTGATCTCTTCCAAACCACGGACCTTTGGGACATGAAAAACATTGCGTTAGTCACGACAACAATTTTCGCCATTGGTCGCACTGCATATAAACATCCAGAATGGCGCGGACCTCATCTTGGTCCCCGTCCTTCAGAAGAACACAAACGTGATTTCACTGAAGAACAATTACGCGCTGGTGAGGCTATCATAGGTCTGCAAGCCGGCACAAATAAACTCGCAACCCAATCTGGGCAAAACTTCGGCGCATCGAGGAAAATCATCTTCGGAAAGTAAAAACTTACTTTCACATAAAAAATTTAATTTCATGCAATATAAGCATTTGAATCTTTATCGTAATGGTACTAACGCCACAGAAACGCAAAGACTAAACACTTCTAACCTAAATTCTAGCAATTATAGTAAAATTTAATATTTATGTATCTTAATATTTAAAAAGAAAATACAAGTATGATTATTTCTTGCGTCCACCACGTTCCTTAACCTGGAGTTGGATCACTGCACCAGACACTACATTGTAGTAAGCCAGAGTGTTTTGATCTTTAAAGAACATCCCCTATTTCAACATAAAAAAACATTAAATACAAAAATAATCAAAATTTTTAAATTGTAACAAACCTCATAAAGCAACTTCTGTTTAGCCGGCGGCATATTACACTCCTCTTGAATCTTCGCTTTCAAAACAGACACAGCATCACCCAATGGTAAGGTAACAGCCAATGTTTGTCCAGCTAGCTTCCATTCGGATTTTTCCGGAGCCATTGGAATGTTAACTTTAACTGAAAGAGAAGCTGGATTTTTCGCTAAGAATAATTCTTCAGGAATGAGCGAATCTTCATTGCGAGCCTTCTTGGAGGCTGGCTCATCTTCAAGAGGGGTTTCACTCGGGTGTTTCATGGGCATACTCATTGGTGGACCCATTTGCGGGGGTAGAGGAGTTACAAAACCTGCCATAGGTGGCGGACCAGCCACTAATAATAAAAATTATATTATTTTATGTACAAAAATTAAAAATTTTATGATTTAACTCACTCATAAGTGGCGGTGGCCTCATTTGTGCAATGGGTGGCGCTGGCATCATCATAATCGACTGGGTTGGCATTAAAGTAGGCGCAGCTTGCACCGGCATGGGCATTGGTGGCGGTTGTTGTACTTGCGGAGGTTTAACCGGCTGTAAAAACATCTTTTTATCTTTTTTTACATCAAAATAATTAATAAAAAACTTACAATTGGATTTGGATTAGCTTGAGGCTTAGCACTAATCACAGCACCACCCATTTTCCTCCCCACATTCTTCGGTCCAATCTTCTCCTTCTCTTCATCTGGCAATAAACCTTTCACCTTGTGAATCTGATGAATTTGATCCTCCAGCGTAATATTCGCTCGTGCTGCTCTTGTAGCCGCCTCCACACTTGACGTATGCCCATCCCAGGTGACTTTCTCATCTTTCCTAGTCTCCTCCTCGCCGATTTTCTTACCAATCGCTGTTTCTTCATCGCCAACACCGAAGATATCCGTACGACGTTCCGCCAACAACTTCAAACTGGCATCAATGGCCGACCCAGCCGCATAGACTGTATCCTGATTAATTTTATCAACAATATGCTTATCGCGCTGTTCAACCCATCGTGGATCAAGCAACCCAATACGCATGTGTTCCTGTACTTTGGAAGCCGGGATGCGTTCACCGTTAATCGGTGAAATGAGATAATCATCGCCCACAGTCGGTCGGGAGACTTTAACCGCTTGTTTAGGATCGTATTTCTTTACTACAACCTTGTCTAATGCAGGTGGTAGCACTGGTTGTATAGTCGGAGGACGTTCATCTTCATCACCGGAGCTTTCTTCATCCATATCCTGCAAGCGATTGTCATCTTTGTCTGATTTACGTGCAGTGCGGTCTTCCATGTGACTTAATCCTTGTTCGTTATCATCTTCGTCGCTTTCCAGTTGCATTTCAATGTCTTCGCCTTCTTCTAAACGTTCTTGGATTAAAATACGCGCACCAACTTCTTCTGGTGTTGTTGGTGGAGGGAAGTTTCCCATTTCAAATGGTTGATAGTCGACTGTTTCAACCACGACGAAGTCATGCCAGTCGATTTGTGCGTATGCGACACGTTCGCGTTCGAGGATTTCTTCCTCCCTGGCGCGTTGTTGTTCTTGATATCGCTGCCATTCAGCGCGGTATTTTATAATATCAAGTACAGATTGTCCGCTGGCGGCTTCCTCGCGTAATTTGGGTTGCAAACTTTTAGGCGGAATGAGTACCTTTGTATATTGTTCGAGTAATTTTGTGAAATATTGAAATAAAGAGTGTTGCGGGCGGAGAAAATCGAATTGGAAGTTGCGTTGTTCACGATTCATCAATTGAGTGAGGAACTGCCGGCCATTACGTGCCACAAACTGCGCTGTTAGTTTTACTATGTCCCTAATATAAAAATAAGCGTTTTTAATTAATTTTTATGAATAAAAAAGGAAAAACTTACAAATCAAGAGCGGAAATCGATGGTGGATCAGCAATAAACTCGAATTCGGTTGGTGGATCCTTTGGAATGAATGGTTGCTCAACAGATTTCAAAATTTCCTGTTGTTTTTGTTGTGAGTTCAATGCAAGTTTAGCAATTGATGCAGAGATTGATGATGAAGGTTCAATAGCTTTAAAAAATATTCTTAATTTAATATTTAAACAAAAACTTAAGTAAAACATGATATTTTATGTGTTATTCAGAAAATAATCGCTTGCTCTATGTTTATAGTCATGGTACTCAAAGCTTTTTGACAGCTGAATACTAAGATTAGGCTAAATTTCATCACAAAAAACAAACTATCATAAAATATTAATAAATTATGACTTCTTACCTTTCCCTTCACGAAACTCTGTGACTTTATGCTCATAATAAGCATGATATGGGTCTCCAATGCTGAGAAAGTTGAACTTGGGATTGCCAAGTTCATTTTGCCGAATGCGCGCCTCGAATTCAGGCCCATTTCGCGCAACAAAACTGGCAGTCTTGTCAACAATGTCTTAACAAACATTAAGAAAGTATATACACTCATCTTTTGTATGCCCTGTCGATTCTGTTCAATAAAAAATTGCTTCGAATGTTTATTTTATGTTGTAAAAGGATACTGCGCACCTCTGGAGGTGGATAGATTATACCCACCACGGGATTTATATGCCCTGGATCGCTCGGGTTTTCATTGTTGCTGTTCACTTGATGCTCAATAGGATTGAGCACGTCCAATGCCGGCATTTTTTTACGAAAATGCACACAATTTGCAGTTGTAAAATGTTAAAATCGTACACAAACGTAGTAACACAACCTTAAAATTGTTCGGCTTGCGCTTGTTGTGAATGTTGCGCACGCACAAACTTTACACGACCGTAAATACCCGAAGTTGTAAATAATTTAAAACTATAACTTATTTTATCACCAAATTACCTTTAAACATTTAAATTAGTATTTATTTAGTTTAAAATAATAACACAAAGTAGTTTTTAATATGAAAACATTGCTAAATATTGATTTATACCTGATTTAATAGGTGCCGATCATGCTCGAAGTACCCGGACGGTTTATACAATCCGAAAGGTTAGAGTTAGGTCGTGATTCTTCACTATCAGCCATCTTGCCTCATTGATCGTGAGCGGCCTGCGACTGAACACTACTTGTAAAGAAAATCGTTCACTGGGGTGTGTACACTATGTTAAAATGTTGTTTTGTTGCTTATTTTGTAAGATACTTTTCTAAAAAGTTCTAAAATACGAATTCGCTTATTTTTAATGCGCAATAATAGCAGTACACTAGTTGTTAATGCAAGTTATCTCCGTCAGATGGCGCTGCGTGTTTGAAATTTGGCAGAATATAATACTCAGACCGAATTACTTCTTAAACTTCAAACAATTCACAATAAACAATACTCAAAATGCCTACATTTTGTATTGTTAAAGGTATATTATTATCATGCCTCCACGTTCACCTTCCGAAATCGTCCCGGATGCTGAACTTCTCACCGAAGATGAAATCAGGAAAGAAAATGTTAAAGCAATAATGGATATCATGTTCCCAACTGCGTTGGATTATGTAAAATGGCTGGCGCGTCGTGGATTGATCGCAAATAAACTTTTGTGCATTCAATGCAACATATACTGCAGTTTTACAATATCTAGAGATAGCCGCGACGGACATATTTTCAGATGTAGACTATGTTCAAAACGCAAAAGTTTGCGTCATAATTCATTCTTTTCGAAGAGTAATCTAGATTTAAAACAATTGGTTGTTATTATGTTATGTTGGGCAAATGGCCGCCTACAAAAGGACACAGCAGTGGAAGCACGAACTTCCGGACACACTATGATAGACTGGGCTAATTATTGTCGTGAAGTATGTGCTAAAGACCTCATAAAACATCCGCCATTGCTGGGTGGTTATGATGAAGAAGCAGAATCACCACGAATTGTTGAAATTGAACTTTCTGAGGATTTAATGCGAGGAAAACGTCAACGTGGGAAGATACGCGACACTAGATGGGTTTTAGGAGGTGTTGAACGAAAAACTGGCAGAGCTTTCATTGTAGAAGTTAAAGAAATGCATCGAAAGAGTATTATTTCAATAATTCAAGAGTAAGTTAATAATTTTATTAAAAATTTGTTTTATTTTAACACAATTTCATCGTTTTAGAAATATTTTACCGGAAACTATAATCATAACAAATGATTCAGACGTTTTCAAAGATCTCGATAAAGTTTCCAATGGAATTTATCAACATTATACTCTGGATGGACAAGAATTAGTCGATGAAACTGACAGTGATATACATTTAAACTCAATTAGGAGTTTATGGTTGCGTACACGAGCAAAAATTCGTGAACAATGTGGAACTGTCGAAGGAATGTTTGCTTCTTATTTAAATGAATTTGTATGGAGAGAACAGCATAGAAATGGCGATTCTGACTTGTTTTCTGAGTTTATACTTTGTGTTAGACGACAATATCCTGTTTAAGTTATTGGAGCACAAGAATGAGGAATTGTTTTGTTAGATTTTTATCAGATTTATAATCGAATATAAACTTGTTTTGATTTATGTCTTAGGAATTGTGTTAGTAATCCTATCATTGTGCATACATAACCTGTTTAAATGTGATTGCTTTGGGAGATTTACGACTTGCGATTTTACGACTGCAATTGAATGAAAGCAGTCTTGTTTTCTTCATGCGCACAAAGTGGTTGAAATGAAGAAAATAACGGGAAATTGGCAATATTCTGGAACCCGGAACATAGTATTGGATAGTATTCAATGCGTAGAATAGCAATAATTACATTTTTGTTTTGTTTATGCAACCAATTAAGCACTGACACACTTTAAACCTATTTTAATTGATAAATGGAATTGAAATAGCGTTTATTACGTTTGTAAATAACAAAACACTTGAACTTCAAGCTGTGCATAATTACTTTCAAGTCGTTAAAGGTTTTAAGAAGACTTCTGCCGTACAAATTTAATTCAGCGTGGTAAATGTGAAGAATACCTTTGCAAATCAACATAAACTTTAAGGTTATGAAAGGTTAAGTACTAAAAAACTTTTCGTACTTCAATTTTACAGTTAAATAACAACAATTAGAATTTTTTTTTATTAAAAAGGTCAACATTTTTATACAATCAACAAGAAACCGAAAACAATACTAATAAATTATCAATAGTAAAGCGTAAAATCAACAAACGCTTTCAATTAATTTATTGTTCAATCATTTAACACTCTTTTATTACTCCATTCAGATGTCTTTGAGAATGAAAAAAATCTCTAGTTTATTGAAAATATATACTGTCTGAGCGCTTTGAATGATTACTATATTTGTCAAAACGGCGTCGACGCGTGCGTGGAAAGTAGCTTAGAAAATGAAACACGCTATTAAACCAAAGTGCAAACTGCAATCGAGAGAAACCGGCGCGAGCGGCGCAGAAATCGAAAAGGAAATTGTGCAAAACGAGGAAAACGTTATACGTGCAGGATTGGTACGCGGTGCTAATTATTGCTCTTTTGACACGGGAGCAATGAGTTATGATTTTAATACGAGATGCAAAACAAGCAGAAGGAATAATGCTGTCATAAAGGAGGTTGATGGTGAGTGAAAGATTAAACAAGCGTGAATCGATCAGAACCTAACCTAAAATTAAAATAGTTTCAAAGCTATTCACCTTTGGTTTTTATCAAGAAAAATTACTTAAATGAAAGCGAAAGTGACAGAAATGTTAATTTTAGGTTATTTTTGTTTAAAAAATAAGAAAAAATAAGAAAACAAGCAAAAATTGGTTGTTTTTGGTCAAATAACGTCAAAAAACTTTTTTATAACCTAAAAATAATAAGCAATGCTTTTATATTTGGTTATTTTATAATATTATAATCTTTTAAGACTATTTATATGACTAAAACACTCTGTATATCAATTTTTAAATACTTTCTGTGAAAACTATGTCATATTTTACGATGAAACCTTAATAATTTAATTTTTCCACTTATGGCTTGACATTTCCAGACCAATTACGTTGTTTTTCATTCCGAGCCGATAAACAATTAACCGCGTTCGCCGTGCAGCCATGTTTAATTTTAATTGATATCCACTGCGTGTCTACGACTCTATCTTAATCTCAAACTGGTATCATTTATCAGAAATGTAATAATCAGAGGAACTAAGTGATTTGCAAATGAAACTCATGCTCGTATGCAGATTATGTTTATATCGCGCGGCGCTTGTAAACTTTTAAGCATTTAAAAGCAACTAAACGCTTTCAGATTTTATTAAAGACAAGCCCGTCAATGGCGTCAATGCCAATGTCAGCTGCGGCGAGGAAAGCGAGAAAATATGCGAGCTGCGGGTGACGGAAGCGAACAGATTGGATGTGGATGCAATCAAATCAAACGAAAGCAAAAGAGGAAAGCAATGGGATATTGTATGGACGCGTGTGCTGGTTATCGGGTTTTTTCATCTCGCAGGATTGTATGGTGCAACGTTGCGGTATGATGCAAAATGGCAGAGTCAAATATTCGGTGAGGAAAGTTTATTTTTGTGTTGGTAGGGGGCGCTGAGGGTGTATGATGTATGAGGTGTAGTGTAGTAGGCAACATTTTATACAAAACATTGTCAGTAATATTACGGTTTGGTACAGGGTTATGTAAATAACACGTTATTTAGTGCGATATATTGATTTGTCTATGAGTAGAGGGCGCTGCAGTTGTATAACAGTCGTAGGCAACTTTATATGCAAAAATATCAGTGAAATGTCAAAATAACTTATAAACATTAATAATTTTGAAAAAAACACATTTTATAAATAAGGTTATGTTGTTTGACATCAACTAAGAATCCATAATTATTAATATCACATATATTTTCATTTCCAGGTCGTATAATCGCCGTTTTATCAAGTTATTCAGTAACAGCTGGCGCCCATCGCCTCTGGAGTCACAGATCATACAAAGCCAATTACGCCTATCAAATAATGCTGATGTTATTAATGAGTTTCATCTATCAGAATAGTATTTACGTATGGGTACGTGATCATCGCGTGCATCATCAATTTTCCGAAACAGATGCCGATCCACACAATGCGAAAAGAGGTTAAAAACGCATAAAAAACACTAAAACAAACATAAAATTTAATTAATTTTAATTTAATTAAACTTTAAGGCTTTTTCTTCAGCCATGTCGGATGGCTAATGCTAAAAAAACATCCGGATGTGCGACGCAAAGGCGGCTCAGTGGACATGACCGACTTAGAGGCGAATCCGATCGTCATGTTTCAACATCGGTAAGATGAAAATGCATTTAAATCAAAAAGTATCAAATGTAAATTAATGATAACGCAATGAAATGCATCCGATTGAATTACCAATGCATTGGCATAGCGACAAACGAAAGCAAAACAAGCATTATGATAAATGACAATAAGACAAGCATGAAATATGTTTAAGCAATCCGCAATGAGCAATAACTAACGAAGCTTTTGCTTTGCTTTCTTCATCTGCAGCCTCTTAAAGTAAAATAGTTGTTACTTTTACTTTAACCTATAAACTAATCATAAACGACAACAACATGATTAAACAGTTGATTTATGTTTTCTTCTTGCAGACATTATCATAAATTGATATTCCTCAACTGTTTCTGTATTATGATGTTTGTTCCTTGGTATTTTTGGAATGAGAGCATCAAAGTTGCATTTTTTTATATGACAGCTTATCGATTGTTGATTATTTTGAATTTTACATGGGGAATTAATAGTTTGGCACATATGTATGGGTATAAACCGTATGATAAGTAAGTTTTTCATAAATCTAACCTCACATAACATAATATAACCTAACTTAACCTAATTTAACCTTTTATATCCTAAAAACTTAACCTAACCTCTCAAAACCTTTCATAACTTAATTTAACTTAACATAACCTTAAAAAAACCTTACATAACCTCTTAAAACCTAACATAACCCAACTTAATCTAACAAAATTAACCTATCTACACATAATTTTACATAACTTAACCTTTTACAACTCAACATAACCTCACCTAACTTCTAATAACCTAAAAACCTAACCTAATAACTTAACTTTTCACAACATAACCTCTCTTAACCTCTCATAATCTCAGGTAACTTAACCAAATCTAATGTCTCTTTAATTTATATAGCAGTATTGGCCCGGTTGAAAATTCCCTAATGTCTTACTTGACGTTCGGTGAAGGCTTCCACAATTACCATCACACATTTCCGTACGATTACAAAGCCGGCGAATACTCAACGGACGGCAGGAATACCACAACCAAATTCATCGACCTCTTTGCGTCGATCGGATGGGTGTGGGACCGTAAAACAGCCGGAGATAAAATTATCGCCGAAAGGAAACGCCGTGGAGACGGATACGATAATCACGAGCGTGGTGCGTCCAAACGCTTTATGGATATTGCACGTGTATTATTCATGTGCGCATTTTACGGTTACATTATTTAGGATTAGTATTAGTATTAGGATAATACAGTTATAGTCATAAATTTATATTTAAGTTAGTAAAATTTGTGCGATTGATGCGATATGACGTCTTTAAAAAAAATCAAAATGGCGGAATAACAAATCTATTATTATTACATTATGTTACGTGTGATTACAATGATTGATGATGAATTGAATAACGGAAGTAGGAATCAAGGAAATAAGCTGGCTGAGTTTATTAAACCCTTTGTTGTTAAAAACCACGCGTGACCCGAAATCTAAAGTTCTAGAAAGCTTCCGATCAACTTCGTAATGAATGTGTTCGAATTTCGTCGTCGCTGCGACGTGATGAGTGCACATAATGAGTTTGCGATTCTTTTGTATCCGCCAGTTGAGTGCGTGAATTGCATTTGTATTGTCAAGATTTAATCACGCCGGCATCACGCCATCTTGACACGATATGTCTATTAACCTAATTTATGCACTCGCAGATTATGATTTTTAGGTTAAAACACAAAAAATTCACTGCGTTTCTTTCTATTAACATAATTTCATCATAAATAAATAGAAATGCATTACGAATGTCACAGTGATTGTGATTTATTGCATTTGCGAGTCTTGAGTGTGCAAAATTTTAGGTTATGAACATTACTATGTGATAACACACTTATAACGTACTTTTAACACACTTAAACACATAAAATATTAATATTTTATTAATATGAAACCTTTAGACTCCCGCTTAATTATATAACCAGAATGTCATGAATGCTTAATGTCTGTAATCGGTTAAACACGTGATGGTCAATTATTACCTGTTAATGATAACCACAATCATTAAAAACACATTAATCTATACCCTATTAATTTATCAGAATCTACTTTCACCTAAATTCCATGAATTTCTTTATTTTTACGATGATGTTAAACTAACCTCAAAATATAACCTTAAAAAATGATTTATATGAAGTGCACTGACCCAATTAGCATTACAAGTTAATATTTATGACAATACCTTTCACAAAAATACGATATGCAAATCCGATTATGAATTGCATTGCATTTCCTGAAGCGCATCCACGGGAAATTAATTACCAATGCATGTGGAGCACGCCGAAGCGATAAAAAACCAATCGAAGCATTAATTGCTCTCTGAGTATTCGCGTCTTCCGCACAGAGTGTTTAATCATGTCTTCCTCGAGTCTTTTTAGTGTAACAACAACAAAAACATCAAAAACAATCAAAAAAGACGCAGAAAACTCAAAAAAACATAACAAATCAGAATATAAATGGGAAATTGTTTGGTTAAATGTAATTTTATTACTTTTATTACACCTTGGAGCATTGTACGGCTTTTATCTAAAGTTAACATCACCAGATCATGGTTATCTCAGCAGTGCAGCGTGTAAATTCTTCGCTGTAGCTGCAAGTATCGGAATAACAGCCGGAGCGCATAGATTATGGACTCACAGATCATATAAAGCATCATTTTCTGTGCAAATCATATTGATGATCATGGCTACTTTAACATATCAAAACAGTGTTTATATTTGGGCAAGAGATCATCGTTTACATCATAAATATGCTGAAACAGACGCTGATCCTCATAATGCAAAGCGAGGTTTCTTTTTCAGCCATATTGGATGGTTAATGGTTAGAAAACACGAAGAAGTAAAACGTAAAGGTCTCACTCTCGACATGAGTGACTTGGAAGACAATCCGATTGTGATGTTCCAACATCGCCATTACGGCAAATTAGTGCTGCTAATTGCTGTCATAATGCCCATCGGCATCGAACGGCTGCTGATTGGTGCGCCGTGGCGGGAGACCATTTTTATCTATACCATCTATCGGTATGTTGTTTCGGTGAACACCACTTGGTGTGTCAACAGTTTGGCGCACTTGTACGGGCATAAACCTTATAATACGTAAGTTAGCATAAAAATAAAAAAAAAATTATAAATTTTCTTTTAAACCACGATTTTTAGTAAAATAGGACCAACTGAGAACCCACTGATGAAAATAATTGGTATGGGTGAAGGCTTTCACAATTACCATCACACATATCCATGGGACTACAAAGCCTCTGAGTTTATCAACGATTATCGCAATCCCACGACGATTTTAATCGACTTTTTAGCGAAGTTAGGTTATGTTTGGGACCGCAAAACAGTTTCACAAGATATAATCAATAAAAAAATCATCAAATCGGGTGACTTTTCATCGCGGGATGATCATATGCTACGTGACAATCTCACAAAGACAATTTGGAATCTGATTTACATGATTTTGTTGTGTTCGTATGTAGTTTTAGCTTAGAATCAACTGTAGAATTACTACAATCAATGTCATTGGTCAGTCGGTCACTAAAACAGTAATTTTGATTGAAATCATGAATAGTTTCGGAGTGTAATGACCTTTTCACAGCAAACAAAGGACGAGAATTTGCATTATTAAATGCTGAGTGATTTTTACTTATCTAAGACTATCTATAAATATCAAGCGCGGAAAAAATCGAGTGCCTAGTTGTTCACGAACGTTTTATTAGATTAATAGTGGTGCGAGCGCGACGCGTAAGATGAAAATCGAAGCGATTGATTCAGCGACGCTCGCCAGTTGCATTCAATCGCAACAGATTAAAATGGACGAGTTTACGAGGCGTAAGGGAGAACTGCACAATGAGAACTTTGCGAGCATTCAGCAGATTAAGAATCTTACGAATGGTGCAGCGGATGTGCGCAAGCGTAAACTGTCAACGCCACAAAATGGCGGAGATGATTCACTGGTTGCCGCTGCAGAGTTAAACACAGATAATACTGATAATACTGACATAGAAGTAAAACAAATTGAAGATGATAATGAGAATAAAGTTTATAAATGGGATATTGTCTGGACGAATGTCATCCTTCTGGGAACTTTACATGTTTTTGCTCTTTATGGTTTTTATTTGCGTTGTTTATCTGTAAATTTGATGTCACTGCCATCTACAATCAGTAAGTGTTAATATTTTAGGTTATAAAATGATTTTAAAAGTTTTTTTTATTTTTTTTATGTTTTAGCTAAGATATTGGGTATAATTGGGACAATTGGCATCACAGGTGGCGCTCATCGCCTGTGGACTCATAAATCATACAAAGCCAACACTGCACTGCAATGTTTATTAATGTTTATGGCGACGTGCACCTATCAAAACAGTGTTTATATCTGGGCGAGAGATCATCGCTTGCATCATAAATGTTCTGAGACTGATGGTGATCCACACAACGCAAAAAGAGGATTTTTCTTCAGTCATGTCGGATGGTTGATGGTTAGGAAACATCCAGAGGTTATGAAGCAAGGGAAAACAATTGATATGAGTGATTTGGAAGCGAATCCAATCGTTATGTTCCAACATAAGTATGTGATTTGAAAAATGTTTAAATTAATGTGATTTAAATTAATAATTTTATTTTGTGGTTATGTAGATATTACTACCCGTTGGTATTCCTGTGTGCGGTTATGTTACCTTTCACAATCGGAATCTACTACAATCTTCCATGGCAAGAAGCATTTTTCATCTGTGTATGCTACAAATATGTTCTTTCTGTCAATTTGACTTGGTGTATCAATTCATTGGCACATTTATACGGACAACGACCATATGACAAGTAAACATAACCTATTTTTACTACTATTACATAACATAAATTTATATGATTTAAATTTTATAGAAATATTGGTCCAACTGAATCGCAAATCATGAGATATTTGGGTTTCGGTGAAGGTTTCCATAATTATCATCACACATTCCCGTGGGATTACAAAGCAGCTGAGTTTGGATCGGATACACGTAATTTAACCTCGACATTCATTGATTTCTTCGCGTGGTTAGGCTGGGCTACGGATAGACGTGTGGCGACGCAAGAATTGATTGAACAAAGATTTGAACGTACTGGAGGACCAGGACGGGAGTACCACATGATGAAACATAACCCTGATCGGACGTTCCATAATATTGCTTCGTTCTTAGTTGTCTTTTGTTACCTCTACATCATTTAAATGTTAGAAGATTATTTTTATTGTAATGTAATTTAATTTAATGTAATGTAATGTAATTTTAATGATTATTTTTGATTTATAAGCTTATTTTGCAAAAACTTTATATTTTGAGGTTAGTTTTTAGGAAATGTATGCAACCAGGTTATTTCCATGTTTGAGGTTAAGTTTTCTTCATAAATTTAACATTATAAATGTTGTAACAAAAACTAATAGACAAGTATTAGTAATTGTAACCTAAAAAACTAAAAATTAAAGTTTTTGAGGTTATAAAGTAATAAATCAATAAAATTTTAAGAACAAATTAATTAATATTTGGTGTTTATGTGATAATATTTGTTTCCAAAGAATTTATAACAATTTTGACACAATTTTTGTGCAAATTAAGTTATTATTTCGTGGTTTTTTCTTTGTGTATTGATTTTTACATTTTTTAAGTTTATTTTTTTAAAAAGTTCATATTTAGAGGTTAGTTTTTAGGAAATGTATGCAACTAGGTTATTTTCATGTTTGAGGTTAAGTTTTCTACAAAAATTTAACATTATAAATGTTGTATCAAAAACTAATAGACAAGTATTAGTAATTATAACCTAGAAAACACACAAAAAATAAGTTTTTGAGGTTATAAAGTAATAAATCAATAAAATTTTAAGAACAAATTAATAATGTTTTGGTTGAACTGTGATAATATATATTTTCAATAAATTCATAACAATTTTGACACAATTTTAGTGCAAATTAAGTTATTATTTCGTGGTTTTTCCTTTGTGTATTGCTTTTTACATTTCTTAAGTTTATTTTTCAAAAAAAAATTATATTTAGAGGTTAGTTTTCAGGAAATGTATGCAACCAGGTTATTTTCATGTTTGAGGTTATGTTTTCTACATAAATTTAACATTATAAGTGTTTTAACAAAAACTAATAGACAAATATTGGTAATTATAACCCAAAAACCAAAATATTTTGGTTTTTGAGGTTATATAGTAATAAATCAATAAAATTTAAAGAAAAAAAAATAATAACTTATCTATTTTGGTTCATATCACATAATATTTTGATATTAATGATTTATTAACAAATTTAACACAATTTTAGCGAAAAATAAAATTATTCTTTTGTGGTTTTCCAATAGTGAATTGTTGACTTGCTCTAATTCTATGTTTCTTTCGATTTGACGCGTCTAATTGCAATCAGTTGCAATCTCTGCACTTGCTTGTTTTCCTTTCTCCGGCTAGTGACTGAATAACTGACAATCTTCATGATATATATCACGATACAAGCGCAGAAATGTTAATAACCGGCAGTAATTGTTATTTCCGACAAGTTTACAAGCCTAAACCCCAACAATCAACAATCTCCTGTTCATATTCCTCAAAAACATAAACTTTTCAACAATATTTCCACACAGAAGAAAGTTATTTATGATATTTTAACATTTTCCATTACCCATCATGAAAACACTTTATTTTGACAATAATTTACCGGCAAATTTCCCAAAAATAAATAGCTGTGAGATAAATCATCAATAAGATGAAGAATAAGAAGGAGGTAAGTGGGAGTCACCATCCGAGAAAGGACGCAACCGTCGTCTAGGTCACGGTTAAATACCAGGTACACTCGCCGCAAACGGCACTTGTTACAGACTCAGCCAAGCACGCCGGCGGTGCGAAAGTGCAACTTGTAATCATCGCGTGTTACCAACTCGTAACCAGAGTGCCGTCTATTCATCATATAATCACTTAGTGCAGTTACCATCATCAACTTTACATCAAGATGATGTTAAATTACGTCAAGTACGGTCTTTCGGAAGATCCAGACCCTAAATCTCAAATCGGAATAATCAAAAACCCTGTTGAAGAAAAAATAATATTAAAATCACGACAACCGTCAACAATTAATACAAATGTCATCGAAGACACACAGGAAAAGAAGATTTACAAGAAAGAATACGTCTGGTGGAATATTATACTCCTTGGCACGTTGCATATTGCAGCTGTGTATGGTTTATGTTTGAAATTTGATCATTTTGGGGCGAATGTATTCGGTACGTACAACAAAACCACATATATTTACTAGATTTGTGTATAATAAGTTGCCTATATTGCAGGTAAAGTAATAGCACTTTTATCTACGCTGGGAATCACTGGTGGCGCTCATCGTTTGTGGACACATAAATCATACAAAGCAAATTGGACCGTGCAGATTATTCTGATGTTCATGGCGACATTAACCTATCAAAACAGTATTTATATTTGGGCGAGAGATCATCGCATGCATCATAAATACTCGGAAACAGATGCTGATCCACATAATGCAAAAAGAGGTTTCTTTTTCTGTCACATGGGTTGGTTAATGGTCAGAAAACATCCGGATGTGATTGAAAAAGGCAAAACAATCGATATGAGTGATTTGAAAGCAAATCCATTGGTTATGTTTCAACATAAGTAGGTTATAACTTAGGTTAGACACACATAACCTATATTTTTTACTGTTTTTGTTTTGTTTTTGTTTAGATATTATTATCCGTTGGTATTTTTGATCGCTGCGGTGATTCCGTCGTGTTTCGCACATTATATTCTTGGTGCATCGTGGGAAGTCGCCATTTTCCATGTGACCATCTACAGATACATTGTTTCGGTTAATTTGGTGTGGTGTATCAATTCAATGGCGCATTTATACGGAAATAAACCATATGATAAGTAATATTTTTAATTTTTCATAAAAATATTAATATTTATTGTTTTTTGTTATATAATTATTTATTTTTAGAAATATTGGTCCCACTGAATCAGGAATGATGAGAGTTTTTGGTTTTGGTGAAGGATTCCACAATTATCACCACACATACCCTTATGATTACAAAGCAGCGGAGTTTCATAATGATTCGCGTAATCTGACGACGTTTATGATTGATTTCTTCGCGTGGATAGGTTGGGTGACAGACCGGAAGACTGTGTCGAGAGAGGCCATTGATGCAAAATGCGCGCGCAGTGGAGGAGGCGATCGTGAAATGGATATGCATGATCCTTATAAAAAAGGTCTACAGGAATATTAAATCGTTTTTATTGATTTCACTATTGCTATTTATAGGCTAAGGTTAATTTATTGTAATTGTATCGTTTAAACAAGAGATGTGGAATTGTTAAAATATTAATTTCGTTTATAAACTTAATGTTAATAAAAAAAATTAAAATAATATGTTTTTGTATGCTATATACAAGATAATATTCATTATTCCCTGAAGTGGTGATATTTTAGTTGCCTATACGCACCTCTATTAATGATACAATTTTTAAAACGTAGAGGGCAGTATAGAACGTGTCATGAGGATCGCTCAGATCGCCATTTTATAATTTTTCTAATAAAAAGCAAAAAATTCATGGTAATGCATTGTTTTTAGTCCAAATATTCACAAGTTAAAATTTGTTATTCCTTTAAATTTAGATATTTTAGTTGCCTCTATGTATTTCTCTAAATAACCTCACTTTTAATACGTAGATGGCAGTGTAGAACGTGTCACGCCATTTGTTCAGACCGCTATTTAGTAGTTTTGTTATAAAAACTAAAAATATCGACGTAATACAATGTTTTACTCCAGGAAATTCATTATTAGTATTATTCGAGGTCGGGTGCAGAAGGCTAATAACCTACTCACCCTAAATCAAACCTATTACTGAAACTTCAACTAAGCAAACCCGGACGGATAATACGAGGACGACCCTGGCTAATACTAAACACAAGATACGTTTCGGCTGCTGGAACGTGCAAACGTTATACGAGAGCTCCAAATTGCAGCAGGTAACTAAGGAATTTCTCAAATATAATCTACATATTTTAGGTATATCAGAAGTACGTTGGTTGGGGAAAGGAGAACATCCCACACAAGGTGGAGAACGACTACTTTTTTAGTGGTAATGAATCTGGAAAACACGAAAGCGGTGTAGGATTTCTACTCAGTAAACATGCTAAAAAGAGTCTAATCTCATGGACACCAATAAACGAAAGAGTAATAACAGCAAGATTCTACACCAGGTTCAGAAAAGTAACTTTTATCCAATGTTACGCCCCAACCAATAACGCTTCTAAAGAGGATAAAGATGAATTCTATGACATCCTCGAGAAAACTATAAAAGACGTAAACAGCGGTGACATAAAAATTCTCATGGGCGACCTTAATGCGAAAGTAGGCGCTCAAAACGAGAATTTGGAAGAAATTATGGGAAAAAACGGCGTTGGGCAGATTAACGAAAACGGCACATACTTCACACAGTTCTGCTCCAACGCGAACCTGGTAATAGGGGGTACGCTGTTCCCCCACAAACAGATTCACAAGACAACGTGGGTCTCGCCAGACAAAAAAAACCCACAACCAAATCGATCATATCACAATCTCTAGGAAATGGAGATCGTCATTACTCGATGTGAGGAACAAGAGAGGTGCTGATGTAGCCAGTGACCACCACCTAATAGTTGGCACATTGAGAATAAAACTAGCAGTACCCAAGCAACCAGCCGATATGAAACGAATAAAACTAAATATAGAGAAGCTACGCATTCCACAAATAGCAAAATCCTTCAAGGAAAAAATGCAAGAGACAATAAACCAAAAATCAGCACAAAAATGGGAAAATATGGCCGACAACATCATTGAAGTCGCCAAAACAACAATTGGAGTGAAAAGCAGGCAAAGGAAAGAATGGATCAGCGAAAACACGTGGTTGCTGATAGAAGACCGAAAGAGGAAAAACACCTGCTACCCAAAATCTTTCGCAAGAATATAGGGCAGCGGCACAGGTAGAGTACACAGGCCTTTGCCAAAAGGTCAAAAGGGAAGCCAGAAGAGACAAACGCAGGTGGATAGATGATATTTGCAGACAAGCAGAAGAAGCAATGCTCAACAACAACTCGAGAGAACTTTACAACCTCACAAAGAAACTGGCCAATAAGTACTCTACACGCACACACTTCATTAAGTCAAAAAACGGCCGCCTGTTAGTTGAGTCAGACAAGCAGCTCGAAAGATGGAGGGAACATTTCTCCGACATGCTCAGCGCAAACGAAACAATTAACTGGGAGCCAGAGAATAACCCAGGTAGACAACTGAACATTGACTCGAACCCGCCTTCAGTCGCGGAGATAACTGCAGCTATAAAGACGCTTAAGAACAACAAAGCAGCAGGAGCTGATAACGTTCCAGCGGAACTACTAAAAGTAAACGCCACATGGATGGCAAATGAACTATACCACTGTATTAAGGAAGCATGGAACAACAACAAGATTCCGACCAAGTGGAAAGAAGGGCTAATCATCAAGCTTCCCAAAAAAGGTAACTTGACCGAGTGTAACAACTGGCGTGGCATAACGCTATTAAACACAATTAATAAGATTATCGCGAAAATCGTCCAAACAAGATTAGCGGAAACTATAGAAAACACCCTGCGCCCGAACCAAGCAGGTTTTCGGCCGAATCGCTCATGCATCGATCATATCAATACCCTTCGTATAATTATCGAGCAATCAGTAGAATGGCGATCACCACTATTCATCGCCTTCATCGACTTTGAGAAAGCATTCGACAGCCTGAACCACGACGCTTTATGGAGGATCCTTAAGTCGCGAGGTGTACCAACAAAGATAATAAGCATCCTGCAAGAACTCTACACTGATGCAAACTGCAGTGTGTTACACAACGGTGAAAAAGCGAAAGTTTTACGATACACAGAGGAGTAAAACAAGGATGTGTCATATCCCCATTACTATTTAACATCGCCTTAGACTACATACTAGCAAAGGTAGACCAGAACAGGGATGGGTTGCGCTGGACACTAACCTCGCACCTCAGCGACCTGGATTACGCCGACGACATCTGCCTGATGTCACATACGTTCGAAGGCGTGAGCCGACAGCTAACAACATTAGCAAGGGAGGCAAGTAAAATTGGCCTAAGAATAAATATTGCCAAAACAAAAGAAATGCGTATAAATACAAACAACACCTTAAAACTCCAAATAGATAATACGGAAATAGAAGAGGTCAAGGAATTCCTATATCTAGGAAGTATAATTGACATAAAAGGGGGGACCGACGCAGATATAAACAACAGAATAAAGAAAGCCCAGCAATCCTTCAGAATGCTGAGCACAGTATGGAAGTCAAGCGTCTATACACTAAGAACAAAACTGCGCATATTCCGCACAAATGTAAAATCCACCCTTTTATATGGATGCGAAACATGGAGGTCAACGAGCTCAAGCACACACAAACTCCAAACCTTCATAAACAAGTGCTTGAGAATGATCTTGCGCATATTCTGGCCAATGACAATCTCCAACGATGAGTTGCACCGTCGATGTGATGAAACTCCCATTATAAATCAAATACGCAAGAGAAAATGGGGGTGGATTGGGCACATCTTGAGAAGAGACGCCGGAGATATCGCCAGAAATGCGCTAGAATGGAACCCACAGGGGAAGAGAAGGGTTGGTAGACCGGCCAATACCTGGCGAAGATCCACAATAGAGGAGCTCCGAAACCAAAATATGGGCTGGAACGAAGCAAAGGCGGTTGCCCGAAACAGAGTCCGTTGGAGGGCGCTTAGTGAGGCTCTATGCTCCACATAGGAGCCAAGAACATTATATATATATATATTATCTGAGGTATTTTTTGATTTCCTTGTAAATAATTAAACATTTCTAGACTTCCAATTGCTATCAGCAATACCGTAAATATTTTGGTATTGATATGTATTGTTTTTGTGGAAATATACTATGATTACATACCGGAAATATGTAAAAGAAACACTGTTATAATAAACAACAGTAAAAATCAATCCCCACTTTAGAAAACTTGAAAAAAAACAAATACTAAGTAACAAAATAAATTCATGCAGTCGAAATAAGTAGACATAAACATAGAACTCCACAGATTGATGTAAAAATAAAAATTAAACAAGATGAAACATAAATTATTGACTAAAAGTGATCCGGAGCTAAAGAAAACTGTAAAAGTTCGATATGTGTGGTCAAACATCATGGTACTCGGAGTTTTACACCTTGCAGGATTATACGGCATGTTTCTAAAGTTCCAAAATATACCAGCAGATATTTTCAGTAAGTAATTACGTTTAAAAATCTCAAAACCTTCAAAACCATTAAAAGCAATTTTTAATTAAAGTGATAATTTATGGAGTAATATCAACACTGGGCATCACTGGAGGTGCACATCGTCTATGGGCTCATCGTTCATACAAAGCTAACACATTAGCACAAGTTATTCTTATGTTTATGGCGACGTGCACCTATCAAAACAGTATTTATATTTGGGCGAGAGATCATCGCTTGCATCATAAATGTTCTGAGACTGATGCTGATCCTCATAATGCAAAAAGAGGATTCTTTTTCAGTCACGTCGGATGGTTGATGATGAAAAACATCCTGATGTTATCAAAAAGGCAAAACAATCGATATGAGTGATTTACAAGCTAATAAATTAGTTATGTTTCAACATAGGTTTGTTTTTCTAACTTTTTTAATGTTTATAACCTAAAAATATTACAATTTTATGTTAAATTAATTTATTTATGTTTTAGGCATTATTATCTCTTAGTTCTGTTGATTGCAGCTGTGTTGCCATCTTGTTTCGCGCATTACGCACTTGGCGCATCGTGGAAAGTCGCCATTTTTCGTGTAACGATTTACAGATATATTATTTCCGTTAATTTGGTATGGTGCATCAATTCTTTAGCACATTTATACGGAAATAAACCATATGATAAGTAATTATATGTTTTCATAGTGTTTTTCTTAATAAAAACAATAAATGTAACGTTTTTATAGGAATATAGGACCAGTCGAACAAGGTTTTATGCGTGTGGTTGCCTACGGTGAAGGGTTCCATAATTATCATCATACATTCCCACAGGATTACAAAACCGGAGAATTTCACAACGACACGCGTAATTTAACCACAATCATGATTGATTGCTTGTTTTGGTTAGGCTGGGTCACCGACAGGAAAACTATATCAAAGAATATCATCGATGCAAAATGCCTACGTTCAGGAGGAAACAATCGAGAAATCAATACAACAAAAACTCGAAAAATTATTAAAAACATTAAATATTTAACTTTAAACATAATATTCTTGTCTATTATATAAAAATAGAGAAATATTAAATTAATTATTAATTAAATTAAATTAAAGGAAGATAATAAATTTTATTTTGTTATTGATAATAATTTGCAACCACTCTGAATGCCCCACATCCGTAAAACCACCAAAGGTGGCCTGAACGATCATCGTGACAATATTCACACTCCGAAGAGTGAAAAATATTGCAGCCTCACGCTCAAGATGTGGAGCTATATCTCATCATCATGGTTGCAATAACTCAACACGTTTGTGAAGAGTATGCGAAGATATACTACAGAAATGATCCTGTGAAGTATGATCTTAATTTTACAGTGGAAATACGAATGTATACATAGTAAAATGTTTAAGTTTTATTTTGAGACGTATTCACAACGCCATCTATATTTAACTGTATATAACAAACAGAGGAAATATAAAGTCGAAATACATATTATCAGTAGTAATGACCTTCAACTTGTAAAAAGTCGAAATATTAATATAAATTACTATTGCTTGGGTATATTTAATTTTATTGAATAAATTGAATCAATTTCAAAACAAAAAAATGTTAAAACTTGAATATTCTTATTTTCTTTTCAACAAATTAAATAAAAGAAGTCTAAGGGGCTGTCCATTAATCACGTGATCTTTTTTTGTCATTTTTTGGACCCTCCCCCCCCGCCCCTTTGGTGATACGTCGTGAGGTTTAAGATTAATGGACAATCCCTAAAGTGATGAAAGGGAAGCATCTGGAATGCTCTGGTGGAGTCATCAGACGCGTAGGACGCTAGGTATTGTCAGCTACCCGCAAATAGTAGTGGGGTAAAAGTTACGTAAAAGCACATTGTACCTTTTTAATACCTAGTGTAATCCACTACTTTTACTTGTTATTGTAACCTAACCCTAGGATATAAGTAAGTCAAACACAATCTCCCTTGAACACTCAGTTTTCTCCTCACAAATGTAAAAATACTTGTTTGAACACTGGTCGTCATCCCACTGATGACTATTGATGTTAGAAATAGTAAGACAATGCTGGGATCCATGGTTATTGGGTTCCCCATAATACCAATTCTTGTATCTAATTGGTTGTCCTGTGCTCATCCAAACAAACTCTCCTTCTTTGGCTTGATCAGTTCCCGAAGTCCAATAAACGTTCTTAGTTGATATCCAACTACCAATTAAGTTTCCAATATCAATTTGTTCGGCTTCGGAATTTATTGTTGCTAATGTCATGTTTTTCAAATGACAAGCATGGAAAGCAGCAAACCAATTCAACTGAAAGTGATGTATGTGGTTAGGAGTTGAATTTGTTTGTTAAATTTGGTAATGATGATCATACCTCGGTATCATTAAACAAAAATATTCTTTTGAGGATACTGCAGGTGTTAATACACACACGAATAGAATTAATAACACTTTACGTGTAAATATTTGTGATGTTGCAGGAGTCATTGTGATTGTGTTGTAATGGAGATGTTAACTGTTCCGATTTGTTTTACAACTGAATGTGTGGTCATTATGCTTTTGAGATACCAATAATTGTTATCAATTTGAGGTCAAAGATTATAAAACTAGCAAACTTTGTATCTCAACATGGAAATACAATGTATTTTGTGCTCCCTAATTAACTATCGAATGATGGAGACACTTATGTCAATCAACCTAACCTAAATACCTAACATTTTTCCCTGTATTATTCATTGTGCTATCGATATATTAATAACCAGTTTTGCCCGTGACTTTGTCCCCGGTAGTGTTTTAATAAAAATGTAATTCGTTTTTACTCTCTTGTTCTAGATATAGTATGTTTCAATTCTATCAATAAGATGTGCAATTTTATTTTAAAGAAATTAATTATATAACGAATTGCTAATAATGCACTTCAGCGCGCCATCTTGGATTCAACTATTTAACTATAACTATGATTGAATCTCAATGCCCACTTTTCATCTTATGGAAAAGGGCTGTCTTTAGGGTTTTCCGGCAATTATTCGAATTTTTCTCACCGTGAAATCCATCCTTTGACTTTAACAAACATTTTAAAAAAGAATTGGCCAAATTGGTCTAGGCGTTGTTGAGTTATGCGCTTAAGATTATTATCAACTTCTTCGTCTTAATCACATTAAATCAGTTTTGTTATTTTGACAGATGTCAAACAATAAAATCTATTATATCAAACAACATAACTTAATTTCCAACTTTTTCTTGCTTTTTCTTTCTTTTTTCTTTATCCTGCTTATTATTTTATAGAATCAAACAAAATTGATATTTAGGCCGTTCCTAGTTATAAATACCGTAATACGATCAAAATATAACAAATCTATATATTTAAAAGAAAGTCGTGTTGGTGCTTTATAACTAAAGAACGGCTAATCAATTTAGCTAAAAAATTGGTGGAGAGTTTCTTAGGGTAGAGGTAGCCAGGAGAAGATAATAGGATACTTTTTGAAGAGAAAACTTTTCTAAAAGTCAAACGACACTAAAAGAGACAAACATATTTGCGTATATGGATTATCTTGCGGGAGAATAAGAGAACGTAAATATAAAGTTTTCTATTATCCCCGTCTCCTCTTTTGTGCGATGCTTCGTGATAGACGTGTTTTCCATTTAAATTTCCCACATTGGGATTTGTTGCCGTTTCTACATTTAGTTTTTGCTTAAATTATCAAACGTAAATTAAGTAAAATTTAAACGTGCCGGATTCATGATACTTTTTCCATTTAAATAACGACGTTTTAATTTAATTTTTACATATAAACCTACAATGACAAAATTTTCTAATGCAAAATTTTACCCTACAAAAAAGATCTCTTTGTTTTTTTCCATAAAAACATTCCTGTAAAAGTTATTTGCGATTAAAAGTATACATCGACGCGTTGTCGATACGCGACTATTGTAACTTAAACTCTAGTTTCGATCAATTGACCATAGGTGGCGCAGTTAGAATTTGCTGTGAATGAGATTATAAACTATGTGAATAATTTTGATTGCAAATAACTTTTACAGGAATGTTTGTATGGAAAAAACCAAAGAGATCTTTTTTGTAGAGGATAAAATTTTGCATCAGAATATGTCTTTGTCGAAGCTGTAGGTTTATTTACTTTGGAGATAAAAAATTAAATGCAAAACGAAATCATGTTATTTAAAGGAAATCCCATGTTATTAAGAGCTAATTTACGTTGGATCATTTAAAGCTAAATCAAAATTCCGGCACGGTTTAAATTAAAAATTAAGAAGCTAATTTACGTTGAGATCATTTATTTTAGAGCTAAAACAAATAAAACTTCAGAGTGTGTTTGTACGGCAACATAGTAAAAACTTTTTTAATCAATGAAAACTTTTTGGAAGATAATAACTTTGTGCGATGCTTCACTTCCCCACTCAACATGCAGCGACCAAAACGATCAAATCTTATCCGACAAAACCGTAATGCAACTAGGCTTCGAAGGATTGCGAATGAAAAGACTGAAGAAGAACAAGAAATTGCACGTGAAAAGCGAGGCAGAACAATGTTTGCCGGGTCAGCTAGTAGGTTATAGAAATCTGGTTATATTTTAGGTCACAATCCACCGGAAATGATTGTACTATAATAATATAACACCTCAAGAAACTTTAAAAGCCAAAAATTTGCGTTTATTGATTTCACTATTGTTATTTATAGGCTGAGGTTAAATTATTGTAATTGTATCGTTTAAACAAATGGTATTGTTAAAATATTAATTTTGTTAATAAACTTAATTTTAATAAAAAAATGTATTTAAATAATATGTTTTTGTATGTTATATATAATATAATATACATTATTCCGTGAAGTGGTGATATTTTAGTTGCCTATACGCATCTCTATTAATAATACAATTATTAAAACGTAGAGTGCAGTATATAACGTGTCATTAGGATCGTTCAGACCGTCATTTTGTAGTTTGTTCTAATAAAACCAAAAATTCATCATAATATGATGTTTTAGTCAAGTATACACAAGTTAATATTTGTTATTCTTATAAGTTCGGATACTTAAGTTGCCTCTATGTATTTCTAAAAATAACCTCACTTTCAATACGTAGATTGCAGTTTAGAACGTGTCACGCCATTGTTTCGAGTATTTTGTTGTAATAAAACTAAAAATATCGTCGTAATACAAGGTTTTACTCCAGGAAATTCACTATTAGAACTATCTGAGGTATTTTCTGATTTCCTTGTAAATAATTAAACATTTCTAGACTTCCAATTGCTATCAGCAATACCGTAAATATTTTTAGTATTGATATGTATTGTTTTTGTGGAAATATACTATGATTACATACCGGAAATATGTAAAAGAAACACTGTTATAATAAACAACAGTAAAAACCAATCCCCACTTTAGAAAATTTGAAAAAAACGAATACTAAGTAACAAAATAAATTTATACAGTCAAAATACGTAGATACAAACATAGAACTCCACAGATTGATGTAAAAATAAAAATTAAACAAGATGAAACAAAAATTATTGACTAAAAGTGATCCGGAGTTAAAGAAAACTGTAAAAGTTCGATATGTGTGGTCAAACATAATAGTTCTCGGGGTTTTACATCTTGCAGGATTATACGGCATGTTTCTAAAGTTCCAAAATATACCAGCAGATATTTTCAGTAAGTAATTACGTTAAAAAATCTCAAAAAACCTTCGAAAACCATCAAAAGCAATTTTTTTTTAATTAAAGTGATAATTTATGGAGTAATATCAACCCTGGGCATCACTGGAGGTGCACATCGTCTATGGGCTCATCGTTCATACAAAGCTAACACATTAGCACAAGTTATTCTTATGTTCATGGCGACGTGCACTTATCAAAACAGTATTTATATCTGGGCGAGAGATCATCGCTTGCATCATAAATGTTCTGAAACTGATGCTGATCCTCATAATGCAAAAAGAGGATTCTTTTTTAGTCATGTCGGATGGCTAATGATGAAAAAACATCCTGATGTTATCAAAAAAGGCAAAACAATCGATATGAGTGATTTACAAGCTAATAAATTAGTTATGTTTCAACATAGGTTTGTTTTTCTAAATTTTTTTATGTTTATAACCTAAAAATATTACAATTTTATGTTAAATTAATTTATTTATGTTTTAGGCATTATTATCTCTTAGTTCTGTTGATTGCAGCTGTGTTGCCATCTTGTTTCGCGCATTACGCACTTGGCGCATCGTGGAAAGTCGCCATTTTTCGTGTAACGATTTACAGATATATTATTTCCGTTAATTTGGTATGGTGCATCAATTCTTTAGCACATTTATACGGAAATAAACCATATGATAAGTAATTATATGTTTTCATAGTGTTTTTCTTAATAAAAACAATAAATGTAACGTTTTTATAGGAATATAGGACCAGTCGAACAAGGTTTTATGCGTGTGGTTGCCTACGGTGAAGGGTTCCATAATTATCATCATACATTCCCACAGGATTACAAAACCGGAGAATTTCACAACGACACGCGTAATTTAACCACAATCATGATTGATTGCTTGTTTTGGTTAGGCTGGGTCACCGACAGGAAAACTATATCAAAGAATATCATCGATGCAAAATGCCTACGTTCAGGAGGAAACAATCGAGAAATCAATACAACAAAAACTCGAAAAATTATTAAAAACATTAAATATTTAACTTTAAACATAATATTCTTGTCTATTATATAAAAATAGAGAAATATTAAATTAATTATTAATTAAATTAAATTAAAGGAAGATAATAAATTTTATTTTGTTATTGATAATAATTTGCAACCACTCTGAATGCCCCACATCCGTAAAACCACCAAAGGTGGCCTGAACGATCATCGTGACAATATTCACACTCCGAAGAGTGAAAAATATTGCAGCCTCACGCTCAAGATGTGGAGCTATATCTCATCATCATGGTTGCAATAACTCAACACGTTTGTGAAGAGTATGCGAAGATATACTACAGAAATGATCCTGTGAAGTATGATCTTAATTTTACAGTGGAAATACGAATGTATACATAGTAAAATGTTTAAGTTTTATTTTGAGACGTATTCACAACGCCATCTATATTTAACTGTATATAACAAACAGAGGAAATATAAAGTCGAAATACTATCAGTAGTAATGACCTTCAACTTGTAAAAAGTCGAAATATTAATATAAATTACTATTGCTTGGGTATATTTAATTTTATTGAATAAATTGAATCAATTTCAAAACAAAAAAATGTTAAAACTTGAATATTCTTATTTTCTTTTCAACAAATTAAATAAAAGAAGTCTAAGGGGCTGTCCATTAATCACGTGATCTTTTTTTGTCATTTTTTGGACCCCCCCCCCCCCTTTGGTGATACGTCGTGAGGTTTAAGATTAATGGACAATCCCTAAAGTGATGAAAGGGAAGCATCTGGAATGCTCTGGTGGAGTCATCAGACGCGTAGGACGCTAGGTATTGTCAGCTACCCGCAAATAGGAGTGGGGGTAAAAGTTTCGTAAAAGCACATTGAACCTTTTTAATACCTAGTGTAATCCACTACTTTTACTTGTTAATGTAACCTACCCTTAGGATATAAGTAAGTCAAACACAATCTCCCTTGAACACTCAGTTATCTCCTCACAAATGTAAAAATACTTGTTTGAACACTGGTCGTCATCCCACTGATGACTATTGATGTTTGAAACAGTAAGACAATGCTGGGATCCATGGTTATTGGGTTCCCCATAATACCAATTCTTGTATCTAATTGGTTGTCCTGTGCTCATCCAAACAAACTCTCCTTCTTTGGCTTGATCAGTTCCCGAAGACCAATAAACTTTCTTAGTTGATATCCAACTACCAATTAAGTTTCCAATATCAATTTGCTCGGCTTCGGAATTTATTGTTGCTAATGTCATGTTTTTCAAATGACAAGCATGGAAAGCAGCAAACCAATTTAACTGTAAGTAAATGTAGGTATATGGTTAGGAGTTAAATTTGTTTGTTAAATTTGGTAAAGATGATCATACCTCGGTATCATTAAACAAAAAATATTCTTTTGGGGATACTTTAGGTGTTAATACACACACGAATAGAATTAATAACACTTTACGTGTAAATATTTGTGATGTTGCAGGAGTCATTGTGATTGTGTTGTAATGGAGATGTTAACTGTTCCGATTTGTTTTACAACTGAATGTGTGGTCATTATGCTTGTGAGATACCAATAATTGTTATCAATTTGAGGTCAATGATTATAAAACTAGCTGTTTTAGCAAACTTTGTATCTCAACATGGAAATACAATGTATTTTGTGCTCCCTAATTAACTATCGAATGATGGAGACACTTATGTCAATCAACCAAACCTAAATAACATTTTTCCCTGTATTATTCATTTTGCTATCGATATATTAATAACCAGTTTTTGCCCGCGACTTTGTCCCGGTAGTGTTTTAATAAAAATGTAATTCGTCTTTACTCTCTTGTTCTAGATATAGTATGTTTCAATTCTATCAATAAGATGTGCAATTTTATTTTAAAGAAATTAATTATATAACGAATTGCTAATAATGCACTTCAGCGCGCCATCTCCGATTCAACTATTTAACTATAACTATGATTGAATCTCAATGCCCACTTTTTATCTTATAGAAAAGGGCTGTCTTTAGGGTTTTCCCGGCAATTATTCGAATTTTTCTCGCCGTGAAATCCATCCTTTGACTTTAACAAACATTTTAAAGAAAGAATTGGCCAAATTGGTCTAGGCGTTGTTGAGTTATGCGCTTACCAACAGATTTTGCGATTAATTATTATATTATAGCAGACTATTATCAACTTCTCTGTCATAATCACATTAAATGCGTTTTGTTATTTTGACAGATGTCAAACAATAAAATCTATTATATCAAACAACATAACTTAATTTCCAACTTTTTTCTTTCTTTTTTTTATCCTGCTTATTATTTTATAAAATCAAACAAAATTGACATTTAGGTCGTTCCCTAGTTATAAATACCGTAACACGATCAAAATATAACAAATAGGTTATAGAAATCGGGTTATATTTTGGGTCAGAATCCACCGGGAATGATTGTACTATAATATACCACCCCCAGAAACTTTAAAAGCCAAAAATTTGCGTTTATTGATTTCACTATTGTTATTTATAGGCTGAGGTTAAATTATTGTAATTGTATCGTTTAAACAAGTGGTATTGTTAAAATATTGATTTTGTTAAAAAACTTAATTTTAATAAAAATATTTAAATAATATGTTGTATGTTATATATAAGATAATATACATTATTCCGTGAAGTGGTGATATTTTAGTTGCCTATACGCATCTCTATTAATAATACAGACCGTCATTTTGTAGTTTGTTCTAATAAAAACCAAAAATTCATCATAATATGATGTTTTAGTCAATTGATACACAAGTTAATATTTGTGATTCTTATAAGTTCGGGTACTTAAGTTGCCTGTATGTATTTCTATAAATAACCTCACTTTCAATACGCAGATTGCAGTTTAGAACGTGTCACGCCATTTAGTAGTTTTTGTAATAAAAACTAAAAATATCGTCGTAATACAATGTTTTTACTCCAGGAAATTCATTATTAGAACTATCTGAGGTATTTTTTGATTTCCTTGTAAATAATTAAACATTTCTAGACTTCCAATTGCTATCAGCAATACCGTAAATATTTTTGGTATTGATATGTATTGTTTTTGTGGAAATATACTATGATTACATACCGGAAATATGTAAAAACCAATCCCCACTTTAGAAAACTTTAAAAAAACAAATACTATGTAACAAAATAAATTCATACAGTCGAAATAAGTAAATACAAACATAGAACTCCACAGATTGATGTAAAAATAAAAATTAAACAAGATGAAACAAAAATTATTGACTAGTAAAAGTTCGATATGTGTGGTCAAATATCATGGTTCTCGGCATTTTACACCTCGCAGGATTATACGGAATGTTTCTAAAGTTCCAAAATATACCAGCAGATATTTTCAGTAAGTAATTACGTTAAAAAACCTCAAAAAACTGTAAAAAACACCAAAATCATAAAAAAAACTGAATTTTTTAAATTAAAGTGATAGTTTACGGAGTAATATCAACATTGGGCATCACTGGAGGTGCACATCGTCTATGGGCTCATCGTTCATACAAAGCTAACACATTAGCACAAATTATTCTTATGTTAATGGCACCTATCAAAACAGTATTTATATCTGGGCGAGAGATCATCGCCTGCATCATAAATGTTCTGAAACAGATGCTGATTCCCACAACGCAAAAAGAGGATTCTTTTTCAGTCACGTCGGATGGTTAATGATGAAAAAACATCCCGATGTTATCAATAAAGGCAAAACAATTGATATGAGTGATTTATAAGCTAATAAAATAGTTATGTTTCAACATAGGTTAGTTTTTCTTATTTTTGTCATTTTAATAACTTAAAAATACTAAATTTTAATGTTAAATTGTTTTATTTGTGTTTTAGGCATTATTATCTCTTAGTTCTGTTGATTGCAGCTGTGTTGCCATCTTGTTTTGCGCATTACGCGCTTGGCGCATCGTGGAAAGTCGCCATTTTCCGTATGACGATTTACAGATACATTATTTCAGTTAATTTGGTATGATAAGTAATTAGGGGACGGTTGCTTAAGTCCTACCGTCACGTAAGTCGTACGTCGGTCTTTTCTCTCACTTGAAGGCACTTTATGCAACTTAAAATGCTATATTCGGACCGCATGAAATCATACTAGAAGCATATTTTTTAATCAGTTCCCGCCGAATCGGAATTGAGAAGTTATGCGCAAAAATAGTTTTGCTCCTCGTGCTCATTCAATTTCTCGTGGAGCTTGAAAGCATTGGTGGTCAGAAAAACACCACTAAATATGTGTTGCATGTTAAATATTGGGTATACATCTATCCATGTATTGTTTTCTGCATGGATTTTGTTAAATATTCCTTCTGATATATTGTTTAAGGTTGTTTTAAGCGGGAAGCACATGTTTGCTAACTCGTACCCCTTTGCGTTTTTTAAGTCGTACCTATAGAACATATGGGACTCAAGGTTTCAGCTGCGCCACGAGGCGGCGCTACGGTTGCGCGCCGAAGATACTTTACTAGCGTGATGAGAATAGGGAAGATGATTCAGTGCCTCAAATGCAAAATTTGGATACATGACAAATGTGTTGGGGTGTTCAAACGAGTAAAAAATACCTTGCAAATAAATACATTATTATTAAACTAATATATATTCTCATTTTGATATTACTTTGGCATAGGTACGACTTAAGGTATCGAAGGTATGACTTAGGGTACCGGTTTGTTAAGTCGTACCGTTCACACATTTTTGTTAAATTGATGTTTTACAAAAATATAAACATTTCTGATGAATTTTTCTCATACGAATTGAAGCTATATTAACTAAAGCAGGTAAATATGTCGAAAAACTGACATTATGTTGCAAAACTTTCAATCTAGGGCCAATTGTATTTTAGAGGTACGACTTGGCCAACCTTCCCCTATATGTTTTTATAGTGTTTTTCTTAATAAAAACAATAAATGTAACGTTTTTATAGGAATATAGGACCAGTCGAACAAGGATTCATGCGTGTGGTTGCCTACGGTGAAGGGTTCCATAATTATCATCATACATTTCCACAGGATTACAAAACCGGAGAATTTCACAACGACACACGTAATTTAACAACAATCATGATTGATTGCTTCTATTGGTTGGGTTGGGTCACCGATAGGAAAACTATTTCAAAGAATATAATCGATGCGAAATGCCTACGTTCAGGAGAAAATAATCGAGAAATAAATACAACAAAAACTCGAAAAATTATTAAAACCATTAAATATTTAGTTTTAAACATAATATTCTTGTCTATTATATAAAAGAAAGAAAAATAATAGATAAAATTTTTTATTTTGTTATTGATAATAATTTGCAACCACTCTGAATGCCCCACATCCGTAAAACCACCAAAGGTGGCATGAACGATCATCGTAACAATATTCACACTCCGAAGAGTGAAAAATATTGCAGCCTCACGCTCAAGATGTGGAGCTACGTCTCATCATCATGGTTGCAATAACTCAACACGTTTGTGAAGAGTATGCGAAGATATACTACAGAAATGATCCTGTGAAGTATGATCTTGATTTTACATACGTAGGTAGTAAAAAAAAAACACCATTTTTTTTTTTTGGAAAACATTTAATAAATTAAGTATAAACAAAAACAATTAAATAGAAAATAACTTACACAGTACATATTTCTTATTGTTTACGATTTAATAATAATTTTTATACAGTACCTTTTGACGAACAAATTACCTGCTAATTTTTAAAATTTACATATGATTGACATCATTGATGATTTTACGACGAGAGTTTTATTATTATGTCACTTGTGCCCTGATACGTAGGTAGTAAAAAAAAACACAAAGTAGAGACGTTAATAATATGTAAGAGAGGGGGAAAAAGGGGAGTAATTAATTTAGAGGAATATTTGAGAGAGTTTTTTGGTTATTTCTATAATGATTTTTAAGGGGATGATTTAGTATGTTTTCTGTTAAGTTGGACGCTAAAATGTGATGTTTATAAAAATTGGTATTTAATTTTTTAATGTAATTTGAAATTGTTTCGCAGCGCGTACGTTCATGAATAATTTTGGTGCGAATTCGAGATTGTCGCGTGATTTTGAGTATGTTCCGGAGAATCGCGTTTTGGAAAATTTGCATTTTGGATTTAGTTGTTTTTGCAGCAAGTTCAGTTACTTGTGATCCGTACGTTAAAATTGGAAGAATGTAAGATTTGTAGATTTGGGTTTTCAGATGTGTATTTAATTTTGAATGGGGTCCAAGAAGGGGGTATAATTTTGT